CGAAAATAAACATTAAAAATACTAATAATAACTGCGGAAGGACAATAATATCAGACGATGACTGGAAGTCTAAAATTCGTGGCTGATGTTTGTAAAAAGGATTGACCAATTAGTCCACTTAGCGTTCGATTAAAACCGAAAGGGGTAGTAAAGTGACTAAATAAGCCGTTAAGTTTAGACTCGATTTACGCAGCTTTACTTTTAAACGGCATTTACAAAGATTATATTTTATGCATGATGCTTAAATGAAATTAATTTTAGTAAAACAAGGATACATAACTCGTATGATTAAAATGAAAGTGTTTCTATTAATTTTAGTATAAGTTACTGATGTCAGAAGTATTTTGACTTTTAATAAACGCGTAAATACGAGTCTTGAGTTTTGATAGCAAGTAAGGAAATCTGCAAAAAAAGTACGACTATTTATTTAAAAAAATAAAGCAAAGAAATAGGGTATTTTGCCTCATTTGCCATGAGAGTATAGCGACATGAAAAATTTCATCTAAATTCATATGATAAAAATTAAAAAAAAGTTTGAAGTAAAAGTGGTGTTGGGTGGATATATTTTCCTATCGACTAAGTTAAGAATTTCGTACTAAATTGCGAACAATAGTTATTTTCTCCTATTAAATAAATAATCTAAAGTATTTGTGTTAGTATGTAGCCAAAAATTATCAAAACTTGAAAAACCTTAGCTTTGATAGAGCGTTTGTAAAGGAAAATCTTAAATGTGAATTTAATTTAATTTGACAATGAAAACAGGCATTGTGTGCCATTTTAATTGAAATTGTAATTGTATAACAAAAATTCAAAATTGATAACTTGCAATTCAAAATACAACATGAAATGTTACCGTAAACCGGGGCGAGTCTACCCATCCAGGGGTGAGTCTACCCATTTTAATTTTAATTAATTTTCACTATTTTAAATTGCGAATAAAATTTTTTTTACCGACGGAGGACTTAGTTCAGACTCTAAGGAAGATGGCGCTGTAGTAGTTTGAATGTCTTTTATCTAGGAGAATTAAAAGATTTCCTTCCACCATAATTTATTAGTGGTTTAAGTTTCTATCACTATATCTAGAACTATAAGATGGAGGGACATTTCGAAATGAAATGGTAACAAACAGTTGATATTAGAGGTGAATAACATACCACTTTAGGTAAATACCACTTTTTTCATAAAACCACCTTTTGTACCACTTCAATTATAAAAATCGGGTTAAGAGTCCAAATTAATTGATCAAATAGTATGATTAATTAATTAAAAGATCTTTTCCGTAAGTTATCCTTATTAATTAATCCTTAATTNTAACTATAAATGTAAATATAAAATATGTTTATTTTACCTATTTTTTCAATTTTTATATTACAAAATTAGCTTTTTTTATTTAATGCAAGTTAAATAAATTATTATTTCTTATTACAGATGGTTCGAAATTATATTCGCAAAGCAAATGGATTTAATTGTTACAAAAAAATGCCACCTGAGATGGAAAAAGCTATCCAAAGGATAAAAGCCAAACAATAACAATATTAATTTTAATTTATTTTTATCAACAATAATCTGAAAAAAATGTTATTTTATAATGTTAATGATTATAAAAACAAAACTGTGATCAAAATGTGATAATCGAACAAATACTCAATTTGTGTTATTTTATGAATAAAAAAATGGAATATATAATAAAGTTATGAATTTTACTTCATAAATATCCTATATAGTAACTAAAATAACAATTTAATAGTAAAATTTGATTATTTACAATGTTAACATTCATTTTAGTAGAATGGGTAGACTCGCCCCATACGAGAGATTTGTCAGCAGTTCTATAAGAATATACAGTAACAGCGTAACTGTTAACATTTTCTAAAATCGATTTCACAGCTTTAAAGAGGGATAAATAGCGATTCCGAAACACCTATTAAAAGCCTTTTTTCTTTAATATTTACAAAAGTTTGACCACTTGAAAGTTGACAAACTGAAAAAATGGGTAGACTCGCCCCGGTTTACGGTAATATTTTACATCTTTAATAAACAAATTTTATTATTTTTTGTGGAAATTTTTTATTTCCACCAAAAAAATTTTCGTCATATTACGAATTACGCAAAAAATAAAGTTTAAATTAAGGAGCCCTAGTTAATATGTTGGGGAAAAATGTATTTTAATATGTTCATGTAATTTTCTGGTATATACTGCTGAGAGTATAAAATGCTCGTAATCTCCCTTTATATGTTGTTGATGTTAGGGTTTCTTAAATTTCTCTTAGAATTTTGTCTATTTAGCAAATGTATCCGACTGAGTAAAAATCGTCAATTTCGACGAAATTTCGTTTTCTTTTTTATTATTGTTATTGTTATTATTATTATTATTATCCATATTTTAACTTTTGTTCATTAGTTTTCCAGAACCCTTTAAAATGTTGGTCTCCGATTTTTAGAAATGAAATTATAGTTGTTTTTTCATAAGATGAAGGACAAAACAGGAAGTTAACTCCTGAAAACGAAACTAAAATTATTTTTAATATTGCTTTGAGTATTTTAAACTTCGTTTACTCGAATAAATTATGTTTTTAAGACAAATAAAATTCATTTTTAGAAATTAATTTTCGAATTATAAATTTTGTTAACCGATTTTTCTTGCATCTTAAATGCATTTTTTTAAGAACGTTGATTTTCCAAAAAACTTTTACCCTTTATATTACCAATTTTATTATCGAATTCTTTGAAATTTTGTTATAGATTTTGTATAATGTCAGCGATCTTTTAAACAAAAAGCCAAGGCCTAAGTGTGAATTTGTATCAAGCTTTAAGTAATAATATTTTAAATTTTTCTTTAACAAATTAATATTAATCAATATATTAAGCTATATTTCATCGTCTTTAAGATTTCTTTATTATTTTCGTTCAAAACACAAGTAATTACATTACTGATGAAGAAAAAAAAATCTTTTTGTAAATTATACATTACGTTTTGTCGAGGAGTTGCTAACATGACATGAAAAATTTGTTGTTTTTAAGCTTAAATTTAGCCTCATTTTGTAAAATATTTTATGATTTTTTTAGTCTTTACTTTAAATTTAAAATTAGAGCACCCCTGCTTATCCAATTTTAAATTAAAATTTTTATGAAGCCTTTTTTTTTTTTTTTTTTTTTTTTTTTTTTTTTTTTGTCGGGACCATTCGGATGCCTCAACAACGAGAATTACTGTGGAAAAGAATGTTTTTTTCTTAAATTAAAATAAATATTTCCTAAGCAATTTTTTTTAAAAAAAAGTAATATATTCATGTGGAAATACTATCTGAAAAAAGAGAAATGTTTAAATCTATTTATTAACTTATTTTAAAAAATTTTTCAAGCACTGATCATCCTTGTACTCATACATTTTTTTTTATATGTATATATTTCTTATACTCATCAACATAAAATGTAGTATTATTATATTTACTAAGTTTTAAATTAGTTTTGGAGATTTTAGGTACGGCTTTCAAGTTATCCGATTATACATAAAAATCTAATGTGGTGTCGTAGTTTTCCATTGTTGTCAGTGCATTTTTATTGGAGGATCCAGTTTTTCCACATTAATTTTCATATTCTTTTGTTGTCTTCAGCATAAAATTAATAAATGTCATTAAGTTATTGTTTCTCAGTAAAATATTTATTTATAACATATTTAAAGGTATTTTTAAAAGTAAAAAAATAAATATTAATCTTTAATTGTTATACTTTGTTCTACTTTGCTGTTATTAAGTTTTTGATTTTGATTATTTACTAATTGAAGAATTTGAAGTTAAAAGAGTTGTTTCTCTATAATAACTTTATTCTATGATATTACCTTATTACGCTACATTTGAACCTAAACTTATTTTAACTAGAACCTAAACTTATTAACCATTTTCAATTATTATTTTTTGGTGTAAGTTACATTAATATGCTACTATAGATTTCCGTTAAAGAGATTCATTAAATGATTTGGAATTTAACGATCAGTTTCATGCACAATGTGATGCATGTACAAATTGTATTTAATATATCAACCTTTCTGGTAAGAGAAAATAGTAAATTTAAGGTTATAAACTCATCAAATTTGTAGTACAATTTACCTTTCATTTTAAATGTTATTTAAAACAATGACTACTAAGAACATTATTTTTGTGCACTAATAGATCTTAATAAAATAAGCGAAATGTTTGGACATGGGAGGGGGGAGGCACAAGCTTAAGCAAGTATAATTATTTTTAATACATATATTTTAAGTGAATAATTTCCTCGTCCGTGAAAAAAAGTTGTTTTATACCTAGAAACAGCAATTATTGAAAAGCAATCATTGGGAGGGGGGGGGTAGTGAGTGATAACTATCAGGGAGCTTAATTTCCAAGCAACTAATAATATAAATTAAGAATTGTTTTGTCCAATGTCGGTGTTATGAAGTGTGAAAACAACTACAGAATTATTATTTTTTAATTACTTGAGAGCAACTTCTCATTGCTCTTAATCGTCATTTCACAGAAGCATAAACTTGGATCAGTCTGCGCAGGGACCGAGGGTGTGCGGTATTGGTTCTCGTTAAACTCTTCCACCGTGAAGTGCTCGACTTCGCGTGAGGTCGTCGGGCTACCAAAGCAGGGGTGCCATCCCCTCTGCAGAGGATCAAAATTGCGATGGCATGTCTTCAGATCATCCTCAGGGATCTTTCCCAGACCGTCGTCAATAGCCCATTGTGCAGCTCTAGTGCGACATAAATGAACTACAGCAACAACAACACAGAAACATAAAATAATTTGTTTTTAAATATTGCGAAATCTTTCTTACTATTTATCAATCAAATTCGACTCAAAATAAATATTTAATTCAAAGGAATGACGGACATGAACTGTTCACTCATGTGCAAATTGCATCGACGTGCCATCACCTATGCGAATTGCAAACAGTAAGAATGCTCAATAAAAGGGCAGCTTTGTCAGTGAAAATGAGGCATAAATTAAAGTTGTAAGCAAAGGTACTTATTTGTTGTTATACTTGTTGCCTTTGCCAATGAAAATGGCTTGTTTTGAAATCAAATGTTTAACCGGATTATTTTATTAAGTTCATAAATTATAAATATATTCGAAGTATTCTTAAGCTTTCAGACTTTCTTTTGATTAGTAAACAAAGTGTTTATAAAGTAAGATCTTTTTTTTTAATGTTCACTTCCGAGTTGTTTGATTTTAAGCTGCCAATTTCTTTTGATTCTCAGATTTATCAATATAATTGATCATGATTATTTGAAATATTGAATACATTATAGCCTTTTGGTATGCTAAATTCCTATTAGCGAAGTATGAAGCTCGTGAGTTTTGCCGGACGTATATGAATTTTATTATATTGTCTAGCTGTCATTTGTTGCCATGTATTACTTTTCATGATTACTAATCACCAAAGTGGTTCTAAGACGTCAAAGTTTTTAGTAGTTTAAAGAAAATCATTTACGATTGTCATGATGTAAAAACTTTTTCCTGTTTTGAACAAGTACAAATCCGGTGGTTGCAAAGTAAAAAAATCAATAAATGACTATATATTTGTATTTTATTTTTGAAGTATTAAGTGATATCAACTAACAGGGAGAATTCCGGATATTTCGCACAATAATCCCAAGTCTTGGAAACTTCCGGGCTGCGCCCATGAGAATCTAAACAACAACAACAAAAAAAACGCAGAACATAACTCTTAACCACATTTCAGTTAACCTCTACACAATTTTTTTTTTTTAAATGGTAATTTGAAATTTATTTGGTGCATTTGTAGAGGGTATATTTCCGTATCTTGATCTGTCATGTTAACTACTATCATCAAGGTGCCAAATAGATTTTAAGCTTGCAAATTTTTTTTTTTTTTAGAAAGATGTTTGCTCGGGGGTGGCTACGAGTTATAACTTTCAAGTTGGTCCCTTTCTGTGATGTTTATTTTTCTCGCGGGCCACTGCCGGGAAGTTTCCAAGACTTGGCGATTATTCTGTCACGATACAAAATCTGCCCTTTGTAGTTGCCACGACAGTTCACAAAACTGAAATGGAGAGATTTACATATCATGATCTTCGGCAGAACAATCGCCAAGTCTTGACAACTTCCGGGCAGCGTTCCGCAAGAAATGTAAATAAATATCACAGAAGGTAGCTAACTTGAAAAGTATAACTTGTAGGTGATTGTGAGTGTTTGTATTTGGCATAACAGATCATGATATGGAAATATCCCCCCTCTATCGAATTTTGTTTTGTCTGCGAATGTTTAGTAAAAGTATGTCTAATAGTTATGTATATATTTTTTTTTCTTTACAGAAATCAATATGGCTTTGCCAGCAAATTATAGGCAAGCTCAAGTGGTTGCAGCTCCAACACCAAGTGTTTCACGTAAGCTGATAATATACAACTTATATGTTTAAGTTCTTAATATTTAATTCTTTAACAGGATGTTAAGTGTAACAAACTTGCAAGAAATGTTAGGATGCAAAGACAAATGAGAATTATATAGCATCATAACTGGATTTAAAATGCCTACATTAGTAATAATTCTATAAGCTAATTTCTTATTCAAGACCTCTTTGAACATAGGTGTAAATTAAGTTCGTCTTTTCAAATTTGTGAAGTAGTTATTGCAATTCCAAAGTAGTTTGTAGTCACTAAATTTAAAAAGAAGTAATTGTAGTAAACTACAAAAATAATGTATTTTTTCTGACCACTGTTAATACCATATGGCAGTCAAGGTGCATAGCGTTTTTAAAAAGTGCTTGAAGGTGCTTATTTTTGTTTTTTAAAAGCCCTTAAAGGTGCTTTTTTCATTGGGTGTTTGTAAAAAGTGCTTAATTTTTCCTTTTCCAAAATGAGATTTTACTTTTACTATGTTGATTTCCGCTACGAATTATAAAAAAAGACGCAGTTCTCATTGTTCTATTCAACATTTTCACAATTAATTCAACCCCAATCTATTTCGGCGTATTGTCAGTCCGTAGTGTATGAAAATGCCATTCGCATGCTTCAAAATTTCATGATTTTTGACAATTGTCAAAAACATTGTCAAAAAAGAATTTTTTTTTTTACATGACGTTTTAAGACAAGATAAAACCGTCAATTATCCAACCCTGCCTAATTATGATTTTTTTTTTTTAAGTGCTTAAAAATATTTTTTGAGTGCTTGAAAAGTGCTTATTTTTTTATGAATAATTTGGCTATGCACCTTGGGTAGTGCAGTGCTCCTGCTATCAGGAAGTGAACTGATAGTTTGGTTTATTATTTTGCTAGGTCATAGGACCTATTATGTCTTAACTTCTTCTCCTGAGTTAAATGAAAATTTTGCTGGGCACGACAAAGTAGATTACATTCTGCTGGTTTCTGTGTAGCTATAAAACATGCTTTTAAGAATCTTCCAAAACCCTATGAGTTCCATACAGACTCCCTTAAACGTGTGTAATTGCTTCTGGTTTGAATTTCAAACACCTTTTATGACTGTTGTTGGACAATGCAATATCGAACATGTCAGTTGGAGGATTGCAGCTATTTTAACTCACATCTGTTTTTGTTCCATTTCTTTGTTTCTTGTAATTACAGCTCTGTTAAGATTTATTTTGTATCCTTCTCTTTTGATGCTATTTGATTAAGATTCTTCTTTGCTCCCTCGACAAATTCTGCAAGTTTGTATCACTCGTGATGAAATAATGAAATACCCTGTATTTATGAATTTATTAATTTATTTACTTTTTTATTTTCCAGAGCGACCTCGTTCACAAGGCTCTAATTCCAATTCTTCATCCTCTTCAAATCAAACGGTATACTGTTACAATCTATGATTGTTATTTATTCTGATATAAATTATCAAAATGTCATCCTTCTTTATGTACATTTTCTTCTAAATTGCTTAAAAGATAACAATTAATATAAAGTTTTTTCAGATTTAATATTTTTTGAAATTTTTTTTTTTACATTCAATTAAAAAATTTTAGTTTATACATATTTTTTTAAATTATTATTATTTGATAAAAATACATTAATTAATTCATGAACAAAATTTATTCCTCTCTTAGCTCTTGCAACTACTTTCAGTTCTTTCGCTGCTATCTAATTTTGGTGACATTTGTTTTAAAAAAAATTATTTTTATTTTTTTTTATCAAGCTAAGATACAGGAATTTTTTTCCTATAATGATACCTGATTGTTCATTGTTTCTTAAGAAGTGTAATTTGGTGTAAAAGGATATGAATTAGATATTTTTATTGTAATTCTTTACTCTGTTATTAGTTAAAATTAATTTAAGCAAGGAAAACTTATGTGTTTATTGTTTTAAAAGGATATTTCATCAAATATGTTTATTACAATCTTTGAAACTAAAATCATTTTTATTTCAATGGATATTTTTTAGCCTACATCTAGTGCTAGCAGTCCTTTTGTACAATCTCCTCATGGCCATCCATCTTTCAGTCCTGTGAAGTTAGGATCAAGGGGATCTAGTGGTGTAAGTTCATTATGCTATTTACATTTTTGTGATTGTTAGAAAATAAGTTAAACTGATTAATTTTTAGTTTGGTGTCATTTCACCGATTTTAGGTTGGTAGAATCACCATTCTACAGTATATGTGCATGACATTTATAATGTTTGTTGTCTTTTAACTTAATTTATTTTTCCATTTTTTTAATATGAAAATGATTGGATACAGAATTATTTTTAGTTCATTTTGTATCCCTCCAGCTAAACTATTTTGAATCTTTATCAGGGTGCGTAACGTTTTTGAAAAGTGCTTAAAGGTGCTTATTTTTGATTTTCGTTTTTTAAAAGTCCTTAAAAGGGCTTTTTCATTGGGTGTTTTTTAAAAGTGCTTAATTTTCCCTTTTTCAAAATGAGATTTTTTCTTTACTAGATTGGTTTTCGCTTCGAATTATGCAAAAAGACACAGTTCACATTTTTCTATTCAACGTTTTCACAATTAATTCAACCCCAATCTATATCGGCGTATTGTCAGTCCGTAGCATATGAAAACACTATTCGTTTTACACGATTCAAAATTTCATGAGGGGTTAAAACAAGATAAAACTGTCAATTGTCGAAAACTTTCCAACCCAGCCTAATTAATGATATTTTTTTAAAGTGCTTGAAAAGTGCTTATTTTTTGTTGAATAATTTGGCTATGCACCCTGTTTATTATAAATAAAAAGTTTTTTTTAACTTTAGCTAATATAGTTTTGTTAAATCTGAAACATCACAAAAAGTTATTCCATGATTACCTCCAAATTTTTCTGACTTTTTTAAAAACAGTTTTGTAAGTAAATATAATTGGTATAGTATGAGTGGAAACTTATCAGACATATACATTTTTTTACTGCATGTTAAAACCATTTTTCTTTTCATTTGTATCAATATCATTTAGTTATTTGTGTATGTACTAGATATTTGAAATTTCTATCATTTATTTTTCTATTATTACTATGAAGATGCAAGTGAAAACATTATGTACCCCTTCAATAAATGATATTCTAGTTGTTGAAAAAAATGTATGTTGGATTTATCATTCTTTTTTAATCATCACTAGTCACATAAATATATTGTTACATTTTCTCTTTTCTCATACTCCAGGCTGATAGTAGAGTCCCCAAGCCACCTAAACCTCCGGATAAGCCATTGATGCCATACATGAGATATAGTCGAAAGGTAAATAGCATAAAATCTGTTTATATATTCATTCATTCTTCTTGTATGTTATTTAATCCTATATTAAGGAGGCTCAACCCTTTTTTTTTTCCAAGGCGAACCACAGAAATAATTTTGGGTGTTTGGGTGAATCCTGTCTTTTCATATCAATTAAAAGAAAATTTAATTGCTTCTTAGTATAATGTGAACAATATCAATTAGTCTTTAAAAAATTTAAAAAACAAAGTATAGAAAATTATGTTTAATTTTTATTAAATAAATATACAATATTTTTAAAAAATATTTTTTTGTTTTTAATAAAATTGATTTTATTGTTGGTTTTCTGAATTAATTAAAGAACATGTAATAACTATCTGAAATGAATTTAATAACTCTTAACTATTCAAAAATATGAATTAAAAAAATAATGAACCATTTTATAGCATGATAATTTTTTTCTTTGGATATTAACACTGTTTTTAATTAAGTCACTTTTGTCACTTCTTTTTCTACTATGAGCTGTACTGAGTCCTGTATATACTAGTAGTACTATAAGTAGAGTAATATTACCATCTCAATTTTATCAAATCTGTTGAATTTTTTTTTCCTGTTTGCTATGACAATGCTGTAAATAAAAATTAATTTTAAATTTGTGTTTTTTGCTCAGGTTTGGGATCAAGTGAAAGCTCAAAATCCTGATTTGAAATTATGGGAAATAGGAAAGATTATCGGACAAATGTGGAGAGAGTTGCCTGATGAATCAAAACAGGAATACATTGATGATTATGAAGCTGAAAAAGTATGATATTATTTCTTTGTGGACTTTATTTGTATTTTTAAAATTTGTTGTAAAGTTACTTATAAAAGTATTATTTCCAATAGATAGAGTATAACGAGGCTCTTAAATCTTACCATAACTCTCCTGCTTATCAAGCATGGGTTGCTGCAAAAGTGAGAGGTAATTTAAATTTATATTTTAATTTGATGTTTACAAAAATATTTTGATCAACTTTTAATTTGTTATAAGTATGTAGCAGTTCCGATTTTGTTGACCCTATTTTGTCAACTTATTTGTTTAGCTCTAAAAAAATTTAACATAAAGCTTAATATAATTTTTGTTATTTTATAAAAGTTCATGGATTAATGTCTACCTATTAATGTTGGCTATATTGTATGTTACAATAACTAATAATGTTCATCTAATAAAAATGTATTATCTCTACACTAGGAGACTAAGCCCTAAATTTGCTGCAACTCACCACTTCTAATGATTGTTCTGCAATAATTGTTGTTTCTTAGCAAAAAACATTTTTTTTCCTACAAAAGTTTAAATTATTTACTTAAAATATATTTACTATATAGAAGAAATAAATAATCACAAAAAACTGCAAAATGAATAATTCAATATTTATTTAAAGTAAATATCTACTTTTAAATGAAACAAAAAGTTTTGCTAATGCATATTGAGAGAATATTTTATTACAAAAAATTCTAATGTTAGCTTATTCTTTAGATTAACTTTTAATTAAAGTTTAATTTACTTAAGGCTTCTCAATTAAAGTGTAAGCATATATTTCTTGCTTTACTAGCTCCCTTTGTATTTCTTGATTTGCTAGTTTTAAAAATATTTTAAAGTCATTGATACACAGAAAAACAAATATTGAAGCCTTTTTGTGTTACACTAATATTATTCTTCCTCCAAATATTAAGCTCATGGTTCAACATAGTATAACTTCCCATCGAATAACATTAAGGAAACTGTTTTTCTTTAAAAGTTAGGTGCAAGCTAGGACTAAATCTCAAACGTTTAATAATGCAAATGTTGTTTATATTTGCCTAAGATCTTCTAATTTTGGCTGCTGAGCTATTAAATACTACTTACAATCTATTCCAATTCCCTTCAGATTCTTTTCTGAATTTGTTTATTTCTTAAAACTCTTAGCTTATTTTTATAGTTTATTTTTATAGTTTATTTTATTTAAATGAAAGCTCATAGATCTTAGATGATCCATTGTTTTATTTAATTTATATTTTAAATTTTTAGCTCAACAAGCAGCAGAAGAACGAGAAGCATTGGAACGCAGTCCAGCCGCTGTAAGGAATTATATATATATTTTTTTCCTGTTTATAATTATTTTATGTTCAAAAAATATTCAGCAAATAAAATTAACCTAATTCCTTTATTATTTAGATTTTTGAAGTGTATTGTTATTTAAAATTGTCTACTATAATGAGAAGATGACTTTGATAATATTTTTCGTTTTGCTATACTTTTTTCATGTGGAGAAATTTGATTGGTTAATGGAAAACTGATTGACTTTAAAATTTAAACTTTTTAATACAAGACCTATTCTTTCTTTCTTTTTCAAAATATGAACAGCAATAGTGTTTGGTTTAATAATCTTAAGATTGGGGTGGAGGAAAGTTTAAAAGTTGTAATAAAACCAGAAAATATAAAGGAAAATAGAATCCAAACATTCGGGGTACTTTACTAGAAAGGTTATTAATTAATTTGTTAACATTCTTGAAGCTATTGAATGATTTACAAAAATAGTTCAATAGCTGAAGAGAACTAAATACTTTTAGGAAAGCACTCAAACCTATGGTTTAAATTCCAGCGTATCTGAATGAAAAACAAGTGCTTATCATCTTGATTTTGAACATTGCTTGTTATGTTCAAAATCAAGATAATCAAAATGAGTGTTTTGAACATAATTTAAAAGTTAATGGCACAGCACAAATTAACCCTTCTTTAATTTAAAATCTTTTATTTTTTATATAATTTTTTTAAAATCTTTATTTTAACATATATGGCTATCCACAACCAGGAATAACCTAGCATAATCTAGATGGCTAGTGACAGTCGTGTGTGGGGAGTAGGGCGAGCCTTGTGGCGTCAAGTAGAGATTATAAAAAATGTTTCCTGTTTCAATTGCATTGCTTTCCTTTTATACCTTTCCTAAAATTTTGAAATTTCCCTGCTAAGAATGAATAAGTTATCTACATAAAATATTATGAAATTAAAATCATTAAAAAATTTTTCTGAATAATTACAAAAAGAAATATAAGCTAAATGTTCTCAACATTTAATCTATTTTGAAAAAGAAGTGTAAATTATAGATAGCATATTTCTCTTTGTAAATATTGATATTTTAAGCTTTTATTTTTATAAATATTCTGCATCGATCATATTTTTTATGGTATAAAGGTTAAGAGTAATTTTCATAAGATTATTATCATTGTCAAGAACAATTAATATTTTTAAGAATGATATATATTAAAGAAAAAAAAAACCTTTTTTTGTCTTTATTTGTTTTTAAACTGAACTTATATGTCATGTTTTATATCGAAAATGCTAATGTTCCTACTCTTAAAATATCAGTAATAGTTTTATGAGTATGCGATTGAGAATTTTGTATTTATCACACATGGACTATAGGGCGAATTACATCCTCCAAAATAATTAGCACAGACGTTGAAAAGGAAGAAAAAAAGTACACTTGGTTTGTGCTAAAATAGCGTCATGTTCGTGGTCTTCCTGTTTGCACAACCCAAATAAGGGATGAATGTTCATTCTTAACATCAAAAATAGTTTTAAACAGACGCCCTTCAGAATTCATTCCATATCATTATTTAAATTAGATACATTAAGTGAGTATAATTATTTTTATTGTAAAATAATTTATTCTTTAATAAAAAAAGCAATAAAAAACAGCTAAGATGACAAAATATGCTTAAGCGTAACTATCAATTTTGTGAAAAATTAAGGCTATATGTGCTTAATGTTGATCACACTCTCAGAGTTGTATATATTTTTTGTAAGAAAGCTGTTTTACAATAATATGAATTTAACTATTAATATTGCTTTAGAATTTTCAATAGTTATTTACTATTCATTAATTTATTTAAATATGTTGAATGGATATAGTTAGTTTATTGTATAATCATTTACTATTAAAAAAAAAGTAACAAAAAAATAATTTGATAGATAAAATACATATCGTAAAATAAGATACATAGCGGAACTACATATCTGTTTTGAAAGTAAAGGCGGTCTATGCATAATGCTGATTGCACTGCTACAATCATTAACTATTTTTCGTTAAAGATGTTATTTAGCAATAATGCAAATTTAATTACTGATATTTCTTTAGAATTTTGAAACAATAATTTAATATTCATTATTTTAACTGCATATCTTAAATGAACATACTTAATTTTATTGAATCCTCATTTACTATTAAAAAATATATACATAGCAAAAATAACTGATAGGACAAATTAAGTTTAATCTATAGAGCATAATTATTATTTTGTCTGAAAAGTAAAGACAATATGTGCACAATGCTTACCATACTGCTACAATCATGCCATTAGTCACGAAATCATCAAGATTTAAAATCCCTTGCCAACAGCAGGCTGTAGGGAGAATATTCTACCTTTTTTTTACTTTTATACATAGCGTAATAATAGTTAAAAAAAAATATATGAGAATTATAAAATTGGACATTAAATATCACTATAATTAAGATGGAATAGAATAAAAATACTGTTAAATAAGATATAAATTTACATGTAAATATCCTAATTTTTATTAGTTTTAAAATAATATTGATTTAATTAACTTATTTTATTATTGTCCAAAAAGATGTAAAAACCTTTTCCAAAGTAGAATGATAATCACTCTATTTTCTGTTCTAATCTGGTAAATTAACTATAAGTGCTCAATAACGCTCAAACAATTAATAAGCTCGCAACAATTATTGGAAGAAAAAAAAAGATTGCAAATAAATTAAAAGCAGTAGGAAAACAGATCGTTTTAGGTGGACTTTTAAATTCATTTTAAAGTAATAAGTAATTAACAAGTTAAAATTGAAGCACTTCCATTGCAAAAAATAACTTACGAAATCACAATATTTTAGAGTATCAACAGCATTTTAATTTTCTATGTCCCTGAAAATCACTCCCTTTGATAACCCAGTCCAGCCTTGTGCCATTTTACATACAGAAAGGTAGACCCCTTGGTGACTTGTGGTCAAAGTCATATGGCGCTTCTACGTGTGGCACTAATTAATGCTGGTGGTTGCACATAGCCTAATTAATTTTTTTTAATATTTTATTTTGCAGTCTTTGATTGCACCTCAGAAGATGGATGGAAAAATGGTTATTCAACCTACTGAAGACGATGATGGTATGACTTTTTTTTACTCTTTTTATTTAGAAAATGACATTTATGCTAACTTTTAATTATACAATTATTTCGAATGTGTCATTAGTGATTTTTCTAAAATATTATACAGTAGAGCGCCGATTATCCGAACTGCTCGGGACCGAACATGGTTCGGATAATGAAAAGTTCGGATAATTGGAAAGTTGTTTAAAATCTAGTTTAAATGATTATTATTTATGCACTAACTTCCCCTCACACTTTTTCCAGGTTTAGGACTAGCAGTACTATCTAAAATAGCTCTGTTTGAAGTTTTTTTTTTTCTCAATTTTTAAATATTTTTTTTTCTACTCTTTTTTTCATTTTGAATTTTTTTTAATAATATTTCATCTTTTTATAATTTTTTTTGTCAATTACTGATTTTACCACTGCAAAAGAACTACTATTTTCCATTGCAGAAGAAATCCAGCCATTTGTTTCAAAGAAGATACTCTTTTTTGAGCAGCCATATCTCTTAATCTTTTTAAATAAATCAACTACAACATCATTTTAACATTCTAGCCAATTCATTGCAATATCTAATGAATTGCATGCTTCTATATGAGAATGTCCACTATCTTGAACTTGATCACCCGCTTCTTCCTCTTCGTCTGTGGAGTTCCGGTTTTCATTCAAAATTTCAGCAACAATTTTATCATCATTTAAAATTTGACATCCTGGGTCAAAATTTGAAATTTTCAGTGCCTCGACACCTGTTTTCTTTTTCTTCTGCTACATAACTTGGCATCTTTTCATCCGAAAGATCTACTGGTTCAGAAATTTGGAAAAATTGTTGATAAGTTAAAAAGTATTCTAAAAAAAGTTAATAAATAAAACTAAACACATTCAGACACAGTTCGGATAATTGGACGTTCGGATAATAAGGGTTCGGATAATCGGCGCTCTACTGTACATGGTTTTTACAAGTTCATGAAGTCCTGAAAAAGTATTAAATTTTTAATAATGTTTTTAAATTATTTAAAAGTGCTTTTTTTGGGCGTAATACTTACATATGCTATATAATACTTAAAAGTGTTTGTTGTCTGTTTTAAGGTTATGCAAAAGAACGTTAGCATATTATTTAAATAAATTATTAAAAAGAACCTTTAGCTATTATATATCAAAGGAACATATTAACATTTTACATGTCATGAAAAATCATTTATATGTAACTTTTATGTATTAAAAATTTTTCATGATTGTAAAATTTTTTAATAATGTCTAGTTTGTAAGTTCTCTTCATTTAATTTTAAACCCTTAAAAACTATTTTTTATATTAAAAATTCATATTGCTATAGTAGTATAGAAATTTTTTTTAAATAACCGAAGTAAAAAGCCTTGAAAAAATATTTTGAATATGAACAATATAGCTGTGTCCATTTCTTTTTTTTTCTTCTGATTAATTAATTCTTTTTTCTGTTTCCTTGTACAGATCTTGATGAGTTTTCAGTGAAGCATGTTGCATCAGCCCGCTATTTAAGAAATCATCGGCTAATAAACGAAATTTTTAGTGACAGCGTAGTTCCTGATGTACGCTCAGTTGTAACCACCCAGAGAATGGCTGTTCTTAAAAGACAAGTCCAGTCTTTAACAATGCATCAAGTATGTTATTCCATAATCAAAGTAAACATTAGTTTTAGAAATTTTTTTTATTTATTGCTAGGTTTATTTTTCTAATAAACTTCTATTCCTCTCTTTGTAATTTTGTAAAACTTAGTTATTTTATTTCTGTTCTCATTTAATGAGGATTTCTAGTGTTTCTAGATAGAACCAATAACTTCAGTATGGACCCTATTATCTGCAGAATTGGTTTCTCTTGTAATGAGGATTTCTAGTCTGGGGTCTGTTTAGAAGAAATTTGGGTCCGTTACCGGACCTTTCACAAAATATTTTAACTTAAAAACGAACTCTTCACAAAATAATTTATCTTTTAATCGGACCCTTCACAAATTTGTTTATCCTCATTATTGTTTTCTTAAATGAATAAACCCTTCCCAGGAAGGGGGGGGGAAGAAAGATAGATGTAAAGGAACTAAATTTTGTCTTTGGCAGACGCTACTTCCTTTATTCGTCCGAAATGAATATTCAGCGTTCAGCAGTTTAGGCTAAATAACCAAATATTTGTATGTTGCATCGCTAATTTAGTAGCTGCAATTTTGTTTATTTGTTTCAAATTTAATTTTTTTAATTATAATTTTACAGTGTTGAGCATAATCTTGTATGTCTTTAAAATTTAAAGGCTCCTTGAAAAAGTTTTTTTTTGCAATAACGGGCCCTATTTGCACAAATTCACCAAAGCGGACCCTGGTTGAAAGAATGTGACTTANCCTGGTTGGAAGAATGTGACTTAACGTTTATTTTATATTCACAAATTACATGTAATTTTTTCACAATTTTACAAAAATGAACCTTTCATAAAATGTTTGGACAGACCCTTGCTGGTGTTTCTAGATAGAGAGAACAAATAACTTCAGCAGGGACCCTATTATCTGCAGAATTAATTTCTCTTGTAATCAGGATTTCTAGTGTTTCTAGATAGAGTAGAGAGAACAAATAACTTCAGTGAGGACCCTATTATCTGCAGAATTGGTTTCTCTTGTATTCAGGATTTCTAGAGAGAGAAAACAAATAACTTCAGTAGGGACCCTATTATCTGCAGAATTGGTTTCTCTTGTATTCAGGATTTCTAGATAGAGAAAACAAATAACTTCAGTAGGGACCCTTTTATCTGCAGGGATAGATTGGCGGGGCATCTTTTACAAATCTTGTGGATCAAAAAATCATAAAGTGAGGTGAAATCACAAAAAAATAATTTTAAAATTAATTCATACCTGTGTATATATTTTAAACATACAAAAGAAATCTTTGTTCTACGTCTAAATGAGTAAATCAACTAATGGTAAAGAAACAATTAGTGCATCTTTCATAAAAGTGGTTTAGTTACATTAAAAAAAATATCAATGATTGATGACGTGCACTATCATTTTTGATCTCTTTGCAAAACTCATGTACTCACAGGCAATCGTAGCTCATCTGTATAAATTTTCTGTAATATTTAAGAATAGACTAAGGGAAAAATTAATGAATTCTTTATGATTAACTTAAGATCAAACTTAATGAATTAATGTGGATGTTTTATTTCAGTCTTTTGTATAACTAATGAGAGAGTGATTTGATGGAAATTATCAGAAGCAGTCTAGAAAATTAACTGTACGACAATGGCTATGTGTTAGGAGCCCAGCAAATAAAAAAGTGTTGGGTTTAATTACTGTAAAATTCTTTTCATTGTAGATATTTGCATGATGGTTATAATTTTATTTTCTTCTTGCAGAAAAAACTGGAGGCTGAACTGCAGCAAATTGAAGAAAAATTTGAAGCAAAAAAAAGAAAATTTTTAGAAGCAAGTGAACAATTTCAAGAAGAGTTGAAAAAGGTAAATTATTTTCCCTCAATCAAATTTTTAAAAAATAATCGCTGTGTGATTGAAAATTACATAATAGCAGTTTCAATGTTAAGTGTCAATGTTTTCAATTAAATTATATGAATTGTAATATTAATCACAAATTTTTTTTTAAAGAACATCAGTAAAAGAGCACCTGCTAAGAAAATTTGTCTAGCTTTTAAAGAAATTTGGAGTCTTGAGGACCAGAATTGTAGCCTTGCTAAAGTAATAAAATAAATCAAAAAATTTTTAATCAACCCTACATATTATAAAATTTTTATGAATTCTTACTATAGAGGAATGGGCTATGGCACAGTGAGTAAGGCATTGCATTAAACCTGGTTCTATCTGTGATGATTGATTGAAGCTCGCCCAAGATGGAAGGTTACCATCTTGTCTGTGGCAGTGAGATTAAGGCGGCTGGTGCACAATACTGGCCTCATTGTCACCACCATGCTGTCAGTCTCAAAATTGTGTCTTAACCTCCATGACCCCTCTGGCCGACAAGGTTGACAGTTGGGGCTTATTTTTAATAGTAATAAATATACAAGAATACCAAGGAGAGGTGCTTAAAGTTAACAAATTATGCTTATTTCATGTCTTTTATCTATCTTTTCTTCGTTATCAGTATGCATTTGTATAAAACATGATTATTTTTCTTACCAGTTTATATAAAAATGTCATATTTTAGATTTTAAAAATTACTAATATTATAAATTTAATTAAATATCTTTGGTATATCACTAATTAACTTTTTTTTTGTGATCTATATAATTGCTTAATTGAATTGATGAAGAAAGAAAATGTAAAACAGTAAATCAATTTTGTCCATTCTACTACAAGTAAGACAGTGCCTAATTTTGCATTAATTATGTTTCCTAGAAAAATCTAAAGCATTTTAATCACTTTAAAAATTTTTAATGCAGTATATTTTTACTAAAATCTTCAGTTCTGAAAAGAAATTTAAAAAATTTGATGTAATTGCTAAAAGATCTGATTTTTAAAAAAAAAATATTTTTTAACTATGTCTTAAATTTTTTTTAATTGTTATTATTTTTACATCTTGTTCGAAAAGAAAGTCTTTAAAATTCTATATAACTTGAAATGTTATGTACAAGGAAAAGGTAGCACAGATGAATATTAAATTAACAGATTTGATGAAAATATTGTTTTTAAACTATATAAATCACAAAACTGATAACTTTGTAAAAGTTGTCATGTTTTGAGTACTAAGAGGTATGTATGGAACTGTAACAAGCTTGAAGTTTTTAATTATAACCTTGGTAAAGTTCAATGACAAGTACTGTAAAATAAGTTATGCGCAACAGCCCATTGTGAAACAAGGGAGGTTAAGATTCAACAATGTGGTTGGCATAGTGCACCAACCTCCTTTACTTCCCAGGTACCAATTGATCTGAAGCTGGATAGGCTTTAAGCCTCTACCGAGAATCGAACCTCATAAAATACTGTGGCCTTATAAATATTGTTTTGGTTCTCCAGTTTATGAAAACGCAGTTATGGTTTAGCATTATTTAATAGTAATTAGTTTTCAGAATAATGCATAAATTATCCATTTTATTTTATTCTTCTTAAATGATAAAAATAATTTATTTACCTCACAAAATTATAATGATCTTATATAAATGCAAGAATTTACAAAAGTTCAGCATATCTAGAAGTTTTGTTGAACTTTTACCCCAAGTTTTAGGCATGGTATAATGTACCTCGTATTATAATGTCAAGCGCAGCATTTCGTACTTGCTTAATATTCGACTATACATTTTCCTTTATCCAAGTTTTGGTAGGAAAGACTGATTTTTAAGAATATTCGGCCTAAATGATATTTTTAGAAAAATCTTTTTTTCCTTGAAATTTATTCGATATTTCAGACTTGAAAATTTAAAAAAAAAAAAAAAAAAAAAAAAAAAGGTATCACAGTTAGTTTTTAAAAAAAATTAAAAAAATTATAACCGTCATTGTACAGCCGATCCAATTTTTGGGTTTGCGACTGCTAATGTTCAACTATGTAGCCTTGTAATTTTAAACCCACTCCAGAAGACAAGGGAACTCATGGATTAAGTATTGGAATTAACCCCGCATTTGCGTTACATGGAGAGGAAGACCTCGAGAACCTCCCACGATTAGCTTGATGGCAAGGGGACTCTAACCCATGATCCGCCTTCCACTGAGGATATTTCACGCCAGCACTGTGGTCGGTACAAGCCGGATGCAGAATTTGTATGGAGGAGCCATCGCTGAGATTCGAATACGGTTCACCTAATTGGAAGGCGAACGCTCTATCCCCAGATCCCTCAATTAAAATATTAAGAAAATTATGTGTAATATTTGTTTAAATGTATGATTTTTTTTTTTTTGTTGCTCAGATTATCTCCTATTGTAGTCACTTACCCAACACCATTTGCAACATTGTTTCAGAATCTCAAAATTTCAAGGGTATTTTGTGAAGTAACTTCTATTTTTCAGAAATGCACTAAAGTTGTAGATGATGATGCCTATCAGAAAATGGTGGATCGTGCAGTCGACCAATTGAAACGTGACATTATAAACCGCGATAACCGTTCTAGAGGGGAAACTAGCACACCATCATCTCAACTTGAGCAGGCTGAGAATGGGGAGGTGAAGGTTGAAAAAATGGATGTCCAGTTTACCTTGGATGCAGTGAAAGCTGAAGTTGATGGAAATGAAGCACCTCAAAAGGAAAATCAAAGTGAAGGTGAAACTAGTGCACTTTTGCAACCTAAGGAAGAACCACAGGTACATTATTCTATCTCAATTTATGATGGTGTATGTTTTGTCTCATTTTTTACAGCTACCTACGTTTTAACTTATTTAATAGGCTTGTTTCTTTTATTGTTGAATCTTTAAATAAAAAAAATATGGGGTTATAAAAGAAAGAGTTACACAGACCACCATTTTCAAATTAATAAAACTCTGCTCTTTTTCCACTAACGGGAAACAGAAATTCACGATAAAATCGACACAAAAGCACATTAAAAGTGATTACTATTTGCTCAATTTGAAAATTTTAAGTTGCTATAACACCATATTTAAAGGATCAGGATTTTAAGAAATACATAGGAATTCGATATTAGCCTCCGAGCTAGAAGTCACTCGATGGTAAAGCAACTTCGATTAACAATGAAATGAACTGAAATAGAGAGCTTTTAAAGTGATCACTATAATTTGAAAGTATTGCGTCATAATTTTGTAGTATTAAAAAATTATAATAGTTTTTTATTATGTTGAGGGACTTCTGCGGGCAAGCTGCAGATCCCTATCATATAGTGTATTATTTCTGGATCAAGCACCCTCCCTCGCTGCTGCGTAGGTGTTACTTATACCACTGCTGAGAGGAACAAAATGGGTGTTATTTTAGGATTTCTTATGACAAAATTATACAAACCTTTTCTTTTTGTATTTTCTTCTGTTCGCTAAATAACTGTCTTAAGTAAAAAAAAGTTAAAAATGTTTTTCAGCATCATCACAATTTATTTTTGTCAATTTAAACTAAAATAAGGGAAATTTTAAAAATTCTAAAGAGATAAATGCAATTTATAACTAGTAATTAAGTATTAAATTACTAGTTTAAAATTACTGACTGAATTTCATTGCATTCTATTTTTAAGAAGCTCTTAATGTTATCTAGTTCTATTTTTTTCTCTAACTAATATCTAGAATAGATTATTCCATTAATTTTTGAAAGATATTGTGCTGATATGAATGAAGACCTAGGAAATAAAAATTACAATTAAACATGATGAAGAAAGAGGACTTTTAACAGAAGTTATTGAGATTCTTGTTTTGTTTTTTTTAATTTTTTCTCTCAAAGCAAAACAATTCTTTAAATTAGGCATGAAAGGCTAGACTCATTCTCTAATTAAGAGTTAGTCATAATAGCAGTTGTCATAAAATTAGTTCTGTAAAATATAGTAGTTTTTAAAGTTAAATAAAAAGCAGTATTAAATTGGTTTGTTGGAATTTATGTTTGATATATCTTTCAGGGTGGAATGTTTGCTACACAAGTTGTTCAGGAAAATCCCCCTGTTCAACAGAACACTTATCCTCCTGCAGCTCCACAACCGCATATACTTCAAGAATCTCATCAACAACAGCAGCAGCAACATCCTTTGCAAACGAATTATTCAGAAGGTACGTTTATTAATATTGTCTTAAAAGGAAGCATTAATAAAGTATCCACTATTAAACTAGGGCATTTGTATATTACAAGAAATTATGTCCATATTGACAAACATAGAAAAATATTTGTGTATATTGGGCAGTTAGTGGTATTTGGCAAAGGGCAAAAATCGTAAGGGGAAAGAAAGAAAGTTGCGGCACATTTAAAGAGCCTTAATTCTCAATTACAAATTATTGAGCACCAATTAGCAAAATTACACTAAACCCCCTTTTTTTTCGACATTAAAAATGATAATAATTTTGAGTTGAATTGATTATGAAATTTTTCTCTCTTCGTTGAATTTATTACTTAATTAGATAGTAATGCAGTGATTCTACTAGACTTTGGTAAGTATGGATCCTTGCCCAAAACTTTCGAGTTTCTGGGTTCTTTTTACTAAAATGGGGTCCATATTTAAAATAATAAAAAATCTCTACTTTAATGAAATACATAAAAAATAAATATTTCATGATTAAAAAAAATTCCTTAAGACATTTTTTTATTTCAGCACATTCAACAATTGATGGATTATTGGAATTGTTTGGGATTTTCTAAAGCGTTTATTTATCTTTTTGTCACTTGTTTACTAAAAGCGATTAATATATTTAAAAAATGAAGTTTTAATAAATAAAAAAATTTCTTTTGTATTCTAAATACTGTGTTATGTTGAAAATACATATCACTAAGTATATATGAGTTGAAAGCCAATTAAAATCATATATAAAATGGATTTTTTTTTGTTTCACCACCTATGTGGTTATCATTTCGAGAATCAGTAGTTTTGTCTCGAACTTCTAATTTGTTTTTAAATAAACTGTGAGAGCGTAAAAGAAGGACCTGGTCAGTAGGGCGTTGGGCCCATGTTCAAGAGGTCCGGAGTTCAATCTCAGCCGACTGAAGACTCCCCATGTAGTAAATGGTGACTGGTGCACATCAAATCTGTCAGGTCATAAAGTCCTCTATGTGCCCATAACAAATCAATACTTCTGGGTGTACTGACTTGGAGATTGATTTTTCCCTGGTTCATTTTAAAACTACGATCCGTGGATAAATAAACAGAAGTATGAATGGGTCTGCCCCATGAATGGACTGTGGCGTGTATGGTTGATGTCGTTTTCTTGGCCATATATGGCGCCATTGAAAAAAGAAATGCACTCTTTGCTTTAAATTTGCTTGGCTTCGCCAAGCCGACTTGCTGATATTGGTGAGAGGAATTAAAAGTAACAACAGCATATAAGACAAACACATAATTACAATATCCGTATAAATTTAATAGTATACTTGCAATTCTTGTGTCCAAACCATAGCCTCAATATGCTGAATGTGCCCATTTAGCTTCATGTACATGTACTTCCTACTTTTAAAAACACTTAAAATTTATAAATAGAATGATCGACAATGTGATTAATTCTGGAGTTATCAGTTAAGTTTTTTAAAAAATGCTGGTGTTAAAAATCAATAAGTTCTTCTTTGCTAATTATTTTTAATAAAACACTACATTTTTTTAAAAAAAAAACTAAAATTCCTAATTTGAACAAAGTATTATAATAAAAATATCCTCATTTTTGTTACCTAGTTTCTATTAGAACAAAATTGTTGTTGATCAATTTTAGGTTCTCACCTAATATCCTTTTTTTTTTTCCTTCTTTTTTTTGTAATAATGTGAACTTTTTGTTTTGTTAGAATTTTTTTTCTTCGTGTTCATTACAAAGGGATAGTTTTAAAATTACCAAAAATTTATTAAAATTTGTAACTTTTCCTTTTTTATATTATTTCTTTAGAAATTGGTATAGTTAACTTTTTTACTTAAAGAAACGAATTTAAAATTAGGAAAAGAAAATCAATTTATGTCAATCTCTGAATTCAAAAAATTGTAATTGCTTCTCAAAATGAAAATATTTTAAAATACTTCTTGACCTTTGTCCTTACCCTATTGCCATGGCAAGTCTTTTTTAAAAAATGTAGCAATGGTTAAATAAGAATTAAAACAAATTTTTATCTTCTCCCAAATGTTTTAGTTAAAAAAAATAATAATCATTGTTTCGATAATATATTTTTTTGCTATCGTTATCATTTTCCTGAGGATTTGGCGAGATTTAAAATAGAATTCCTATTAATCTCAAACTGTAAAATATCCCTGACCTTGGCAGTAAAATGGTGTTATATTCTGACCTAATATGTAATTTCTATTTTGTCAGCATGCATACATTTTTTCATAAATACTGTAGAAACTTATAAATCACATCTGCTTCATTTATTAGGATATGTTTTTAAATTGACTTTTCTTTGCAGGCATGTAAGCTGCATAATCTTATCGAATCCATCATATTTCATTTGCAAGAACAAATTTGAAATGAGTGAAGAATTGAATGAATTTTGTACATTTATTTTTCATTTTAATATATTCTAAGATTTCAAATGTATTCTTTTTGGTCTTCATGATTTGTTATTTTAAACAAAGACAGTCCTTAAGATAGTCTTATTAAAAGCTCTTCAATTAAATTTGTGTGCTTGATTTATTTTTTCCCATAGGTAGAGTGACAAGAATGTGATAAATGTGTGTGAAAATAGGTATATTTTAGTACATTAGCAAAAACATTCAAAACTTTTAAGAGTATTGATTTGGCTTAAAGTCTCTAATAAGGTGGGTTTTATCAGGTTGCGTATCTTTCACCATAAGTATTTTTTAAGCACTTAATACATTAAAAAAATGCAAAATAATTTTCAGACAAAGAACTCTTTTCTTAATCATATTAGCCATTTAAAATGCTCAAGAGATTTTTTGGTTCGATATCAGAAGGTGAAAAATGAAATCTGAAGTTGAGAATATCTTGAAAAATACAGTAGAGTTGCACATGAGAGTGCAAGAATCTCACAGATCTCAGCTCAGTAGACGCAAATGCGGACTCCCAAGTATTTCATCAAACATGTGAAATGATTGGCGCTTTCATACGCTGTGGACCGACGGTACACCGAAACCGATTGTAGTTCAATGGATTGTGAAAACGTTGCATAGAACAATGTGAAAAGCACGCTTTTGCATAACAAGAGGTCAAAATCAACATGGTAAAGAAAAATATATCATTTTCGAAAAGGGAAAATTAAGCACTTTTTAAAAACACTCAATGAAAAGAGCACCTTTAAGGGCTTGTAAAATACCAAATTCGAAAATAAGCACTTTTTAAAAATGCTACGCACCCTGTTTTTTCTGAACATTTATTTCTACAGTTGTGTCCCATTCTAGTGTACTGTCTGCCGACCTGAAAATAGGTTCACTATATTCAATTTCTTTTTTAAAAAATTACTTTTAAGCATATATAAATAATAGTTAGTAAAAGTGATTAAGTACTTTATAAATTACTTGTTTAAGGTAATTTTTATATTCTATTGGAAGAAATTGGCGATTTTCAATTTTAAGTACAGTTCACCAATCTTCATATTCACAACTAAGAATCAATTACTTTCTGCAGAAAAAATTAAGAGTATTAAATGCAAATTTTATTTCAGAGATCAAAGTTCATAAAATTTCAAGAATTAAAAAAAAAAATGTCCTAGTTTAAAAACAAAAGCATACTAGAGTAACATTTTGACACAATGTAAAGAAAATGAAGTTATAATTGCAGCTCTCACATATGTATTATAATGTAAAAGAAAAAAATTAATAAGAGTAGTTGAGTCCACAATAAACGAACTATCAATTTTTCAGCTGTCCGTTATGAGCGTATAAAATAACAGTTAAATTTAAGTTCAGAAATTATCACTGAAAATTCCACTATAACCGAGTGTTCAGTATATTCCAGGTTAATTATAGCAAGGTTTGACTGCATTAATGTTCTTAAGATGTTTTGTTAATAAACTAAATCAAACTTAACCTTTTTCTCACCAACTGATGTCAGGGCAACTCCTAGGAAACTTAGTATATGTTCATTAGAGAGACCTATCAAACAAGTCTCACTATGACAAGCATTTTGTGAGATCTCTGTTTTAAACAATCTTCATTTTGCAATTACAGAGTAACCTGTAAACCAAAATGCAACAACCTGTATAGAACAATTTTTTCATAAAATCTAAATCTGTAGTTAAATATAGGAATTTTTATTTAAGATTTAGAAGTTGCCCCATTTCCAGGAGGTAAGATTGAGGCATCGAATTCAGTATAATTGAATGTAGGTTTAGAAAACATTTCTACGTGTATTTCATCTCGAGATATTTCACTGTTTCCATACATTTTGGACACGAAGTATTAAAAAAGAATATCGGAGTATATGATTAATATTTATTTATAGGAAAAACTAGAACATAAATGTGTGACACAGTATATACAAAATTCGAACAAAGATACTTTGGCATTATCAGTGCACCATTTGCTCTTCCATGGCTTGAGCCATCCATTCTGGTGCATGCAGCGTTACCTTCTCAATGATATTATTCACTTGAAAACATAAGCTCTCTATCTGCTTATCCCAGGAGGGAAGAACTTCTTTATCTAAAAAAAATATGCAATTAAGTACTAATTTGAGAGCTTAATAATGTACTCCAGAGGAGTGAAATACGTGACATATTAATACATATCTGTCCAGAATTTTTTGCACTGCCATTGACCAAATTATGGCCTTTTTTGTTATGTGTACGACAATTTACAAATCATTTGACTACAGACAATTGACTATGATATGAAAAATTTAATGTCACATTGACAGGTATGTGTTAAATGATAATGAATTAAATTTCTTGTGATAGGTTTCATATGCTTTTAAAAAAAAGTTTAGTAAAGTAAGTAAGTACACTCAGTTACAACTGCTAGGTTATATGGACATTCTTTTAAGCAATTAATTAAAAAAAACTACAGAGCTTATTTTTGTTAGGAATTAGAAAAAATAATTTTCCTGAAATATAAGAAAATTATAAATAATACACATCAAAATATAGTTTGAAAATATTTTTCTTTTGCTCCCTCTTATTTTAAATATTAATAAAAGATTTTTAATTTCTAGCACTCAAGGATCTTTTAATGGTTAAAACTATGGATCCAGCCATTTATAAGATAAAACTGAATGTTTTCACAGTTTTGAGAGTCCAGAGTCCACTAAATGAAGTGGTTAATAAACATGCAAAAAAATTTTATTGTAGTCATTCTATAGCTAATATTTTTTTTAGTCAATAGGCATTTTATAGTAGTCAGTGATGTCTGAGAGACATCTCAAGTTCAAAGGGTTAAAAAAATTAAAGATGCAAGCTTGTTTTTCTTATTGCAACAAAAAGTATGATTCTGCTAAATAAAAAAATGTTCCCCCATAGTGTTTTTAGAAAAGTGGCCTACCCTGCTTTCCATTTCACTGAGATAAATGCATCTTCATTGCCCCCCTTTTTTTTCTACAAATGTTGTCTTTTCTGATTTGGAAAAAATAATGGTCTTATTACTTGTTTTTTTTTTTTTTTTTTGTTAATTATTTCAAGAAATGAGATAACATCCTTTCTCAGAGCTTCAGAATGTTATAACTACTTAAAATTATTCTTATGCTAAGGTTATGGATTGCTAACTGTCCCTTTGCATATTTTTTTAATATTGGCTGAAATAGTTTTTATGTGATAAATACCTAGATAGCTTAATCAAAGCCCGTAAAACAAGTTTCCCTCAGTATAATTTTTTTATTTCTAGGTAGATCTCAGAGTAAATTAATATTATGTGAATAAATTACTATGAATCTATATAAAGAACAAGAAATAGTTCATTCAAATATTATTATTACAGAACAAAATGTTCCAAAAATTTAAAAGCTAAATAAAAATATTTAACAAAATTGTCTACACTGGGAAATATCAAGCATCAAAAAACTTAAAAGAACATTCAGCTGAACTCATGGAGCATTTCTATAAACATACATACAAAAAACATTCAGATTTATTAAATTAAAAATACTTTCAACTCGATTACTGATGCATAGCAAAAAGCTAGATAGTGAATTATAACTTTAAAAACAATCGTCAACAAATGCAAATAATTCAGTTTGATCAATATTAATCTTCTATACATTTATAAATATTTTTTATTTAAATCTAAAAATACTCCCGATAACATTTTTAAATTAAAGTTAATTAATTGTAATTTTAAATTAAAATCAGTTTTTTACATAATTCAATTAATTATTATTAATTTAAAAAAAAGAATAAGCAACTCTATAAGATAAAAAATTTTTGAAGAAATTTTTTTTATTAGTATTTCCATCCTAATTTTTTTCAATTAAAAGGTGCTTAAAACTATCTTTATTTCTTAAAAAGTCCCCATTTCTTGAAAAATTTCGCTATGCACTCTGTAAACATTTTATTTTTTAGGGAGAAAAAATTATTTACTTTACCCCTTACAGACAAAGATCTATGCTAGATTTTAAATATTAGTAAAAGAAAATGAAATTTTTTGTGAATGGTACAGAGTATTAACATCTTTTAAAAACTCCTGTATATTACCATACAGGAATCAAATAAAATAATGCATTCCATAGATATTTAAAAACAATAAATAAAAAATTAAACATTTTATAAACTCCAACACTATTTAAAGCAATCTTAAAAAAAAACAAAAAGCAAGCCTCTGAAGTTAAGTTATTAAGTATTAGAAATAAAAACGTACTTTCGAAGTTGACAATAGAATCAATCTGATCAATAAATCCATTCATTCTTCCTTCAGTGATCATTTGAGAAGCTATTTTTTCAGCCTGAAAATTATAATAATAAATACTCTAGAAATACACCGATACCAAGTTTCAAACTTACAGCCATAAAATTTCTTTAAAATAAATTTCTTAATTGTCATATACCACGATCCCTTTAGTCAAGTTGGTGGCAAATATGATAATTTTTATATAAACGTTAATGTTCTAGCATTGAATTTTTATACAAAAAATTTGTATACTTTCAGATAAAAAAATACTTTTTCATTAAAAAAAAAACATACTTTGTCTGAAAAATTTTCCTATATATCAATAACTGATTTAGCAAATATATATATTGTGATAAGTGATTACTCAAATTAGACATTCACACATCATAATATTGTATTAGAAATAGGATTGTTTAAAATCATGCAAAATTTCATAGCGATACCGGCTAAAAGGCGATCGAGAAACAAAATAGACTTACGATGAAATCTGTGCAAATCGAGAACATCAAAAAGTGGTGACCTTATTGCAATTGAAAATTTCCAACAATTTTTATTATATAAAATAAAGAATTCATTGTGTTCAGAAGCTCCTGCGGACCGCAAGTCGTCATCCCATATATATGCTAAAAACTGAATATGCTCAGAAAAAGTCTCCTTTTGCCGAAAATAGTTGCTTTTTAATACTTTTCAGGCAAAAAAAGTTGCCATAGTGGCCTGTGGTAACAATTGATAACTCTACTAGCTATATTTCTTTTATCTTTAACAAGGGTGTAAAAAAACTAAAACATAGACACACAAAATCTGATAATTTTCCACTAAAAACATGATTTTAAAAAAAAATAATTTAAACGGCTGTCAAGCATTTTAATAGGTTATTTTAGAAAATATAATTAATACATATTAAAATTTATAGTTATAAAACTAAAGTTAATAAGTAATTAATCAAATCAATAAGTTATTAATAAATACCACACAAAAAAGAATTAAAATATTAATTAAAACACAAAAAAATATCTTATTAAATTCATATCACTGACAAATATGTTATAAAATAAGAAACTATTTTTACATATCACATTTCACAAGAGATAAAGAAGAAAATATAAGATAAGAAAAAACACATAAAATAAGTTGCCTAAATACTGTCACTTACTTTTGCATTGCTTTACAAAAAGAAAGTAAACAGTTCATATGAATATTAAATATAAGCTTATATTACAAACTATATTAAAACTATTCTTGCTTAATATTTTTATGGCCATAATCATTAATTTAAAAAAAAAAAGAGAAATGATTAAAATTGTGATTTTAATAATTAAAACCCTGATAATAACAGTTTTGAATATATTAAACAGCTTTTATTTAGATTAAATAAAATCTGTTGTCAATGTTTTATCAAACCGAAGTTACAATTAAAAAGAGTAACACATTTTAAAATTAGAAAAAAAAGCTCTCCTTAATAAAAATAACATTTAAAAGAATAACAACATTTACAAGTTTAGAAAAGAAAAGAAAAAGTTTAAAAAGTACAAAATTCAAAAATTTATTTTTTAAAATTTGGTAAACTTTTGGTTGACGAATTTTATCTAGTACATTTTAACTAATCCTAGCACAAGTATATGATGGATGATCTATTAATTTCGGAGATATAGAAAATAGAATAAGTATTTCGACGTTATGCGAGCCCCTCATCATTACCATGGCTTTTGTCAAAATCTTGCTTTTTCTCCATGTCAGTACATTTTCCCATAGTATAGTCAGCAAGAAGTTGAAATATAGTGTTGGTAAAAATTAAGATTTGTCGAAATCATGATAACTATGAAGGGTAGCATGGAGAAATTGCATGACCTTGAGAAGATTATTCTATTTACAAAAAATATAATACTATATAAATAATACAATTCCACCAAAGCAGCAAATGTAAATACAAGTAAAATAACAAGTAAGAAGTTATTGAAAGTTAATATTTGTAACAAATTAATATGGTTACCTTAGTAGGTGGTATCTCAAGGAGTGCTCCAAGCTCTTCAAACGTTATATTGTTGTATAATTTACTTGCAGATAATAGATTGTGCTCTATTACAGCTCTGTCTAGAATTGTTGATCCTAAAATAAATAAAATGTGTGTAATAATTACACATGAAAAAGTGAAACTCTCCATTACAATTTCACTGCCAAGTTCTCCCTATGCAGTGCAATCATTTTACCAAAATAATTAAAAACAGTAGCATTTCTAGAACCTTCAAATAATTACTTGCAGAAATACAGCCATTGAAGAGCAAACAGTAACAAACTACATAGGACTTTTTTTGAATTTCAAAAACAGCATAAATTTGAACAAGAAAATTTTTTGAAGAAGTTTTTTTCTTTTTTCTACATGTAAGAAGCATTAAAAAAATTTTTTAAAAAAAAGATAGCACAAAAATCTATGTTATAACAAGAAAATGAGATTATGAATAAATAAACTTTAAAATATCAATTTTAAATAAAACAGGATTGAAGTTTGAAGAATTGTATGTGGTGTTAATCTCAGTGACACTTTCAAATATAGAAATTTTTGAAAGAAATATTTAATTTTTGGAAAAGTTAGGGCAACTCTCCTCTTGAATCAATAAAGAAAAGTCTTTATTATTTCTTAGTAAGCAAACTTAGAGACAAAATTATAATTTTAATTCAGTTAACTATAACTAAATTATACAAATCTTTAATGGTTATAACAAATTTTTAGTATTATAAAAGGATCTGCAATCTGAAAGATCACTTCTGATAGCAATTAATAGAAAGATACAAAGTCATAATTTGCATGTACTTGCATAATATACATTATTAAAAGAACATTTTCATTCACTATAATTTTACAGGGAAATATTATTCAAAATTTTTAAGATATTATTTATTTTAATGCAAAATTTGTACCAATGATAATGTGTGGTGCTAAACTAAAGGTTTTGAATGAAAGCAGTTTTAAAAATATTTGTTTTTAAAGAGAAAAATATCAATATTTAAATAAGTTAGCTTGTAGATGTGGAGCTGTCAACATGGAGCTTCACACTTGTAAGCTAATTTGTTGTAAGTGAAAAAAAAGTACATATTGGAGGATAATAAATTTTTATAACAAACCATTGTGCACTATATGAAATATTTCTTATGTAGGGTGTTTAAGGATTTTTATAAACAGTGAAAGGTAATTTTTTTTTCCTTCAAAAGTGCATTAGACTAAAAACTACAATATTTTTCAATTGCAATTGACAATATTAAAATTAGCAAAAAGTTATCATTACATTCCTAAATTTGAAAATTTTGAATAATAAAAAAACTAAATTAAATGTGGATAGTTGTAACATAATTTTTTTTTTTTTTAAATCGTGATGGGAAAAAAAATTTTTTTTTTTTTCAAATTAGAAAGTTTTTAATAAAAACAATGAAAATTCTAATATCAAGTAAACAATAAATTAGGGATGGGCAAACTTTTTTGGTTGAGGGCAAAAAAATCACAAAAAAGTTTGGTGGGCCGAGTAGAAATTTCTAATATTTCGCACTCTACTGTAGACTGTTTCACATGGAAAAACGACACAATGTCGTCTTTCAGCTGCCAAACTCGCTCGAAAACACATCAGGCACTAAGCCACCTTACTTTCGTATAATACAGTACACAGAGTATTCAGATTGCAAGGACTGAAGAAAATCTCTAAATGGCATGTGAGTAAACCCACGAAATCGATTAGCATTAACAAGCTTTACTACTGCATCAAGCACAGGTTTCATATTCAATGCAGATTTACACAGAGCATCTTTGTGTATAACACAGTGTAGAAAACTAATGTTATTCCTGGGATAGTTCTGATTAAAGAGTCCAAGGAATACAGATTTTTTCCTGTCATATTTTGTGCCCCATCAGTCGAAATATTAAATATTTTTGTTACGGCAACTTTCAAAGTTAAAAACCCTTCCTGAAACTCACAAAAAATATTACATCCCACAGTAGTTCCCTTTAAAGAATGCACGCGTGGCAGTTCCTTGGGAATTTCAAAGTTTTCATCAACGCATCTTATAAATAACACTAACTAAAATAATTCATAGCTATTCAGCAACATTTAAATTGTGCAATTTTTGACTCTAATTGTGATGTCAAATTCTTATCGATGGATTCTACCATTTTTTGCGATAAGCTTACAGCCTCAAAATTATTTTTCATGTCTGGTCATAAAACATCACAAACTTGGAGCATTGTGTAACAAACTCCCCATCACTGAGCGATTTATTATTTTCAGCAATATTGTATGATATAATGTTACTTGAATGCGTAGCTGCTTCTTGGACACTGCTTATCTTCTTGAAAAAATTTTGTTGGCCTGATAATTCTTTAAGAAAACTTTCTGCATTTTGTCTTCTTTCACATTCAGAGATTGCTGCGTAGTTGCCATTCTTGTGCTTGTCTGTAAAATGTCGGTTAATGTTGTATTCTTTAAAAACTGCCACAGCTTTATTGCAGATAACTCATACTGGTTTATCTTTTACAACCGTGAAAACATTTCCAAGTTCATGCATCATTGAATGCATGGCACTCTGAATCAACTTAGCATTTTTTAGTAGCTATTTTGGGGTTAAATATTTTTACAAATAACTCAAAAAAGCATTAGCCATTTTATACATTTAATAATTTCACCATCATTTACAATGACATTATATGTGTGCAATCTTTCCATAAGCAATAAGTAACATTAGAACTCGTGCCGGCAGAAAAATCCACTCGTTGGAGCTTAAAATGAGCAGTCTGCCACATGTGAAGTACAATTCACCTATATTAGACTCCATATGCCCTTAAAGACAAATGTTTGTTGGAGCCAATCTATGGCTATTCTATAAAGAACTTCAGCTTTCAGCATTTTACCAATTGAAGCTGTCGCTGTCCGTGCTAACTATTTCCATCAATTTATGTTTCGTAGACCAAAATTAGAGAAAGTAAAAAGGTCATCAGTACTTGGTTAAAAAAGAAAGAACCAAAATAGCTTTAAACCAAGTAGGCAAGAAAATAGATGTATAATATATATTGTTTATATTCACCACTGATGGGCAAGTTAAAATTCGGTCCGCAGGACGGATAAAACCTTACGGCAGGCGACAGTTGGCCCGCGGGCCGTAGTTTGACCATCCCTGCAATAAATTAACACAGGGGAAAAAATAAAAAAACTCCTAACATCAGGGAATTTTTTAAAATAACCGACAATGGGTCGAATTAAACCAGGAGAGTGTCAGAAGATAGCAAAGTCTACAGGATTTTCAGTACAGTTGATAGATATCAATACAAAACTAAAGGTAATGTCAAATATATGCTTATTAACTAGCAAAGATGCTTATTAGTAAAAAAAAGATAAAAATTTNAAATCCACTCGTTGGAGCTTAAAATGAGCAGTCTGCCACATGTGAAGTACAATTCACCTATATTAGACTCCATATGCCCTTAAAGACAAATGTTTGTTGGAGCCAATCTATGGCTATTCTATAAAGAACTTCAGCTTTCAGCATTTTACCAGTTGAAGCTGTCGCTGTCCGTGCTAACTATTTCCATCAATTTATGTTTCGTAGACCAAAATTAGAGAAAGTAAAAATGATGGGCAAATTAAAATTCGGTCCGCAGGCCGGATAAAACCTTCCGGCAGGCGACAGTTGGCCCGCGGGCCGTAGTTTGCCCATCCCTGCAATAAATTAACACAGGGAAAAAAATAATAAAACTCCTAACATCAGGGAATTCTTTAAAATAACCGACAATTGGTCGAATTGAACCAGGAGAGTGTCAGAAGATAGCAAAGTCTACAGGATTTTCAGTACAGTTGATAGATATCAATACAAAACTAAAGGTAATGTCAAATATATGCTTATTAACTAGCAAAGATGCTTATTAGTAAAAAAAAGATTTTTACTTTTTAGTGATTCATAAAGAGATTTTTAGAAATCACTGTTTGAACTTATTGTGTAGATTTATTTAAGGACTTACCATCAGGGGTAGTGGCTTTCTGATGAAGTTGAAGCATAACAGAGAATTCTTGTAGCTCACTTCGTCGAATTATACGATCTAAGTACCTTAAAGGAAAGAAACAAAAGTTACAGGGTGAATTGATTAAATAAAAGTAATTAAATTAAACTAATTTGTTAAGTCCCTAAAAAATGATTAACAGCATTAACAAGTTAGAACAGATAAAAAAATAACTATAAACAATAAGTTTAGAGTAGCCACATATATAGAGAAAAAAAATTATGACTGTTCCAGACTGATTTAACATTATAACTAAGTTTACAATATTATGACTGCGAATATGCCAATTAAGCAGTGCAGGCGATATTCCAAGTTACGGAATTAGAAAACAAAAACAAACTTTCTCTGAATAAACATTATGATCCCTGACACCCACAGATTATGATAGGGCGTAGCTACAATCTTGGATATTTATTATTTTTAATTTTTTATTAATTTGTATAAAACCTTAATTATTGTTAATTATTATTATTAATTTTTTAGTATAAAATCTTTCATTCTGCCTTAAGTCTGCATCATTAAATGCAATGATTTCAAAAAAATAAATATAGTTATTTGATTTATACTCTTTGGGGGAAAAGGTCCCTAATGTAAAGTGAATGTACATAAATGCAAAAATGTATTATAAGCAACACAGTTACATTTTCTCTAGGATTCCATAAGTTGGTAACTGCTGACACCTCTCATCTTTAAACAGTGTTGCCAGCATTCTCGATCTTTGTTGACCTAAAAACGATTTATAAAAAAAAAACAGAAATAAAATTAATTTAAGAAAATAAAATCAATGAAACATTGACATTCAATAATAAATATTCAGAAAACAGTTCATAATTTACAACAATTAATAGAATTAAACCATAATCTATCCATTAAGAACAATCAAAACATTTAATAAGCTGTAACCACTTAAAAGGAGGACAAAAAAGGGATTTAAGAAGCTTCTAACATGTTGAGCACCAAGTGTATTTTTAAGAAAATCCCCATCAGGTCACATGCATACTATAAACAAATTGAAATAAATAAAAATTTGCTTCATAATAAATAAAAATGAAGTAAACTTTCAATAAAATTTTCAGTAATCACTTTAAACAATGTAAATTTTTTAGTTTTATATCAAATTTTACACTGTCAGTCACTGATGATTGACGCAGCATAAATGGAAAGTTCAGTATCAGTCATCAATGACTGACATGACACCCAAGTGTGTTAAACCAGATTTGCTCATTTCTCAAAACTGACGGTAATATTCCCTCAGATCTACCTCCTCCCTGATGGTATATTTGGATTATATACCCCAAGTGATGGTAAATAAGCCACACAAAAAAATTCAAATAACACATTTCAGAAAACAACAAAAAGACACATGCTATGTAGTGTGTTTTCTTTTTAAAATTAAAGTTATTGCTTCATTATTTCTGAACTAAATAATACAAATCCCTCAATCATGCCTTAATAATTAATATTTTGTAAAAAAATTTCATAAGACTTAAATTGTCAAGAGTGGAAAATACTTTTTCATAAAATTTAAAGTCATTCCATCTTGTTTATTACAAATTCTAAATCCTTTTTATCATGTAACACCCTGAAATATACAGAACTCAGAAGACAAAGGTAACCAATTTATTTTCTTTGCAACCTATTATTTGTTGAATTGTATTCTCTAAAAGTAATTGCCCCATTAAAAAATTTTTTGTACAAGTTTTTATCCATAAATGTTAAGAAACATATCCAAATATAATTTGTATTAATCAGCATGTGACTAATTATCGCAAGTTTAGCCTTAATTCTTTATAACTTGATACTTTTTATAAACTACTAAACATTAAAATATGTTTTTTATTTGTCATTAAAAGGTATAATTAATAAATTCTCACCTTTCTTACGATTAAAACAAAAAATTTGAGACTTTTTAAAATATCATTACCAGCAGAAGCAAGGATAGTGCAAATCAGAGCATTTTTCAATGCTCTCATGCGTTCCTCTTCATGAATTATATTCCTATATGATAATTCATTATATCGTTGAGCTGCCTCAATAAATTTCCGTCTATAGTCCAGAACTCTTGCATAGCACACCTGTAATTAATTGAATTTAAGTTTAAGGTTAGTATATGCAGTGAAACCCTGTTATAGTGAACTGTTAGTGAACAATATGTTCAATATAAACAGTGGTTCCTTATATCAAAATTTTTTTTAAAATTATTTGTAAGCATATTACAATATTACTGGAAATAGTGATTATGAAAGTACATAATTTATTTACACATTATTAACTGGCTAAATAGACAATAAATCAAATATTAAAAAGAAAAATATCTAATTTTTACATTCTATGGTAGAAATCAGTGATTTTCGAATTCAATTTTAAGTACAATTGACCAAGGTTTGTATCAACACTTGATAAAAAATCCAGTATTTTCTAAACCTCATTTTCTGCAGAAAAAAATCTTAAATTAAACATTTAAAGTTGACTTCAATTTCGAGGTAAAGTTGCCTAAATTTCTTGATTCTCAAGATAGGGGAGGGAGAAGAGGTCTGCTTAATAACGTCTTTGCCAGGTTTAAAAGCGAAAAACAGAGTAAGATTTGAGGTAATGTAAAGAAAGGTTTTCTTTTCCAATCACAACTTCTAAAAATCTAAAAAAAAAAAATTTTTAAAAAAAATTTATAAAAAAGAGCTTTTTTTCAAGAAAAAACACAAGTTTGTAAAGACTTATTATAGTCACTATTTTAGGGTCAGTAAAATAAGCATTTTTTTTTTATTTTCTAAGTTTCCACAAAATCATTTCAGGCTTAAAAAAATATTATCGAATAAATTTTTTAAATGGAAATTTCATATCAGAACAAAAGTATTTTCAGTTCTCTAAATGCTTTACAAGAAATATGCAAGAATGCAATATAATAAAAATTAAATGTTCATACTTTGTAGTATATCTGTAATTGCTCATCTTTAGATTCTGCTTGCAATAAAGACGCCCTATTGATAAATGCCTCTGCTTGAACTGGATCATCGTCTTCCAAATATAAACGTGCAATTTTCAAGTAAGTATCAAGTTTATAATCAACAGAATATTGCCTAATAGATAAAAGCTGGATTTAAATATTCTGACATTATTAGAAATAAATAACTGACTATTTGTGATCAAACAATTTAAAAATTCTGATTATTTTTTAATTATTCTGAATTAAATAATGCTTATCAATCAGAAAAAGCATCGTTAGCTAACTTGAGCGAAACAGTGTTAAAATTTTACCTTTCTTTCACTATTCATTAATCTTATATAGGTGATTCATCACAATATCTTAATGATTTTTAGGATGATATATGTACCTGATTGATCAACAAAATTAGGTGCTATGAGTCCAAAGTCAAAAGGATATTATTTTCACTCACCACTTTTATAGCGACAAAAACACACACACAGAAAAATTACTATTTTTAATTAATTTATATTATAAATTTTTTTTTTAAAAAGCGCAAAGGTGTTAACAAAAGTTAAAGTTTAGAATCAAATAAGCAGTATTTTTTCAAAGTTTCAATTAAATTAACTTAATAAATTAAATCGCAATTACTGAGAAAAACTAAACTTTGGAGACTCAACAAAAGTGCACAAAATGATATTTAAATGGCAATGAAGCTGAGAAATTTTACTGTTTAATTTATTTATTTTATTTAATAGAAAATATCAATTTAAATCATCAATATTACTTTATGTGAATACAGCAACCTTATAAGATGATTGTTTGTTTGTTTACATATGAAGAATAAACTAATTAAGGACAAAAAGAAAATATTTATTATCAATAAATAATTATAATAAAAAAATTACTTTTGTCCAGTTTCCAGAGGAATTCCAACTAAAACATTTGCCGCTTCTCTCCAGCTTTGCTCTTTTTCATAAATTTCAGCCAGGTGTTGACGAATGCTAGCAACCTTTATAGTAAAAAAAAAATGCATTTATTATTATTATTTTATAACTTTATTTGTTAGAGTGCAGTTAATTGACAAAAAAGTTTACAAATTGATATTAGAATAACTACAAAAAGACATAATATAATTATATAACTTTAATATTTTATTATGCTAAAGTTGTAAAAAATATCATTCCTGTTTAACACAATATAGATCTTTTAATAAAAGCTAAAAATAAATGTTTCCATAGTCGAAACTCAACATAAAAACTCCAGTCATCCAAACAAAGACAGAGATTATAATGAGATCATACAAAAATACTAGACTAGTTTTAATAAAACAATGTTATACTTTAATAAGAAATTCGAAACAAAAAAATAATATACAATTTTTTTTCTTTAATATAATTATAAGTGAAGGTTGCATTTATAATAAGAAATTATAGTCCACCTTACGTTAGTTTTAATTTAATTACTTTTAAAAACAATAAACTGGTACAAAGCACCAATTTTTAATAACATCTATTCAAATAACAACAAAGACCACACTTCAACAACAAAACAAAATTTGAAAAAAAAAAAAAAGACAGACATGACTGTTAATATTTAAAAAAATTTATTAAATAAGTGAATAAATTATCAAAAAGGGGAGTAAGACTAATAATTATTTTCATTATCATTCAAAACAGAATTTTACAAGGATCAATAATCCATCCTTTCAATGCATACAGAATTTATAGACTATATACCTCTCCAAAGTACATTTTTAATTGTCAATATGGAGTAATTCAATTTTCACAAATTTTTTTGCTATAGATTCTAACTATCTCTGATAAGAACTAAGGGGGTTCTGTAACTCTTCTTTTTTAAAAGGAGTTCAAGGTATTTCATATAAGTAACATCCAAAGAAATGGTGGTTTAAAGAATTTCTTTTAAACTTTTTATAAATCAAATAACTCTTCATTTCTTTTTTCTTTTGAAAAAGTATGAAATCTTAGCACTTATTTTCAAGGAGATAATTTTTGTCACTGTATATTCAAATGGATAGTTCGACAAGGACATTAGCTCTAATGACTATTAAAATAACAAAAGCATTTGGAATTGAAAACAAAACCTTCTGACCAGAAGTATCTGATGTTAAAATGAAGAGTTGCAGTAGCAGCAATGAGTATCTTTATAAAGCATATATGAATGTCTTTTGGAAAATTGGAGAGTAGCTGATCTCATATGAAAAAAAAGCAAATACAGATAATTAGTGATAACCCAATTATCACAATCACTTGAACTTTTAATTAGGTTCACCGATTTTATATCTCAGATTTCAAGGTACTGACTCTTAAAGACTTGAAATTGACCTATATAACTCGATTTTTATTTTCTAGTTTTATAAAAAGGCAATATGACAGGATTTTTTCTTTTTCTGTTTTTTGTAAATAAAACAAAAATGATACTCCCAGAAAAATTTAAAAAAAATATTTATTCCAAAATGCAAGTTTTTCAGAACTTTAACTGTTATACCCATGATTAGAAATCAAATGTTTATCATTAAAGACTGATTATTCAATTCTGAGAAATTGAAATTAACAGACCAAAATTTAGATAAGAAGCAGAACTAGCTGTGCATGATAAACAACATATAAAACTATACAACATTTAAAAATTGTTCATTAAAACACAAACGTGAAACACACACTTTTCTTTCCAAGTTGGTTGTTCCTTTGGGTTATCACAGACAAAACATGCTAAGTAATTCTCAACTTTCATTGCCACACCATGAGAAATAGTGTAGCGATGTCAGAATTCTCAATAAACTTAGACTTGATAGGCTAAAGTAACAATATTTTATAAGAAAACTACAAAGAAAAACATTTATTTTCCACATAAATCATTTAACACTTCATAATACAGAATTATATCCATACTCCAAAATTATATCCATACTACATCAAAATATCTATCTAAAAACACAATGTAAAATAAATTATAAAATTAACAATTACATCATCATAGAAACAAATACTAACTTGTTCTTCAAAAGATACAACTCGAGGCTGAACTTTATCTAAGGTATAGTGAGAAACCAGTTTTGAAACGCCATCAGATAATTTTGTAAGATTATTTCCAACTTCAGTCAACAGCTGGCGTGATATAACTAAGCTGACATTTTCATTGACAACTAGAACAAAACAAGAGTCAGTAATAATTTCGTTAAAAATTAATTCATATCTTAAACAATAACATAGACATAATAAAATTATATACATATATTATAACATAATAAAATTACATAGATTTTTTTCTCCTTCAACTAGTTAGGCTAATCAGCATCATTTCAGGTTCTTTTTTTAAAAATCAGTTTTATGTAATTGTTAAGATAAAAAAATTATATTTGACAAATTATTGTGAGAAGATTTCTGTATCAGTACTAGCATCAAAATAACTGCCAAGCTTTTGCAAAAACTAGACAGAGACCTGCCAGAAATTAAAACTAAAAACATCACATAAAGGTATAATTCGTAAAAACCAACATTTTGAACTTTTAATACAAATTACTCCTTGAGAAGAAATTGTTCAGGTCTAATCATGTTCCTAAACTCCTCAGTTCTCAATTTTTTTGGGTTATGGAACCCTTAATGATCAAACTTCATTTGGCGAAGCCACGACACAATATAAAAAGATAATTTCGAACATATAAATCAATAAAATATTAGTTCATTTCGAAAAATATTTATCTAAGGGAATTATTTCGTTTTCATAGTTTTTATCTTTAAATATCTTAAATTAAATTTAAAATGTTATTAGATTTAAATCCCTCTGCTAAAACAGCAGTAGTTATATCTTATCATCTAAAATATTGTCTTGCATCTATCACCTCTGAATGTGTTAGGTTTTATACTTTACTTTATGTTTATAGTGCAGCTACTCCTTTTATACCCATTGTTTAAAATAATATTACCACTTCTTATAAATTAGCAAATCTTGTTTCAATCCAATTCCCACATTCAAGTTGGAATCATTTGACTCTCAAAACATTCAAGATAAATAAAAACAAATTCGATTTTGATGTAAAATCTTTGGTACTTTTCTATTTCGCCAACACAAGAAAATTCAATAATTTTTTTAAAAAAAAATTTGGAATGGAAAAGTGCCAAATCTTTATTTCTTGATAATTGCCTTAAAATAAGAATACAAGAATTTCACTTCTGTCAAATTGAAGCTAACAAACTAATATTACGGTACTTACGTATTAACGCAACCAGGCCAAAATTCGCATAAATCGCCAAATTTGGCAACCCTACGTGTTATAAGTGGTTTTTCGTAAACAAATTATTTTGCTTACTGGTTAGATCGAATGCCGTGAAATACTTTAACTATGGGTATTTGGGATCTGCCTGCGAGTGAAAAAGATGCTGTTGAATTGTTACAGGGATATGGAGTTATACCGAACGAACGTACTTTGCCAAAAGATTTCCGCCGAAAAAATAATTCTGCAACTTATTCAAATTCGAAACCGGAAGGGTTTAATTGCTATTTTATATTTTAAAACAAAATAATATAAGAAACTGTATTTGTTATGAGAAATAATGCACTATGTGATGTCAAAATAATATGTAATCTAAAAGGTTATTAAAATAGTATATGCTTATAATTTTGTTTATAAAATACTTTGTTTTATAAAAAAAAATTGATTTCAATTTTTTCTACTTACGCCAAATGTGGCGATTTATCCGAATTTCGGCCTGGTTGCCTTAATACGTAAGTACCAATATTACTTACCTACATTAATTAAGAGCAACCAACTTTTAATTGTAAATTTTATCAAATGATCGATGGCTAAGTTCTGGATAGCCCCTTTCTCTTAGCCCCTTTTTAAGCGAACTGTGTGAACTACACTGAAGTGAAACTTTTGGATTAATTAATATTTTCTTTTTATAAATTATATATTGAGAATTCTCATTATTGGATAATGCTGACATTGATATTTTTAATATTATGAACTTCATAGAACCTTGCATTCAACTGCCATTTGAACAAGGAAATATTAAATGTTTACCTTTTAATACATCCTTATTGTTGGTGGGGGACGGGAAAGCTGGACAGATATTTCATATAAGTGTCAGCGTGTTATTCTTAAAAAGAAATAAAATATTTATAAAAAAAATATTAAAGAACGGAAAAAAGTTACTTACTAGCTTCTACAAAAGCTTTTAAACCTTCAATAAGATCATCACCACTACTCTTGGTAATATTATCTAGAACGGCTCTATACCTGAAATTAATCCAACTAATTAGCAAAGAAATATAATTTATATAAAAAAAACATTTCGTACATTACTCACCGATCAGCTTGATCTTTAGGTGTTCCTCCTAAACTAGTTAGAGAAGCCAGCTGAAGTCTTACAGCCGCCATATCTACCTCTCTCTATTTATTTATTTTCATTTCACTGTTGCCATTACTCAATCGTCAGTTGAGTTTATAAACTAATTTAAAAAAAAAAAAAAGAGGAGTAATTTTTAAAATCATAATTTTTCAAAGCTATAATTATAAGATTTCTTAAATAAGAAATAAGCATTTTGAATCAGTTTTAACAATTCTTCTTTCTAAAGTAAACTTCTTCGCAAGCATTAAAACATTAGTTTTAATTTAGTACATATATTTTACATATTTATAAATTAAGCACAATTTTATAAATAGACTACACATGAAATTACCTTTTCTTAATAATCTATAGTCACAAAGAAAACAAAAGTCTTTTTTTTTACCCAAAAATTTGTAACAAGAGAACTTTGCTGACAACTTTGTACTTCTGAAGATTAGCATTTCATATCTTATCAAAAAATTTTAAAAACTTGCAAGTTTTCCATGAATATTTAAGAACAAAACAACTGAATTTGGATTACAAAATTTTTACTTCTAGTTTTACATCCCGGAGTGTCTATTGCACCGATTATCGGCGCAGTAAAATTCATTTTGCTATCTTACCGATCAAATTTTTAACCAATCATAGAGCGTATCTGNGTTAGTCTCAAAAAAGCAGTGATTTCATCAAGGGAGGGGGCTTTTATTCAGGATGGCAATGGTCGGCGCGTGATTTTGAAGTTAAACGGGATGCCTGATGAGAAAATGGGTAATGTTGACATTAATATTTAATCGTAAATTCTTGAAAATATTGCGTCTGCATCATTAATCGAGAATTGAATGGGTAGAAAAAAAACAGGGAAATAAATTATTTTCAACTTACAAATGTACTAAACTTGGAGGGTGATTTATTTACCAACACTGTACAGGCGCAGTATGTGCTAATCCCTGCAATCATAGCTGCGGGGGAAAATTAACCATACATTGTACATGAACAAAAAAGTGCATCATTAGATTGGATCATATATTAAGTCTTTATCTGGGGATCATCTAGTATGTTTTTAAATTTATCAGAAGGTGTAATTCATAATTCAAATTTCCCAGTCTTTGACTCTGCAAATGGCGCGTCTTTTAAGAACTTATACCTATTACGTATTCGTGGCATTGATATAAACAATCGGAATGTTTTCGTATTTTAAACAATTTAATAAGGCCCGGTGTGTTCTCAATGTACTTAATGTTTAAAGCATTCGTTTTTCTTTTGTATTTTATACATTGGCTTGAATTTTATATGATAATTGTTGTGTAATGAACAAAGTTTTGGTTTCTTCAAAACTAAATTTTTGGTATGCATCAAAATTAAACGATCTCTTACGAGTACTGTATCTTGTAGGCAATATTTGTAAATAATGTATGGGTGAACTGATTATTATTTATTTAAACTTACTTTTCTTATTATACTTAAATTTTTTTATTATATTATGTTTATTAACACAGTTAATGTAAACGTGAGTTATTTTCATTTTTAAAAGTTTAGTAGAAAATTTTGCATTGATTCTATTTATTTTTAGCTTAAAAAATAATAATATTAAAAAAAAATCACTCCAATTTTGTTATTATAGGTTTATTGTTCATATAAATTTGTAAACAATAATGTATTTGTTTATTATTTTTAGTTTATCAGATGTTTTTTTACTTTGAGATGTCATAATAACATTAATTTTTCAACTCTTGTAGAAAAATGAATGTTTCTTGCAGATCTTAATTAATTATAAGAAAATAAAGGCTTTTAAGATGGAAAGGGTGATTCTAAATGTTAGTTAAAGTCATTATATATTTTTAATGAAATGTATGCTTCTTTAGTGTATCTTATTTATCTATAAAAGTATTATCTTTTGTCAGCAAATTTTAGAATTAAAAATTGAGGCTTATATGGAGAATGCTTGATTAATGCTTGTTTAAACTTTCATACTTGCTTTCTAAAATTATTCATGAAAAGTTTTTTTGATAAGTTTCAAAATATTTAGTCCAGTATGTAGTTAGTTTTATAAAACATAAGTTGTGCAAGCTTTTATTTTTTATCTTATGTTTGTGTGTCGTATTTGTAAAAAAAAATTGGAGGGGGGGAGTTATTGAGGGACTGTATCCTGGTAATTTGCTGTATACTGGTATTTCAAAAAACAAATAATAATAATATTGTATTTTAAATTTGAAAAAAGAGTTTTCTAGGTGAATCTTAGTTTCAAAAATTAGAAGGCTACAAGAAAGCAATAAAAAATCTTTTTATAATATTTCTCACAATAATGGTTGTAATACTAAATAAATGTGTCAGTTTTCATAACTTCAATGGGTGGTGTTTTCGACACTAGGGAGCGCTGCAGGCTGTATGCCGCTTATACTTCCGGGTTACTGTTTCCGGTGTATTTTAAAGCCATTTGGCTCACAATGTGATCATTGTGTTTTGAGATTCTTGCAAACGTGGTATTTGAATACTTATTACTAAACTTAATCTTGCTCCTCGAACAATATGCTAACACTAACGTAAGATGGTGCACAGCTTGCAACACAAACAAACAGTAATAAACAAATGGAAAGAGACCAAAAAAGCGAGTTATTCAAAATCTAGCAACCATGTCACCTTTTATAACAATATATCTCTAAATAGCTAAAAGAAATTTTCACTTCAAACTCACCAGAATTATATAATAACATTAATATCTTATGAATACAGCAGATTGGAGCTCAGAAATTATCTAATTTATTTCTTTTATTGAAAACAAAATTATCCATTTGAAAATATCGCCTCGCAAAATAGCATGTAGTAAGCAGCTGCAAACTTTCTAACCAGAACTAGAGCAGGCATACAGCTCGAGATTGTTATTGTTTACATTTCTATTGAAAACACCATCCATAAAGCCCATAATTATGGGTTTCATAGAATTTTTTGTAAATTCTTATACGCTTAATACTAATTTTGGGGTTATTTATTTTTTTGAAATTCCATTCTAAATTTGAACCTGAATACTGAATATTCACTGCATCCAGATTAATTAATCTAGAGATTATATGCCTAAGCTCTTCTCATCTCATTGTTGTCTAAAATAATTTCACTCATGTCTTGTTTTGATAGTTTAACCAGGTCTAAGTGCAACTTTTTTTCCTAAAATCGAACAAAAATATTAAGTTTAATTATACCTTATTCTTTGTAATCTCCATGTTAAAGCAATAACATTAGTCAAAAGTATCCAAACAATTGTATACCACTTTTTACTAATTATCTGTTAATGTTGCTTTAATGAGTGTATATTTATATTTGCAGAGCTGTCCCCCAAAGCCGACTTGGAGCTCAACGAGGCTAGCTTGTCTTTTATTTCGAGCTTGTCGTGTAAAGATGATGAAGTTATTTTGCCAGACTCCATGAATTCTGAAAGCTGCAATCAGATGTGTACAGATGACCTTATAAAAACTGATGTTATTGAAGCTAATTCCGATCTTTTCAATATTAATTTTGATAAACACAGTCTAAATATTGAGAGTTCAGATAGTTTGTTAAATGCTCTTACTGCAGTTGAAGGAGGTTCTGGCTTGGCGGATTTTGATTCTATAAATGAATCAAGTGTACCACAAGAAACAAATCTAGGACAGGACGTTGTTATGACAAATGAGGGGAAGTTGGTATCTGAGACAAATATTGTGCAATCTCCATCGAATTTTATTACTACCGCATCATTATCAAGAACTGTTGAATTACCCAGTATAAAAAGTAATGTTTCTACTGTTAATAAAACTGGCACAACACAGTTGTTGATTTTTCCGAAACAAAGTAACTTGCAAAATATGCTCGTTGGTGCTAAGACTTTGCCAGTTGCCTCAGCATCAAATGTAGCAGCTATTGTACAATCATCCCCCGGCGTGTCATCTGGTACTAAAATACTAACATTACCTTCATTGAATACTTCTGGAAATGTAATTAATACCATGTCTTCAGCTCAGCCTGGTAAATTGAATGATGTTAAAATTCTACTTAGTCAAGGATCTAATTCAGGGTCTTTCATAACTGCAAAGCCTATTGTAACTGCCGGTGGAAATGCTGCAAATCAAGTTTTTCAAGGCCCTCTTAAAAGAGCTGTGACGCCCTCGTCCAATAATCAGATGGTGACCAAAGTGATTATTACGAATAGTGCAAATTCTGGTGCATCAATAGTATCACCCGTTCCAGTTTCTGCAGCTTCATCGAGTGCATCTGCTACTGGTCAACCTCAGTCAATTCTTCTTGCAAGTCCTAATAAAACACTAACTTTGTCTCGAAATTTGGTGAGTCTTGGAGGTTCCCAGCAAATTTTGAGGACTGTTCCAGGAACACCCACAAAACAAGTAATTTAAGCTCACCTGTTTCATAAAACTATTTTTAGTTTGTTACATAATGCAATTAGTGTATGACCTTAAAGGCTTGTTTACACGGTCCAATTTCTTGAATCCGAGAAATTGGACGGATTTCTCTGTCCAAGAAATTGGATGATTCGTTGACACTATCCAAGTTCTTGAATGTCGCTGATTCGTTAGGGAAAAAACTTGCGCATGCGCATTGTTCATATTCAACATTATAAAATAATACTTACATAAGTTTAAAATTACTAAATAAATTCAAATAAAATCATAATAACACAAATAAACTTAACAGATCAATTCATTTGGACTAAAATCTATGAAAACCCACAACAAAATGACATAATTTCCTGCCAGCTTGTTGACGTCACAAAACCTAAGAGGCTGATTGGTTAAGGAAGAAAAAACTTGGATGGAAAGTAGAACATGCTCTACTATCGTCCAAGAAGTTGGACCAAGTTCTTGGATGTTTGTTTACACCATCCAAGCTCAAAGCTAAACAAGTTTCCATCAATATCAATCAATCTCTGTCCAAGAAATTGGATCGTCTAAACAGGCCTTAAAATAAAAAGTACTTAAAACAAACAAAAAGAACTCAAAACTGTGACATACATTGTTAAAGAATCAAACCATCAATATCAATCAATCTCTGTCCAAGAAATTGGATCGTCTAAACAGGCCTTAAAATAAAAAGTACTTAAAACAAACAAAAAGAACTCAAAACTGTGACATACATTGTTAAAGAATCAAAATCATTGCACTAGTTATGTTTCGAGCAAAACTTTTTATATCTAGCTAGCGGCAACAAAAAAAAAAAAATTCCCATTGAATTTTTTATTAGCTTGTAATTGTGTTTTATTACTGAAGCCAGTGTTCTCCAGAAGCATTTTTAGAAGGGCAGCCTGCCCTTCCTTTTAAATCCTTTTTTAAAATGATTGATTCTACTAATCAACAAAACAGTAATCAAATTATAATATAGAATTAATAAATGATTTTAAGGATCATTGATTAAGGATAACTTTTGTACAAAGATGTTTAGTGGTAAATTTACTGTGTCTTCATTTCAAGATTTTAAAAGCAGGGTTCCCGCGGCCTTGAAAAGTACTTGAATTTCATTTTGATTTTCAAGGGCCCCTAGAAGTACTTGAAAATGATATTAAATCCTTGAAAATTTTGAAATGACCTTGAAAATTATCGAAAACTCAGGAAAACAGCCCTATTTCCAGTATTTCTATGTTTAACTTTTTGACGCGCGTAAGTGTGAGAGAATGACTTCCCCATCTTTCAGATGATGACACGTACTGTTTGATTTTAGGATTTTATGTACGTTTGGCTAATTTTAGGAATTTTAAATATTGGGAACTGCGCCAGATTCTGACAAAATCTCGATTCTTATTCAGGCGATTTTAATATCAATCATTGATCTTCGTATTAGACTTATTTAAAAATTATGTGTTGCAGGGATGAAAAACTTCCACGAAAAAGCGGAAATCCGCTTTTTTTCCTCAATTTTGAAAATTTCCGACGATGTTCCAAAAACTAAAATTTTTGGGAAGTCCTATTGGAGAAACCCAAGCCGCCTGAACTATAGTCGGATAACCGCGACTTCTGCTATAGAGTGGAAAGGAGTCTAAGTGTTCCGTTACGAGCGCCGATATTTGATTTTTTTTTTGTTTGGCTGTTTTTTGGAATTTTAAATATTAGGAAGTGCACTGGAATTTGCTACTGATTTAAAACTTACGTGTTGCACATTTTTTACGCGATTTAAAAATCGTACTAGCAATTCCTATTCACTCAATTTCAAAATCCAATATCGCGATTTGTATTTAAGCTTTTTTCAAACCCAATATCGCGATTTGTATTCTCGTGAGTTTAAAATTCAACGTCGCGATTCGTATTCACGCATTTTTAAATCCAACTTTGCGATTCATTATAACGCAGTTGTAATATCAGATATCGTTTTTCGTATTCACGTGATCTAAAAATTATGCATCGTGATTCTTATTTACGCGATTTAAAAATTCAATATCGCAATTTGTATTTTCGTGTCTTTAAAATACAACAGCGTGATTCGTAATAACGGGATTTTATAAATCCAAAAACGCTATTCATATTCACGCGATTTTAAAATCCAATATCGTGATTCATATTCACGCGATTTTAAAATCCAATATCTTGATTCATATTCACGTGATTTTAAAATCCAATATCTCGATTCATATTCACACAATTTTAAAATCCAATATCGTGATTCATATTCACGCGATTTTATAATCCAATATCAAGATTCATATTCACACGATTTTAAAACCCAATATCGCGATTCTTGAAAGAAGTAGAAGTAAGCTTTCTCTTGAATTAGTTACTGTAAAGATGTGATCTATTTTTCATTAGTAAGTAATTTAATAGTCGTGCCTTCCTATAATTGCTTAATTTTTTTTAATATATTAGTGGTCAAAATTTTAAAATTATATTTAAGAAAAATTTAAAGTTAACTGTCTAAATGCTTCTGCCACTTTAAATATTGAATAAAAATCTCCCAGCATAGTTAAAAGTTGCTTTTATAAATCTCAGTATCATATAGAGCACTCCCCCCCCTCCTCCTAGTGACCTGCGCTGTAAAAGTTCAGCTTTTTTTATTTTTGTCCTCTTTAATGCCTAGTGTTGCAATTCGTTTTCGCGTGATTCAAAAATCGTACTCGCAATTCCCATTAAAGCAATTTAAAAATCTAATATCGCAATTTGTACTTAAGCGTTTTTTTAGCGCAATTAGTTTTTCCGCGGGTTTAAAATCCAATGTCGCTATTCGTATTCACGCATTTTGCGATATCAAACATCGATTTTCGTATTTATACTTGATTTGAAAACTACTCGTTGCAATTCATATTCACGTGACCATGTCAAGTGCGTATCATCGATGCTACTGAAAAAAGGTTAATTCAAGTATGAGTGGTTAATCAAAAAAGTCAGTGACCAAAATTGTTACTAAGAATCTATCAGAAGGTATTGAGGTGAAAGTTGGCAACTGTTTCAATTTAAAATGGTTGACTGGTAATAAATTTAAAATGATAATCAAGCCGCAACATCCAATAATTGATTAATTTTCTTAAATAGAAAAGTGGTCGAAATTTCAAAATTATATTTAAGAACAGTTTAAATTTCACTGTCTAAATGCTTCTGCCACTTTAAATATTAAATAAAAGTCTCTCGTCAGAGTTGTTTTTAAATATCTAATTGATATCACAGTATTATATAGAACATTCCCCCCTACCCCGTCTTCTGCCCGAATCTTTGCTTATTCAGACTTTTTATATCTAGCTTAAAATAAGCCTTAATGCAAAATTCAAACCTGACGTTTTTATGCATCAGGAATTTTATTCTCGACTTGATGCCAATCACCCTTGTTTTTTTTTATATATGTACTTAGATCACTTTCCGAAATCAAGAGAGAGCAATGGAAGTCTTATTTTTCAGTACTGCTATTTATCGACTAACATTTATCATCAAAACATTTTAGTTTAAAATGTTAAATTTTAGTCTATCTTTAACTAAAATTTAAGTCCTTGAGAATTTTACAATAAGTCTTAAAAAGTCCTTGAAAAGTACTTGAATTTTATTTTTATAGTAGAGCATGAACCCTGTAAAAGTCTAGTTAAAAAATTTTTAATTAAGATAATCTTGAACTCAATTGCAAATATTAATCACATCTTGTAATGAGGGAATATTAACTAATTTATGCTAGTTAACTAGTTATATTTTAAAGGAACTGTACTATAAAAATTTTCATTCCATTGATTTGAAGCTATTATGAGTTGTTCATATTGATAAAATATTGAAAACTGTTAAAACTTTGTTTTCTAAACAAAGTAGTTCTGAAATTGAAAATAACATATCTAATTATTTTTCGATAAAATTTGAAAAGCAAAATATACTTTTGTTTGTTTGCAAAAGTAGTCTACAATATAAAGTTCCAAAAACATGTCCTGATTTTTTTTTTTTTTTTAAATGCTCTTGTGAAATTTTTTTTTTTTTTAACCCACTGCAAAGCCTTCCAATGATAAGTATTGAATACCAAATAGCTATGCTGAAAAGTTTATCTGGTGGCCACTTTTTTCATTAAAAGTACCTTAACAATGATTTTGCTACTAAATTGTTATAAAAATTTATTTTTATTAATATTTTAAGGCAATATAAAAAATATTATAGAGTCAAACCCTGCTATAGTGAACACGGTTTATAAGGAACTCCCGGATATAGTGAACGAAATGTTCGATCCCGTGCCTTGCTATATACATATAATGTTATTTTTTGTGGATATAGTGAACCAAAAAAGTGAGGAAGTTGGATATAATGAACTTTTTTTTTGTCTTCGGCTAATTTTTCTTCTTCATTTTTTTGTATTAATTTTAAAATCTCTATTTTAAAATAAGTACATATGCCGATTTTTAAAACCATCTATAGAGGGGAATGTAGAGTTAAGCATTTTTTCTTGTTTGCTTCTTTTTTCTCACTTTCCCATCCCTAAACAAACCAAGCAGATGTTTCCAACCCAGGCAGATGATGCACCTGTAAGGTGTCAGTGGGATCAATATGCATTTTCTGTCAGAGGGAATGAGTAATTATTCATTATTGGTCAAAGGGTTGTACACTAATATGTGTTGATAAGGCCCTCATTTCAACTCCTTTTTGCTCTCAGTTCATTTAAAAATTCCTGCAAACAAGTGTCTCAAATTTAACTATGGCAAACAGTAAACGTAAAACATTCTCCATTGATGATAAAATGGACATAATCAGAAAAATTTAAAATGGATGCAATCAAGCTGATATTCGCAGGGAATATAAACCATCCATATCTGCAGTTTGTAACATATGGAAAAATAAGCAATTAGTAATTTCTGCTCATGAAAAAATTTAGATAGCAGAAAAAAGCAGATCACTAGGATGTTGAGGAAGCATTACTGAAGCAGTTCACCAATCGAAGAAACCGCAATCTTCCAGCATCTGGACAAATGTTGATGAATTTGCTAAACGATTTAATGTTACTATTTTTATGTGCTCGAGTGGAAGGTTAGACAGGTTTAAAAAGCGGAATAACAGAAATTCACAAAAAATTATCTAATAGTCTGGAAGTGTTTCCATATCTGAAGTTGAGAATTGCTCATCAGCTAAAGATTACTAATTTTTTTTTGTACGCAAGACGAAGAGCAATGAGAAATAACACATTTTTTGATACTATATAATATTTTTCAGTCATTTATTTGAATAATGTGTAATAAAAGGGAGCAGTTTGGAAACCATTAGTTAAATTGCTTGCGTAACGGATATAGTGAACTCGCGGTTATAGTGAACCAAAATTTCGGTCCCTTCAAGGCTCACTATAGCGTGGTTTGACTGTATAATGTGTAATATTATTATAACATCTCATGTATTAATCAAAAAGAATATACACTATCCTACAATAATGGAAGAGACACTATCAGTTTTTGATTTTTTCTTAAACTTCTCAAGAAATACTTAGCGGGTTGTTTTGTAACTTTAGGGGTGTATAGTTTATACAGTAGGGAACTAATTATTCGGGACCATCGCTATTCCGGATAACTGATTTTTCCGGTTTTCTGAATCGCTACAAAAGCCGTTTTTTTTTTTTTTGTTAAGCCCGACTGGAAAAAAAAAACTTTTTTTTTTTGGAAATAATCTTAAAAAGAAGAAAAACCGATGAAGTAATACACTAATGATTATTTCCGAAATGATGGTAAGGTGAACATCTTTCAAAAAAGAAAGAAAAATCCATAAACCTCATGAGGAAAAAAAATTTTTTTTTTAAAAAAATGGTGGGAAAATTTATTGAATTTCGTTCCGGTTTTCTGATTTCCGGATAACGGATTCTGTACTGTACTATTTTTCATACTTAGCGATAAGGCTTTTAGAGGTTTAAGGGAGCAATAAAAAATTACGAGAGAAAATAAGTATTTTTGAACACACTCTATCAGAAAAATCAAGCAATTAGCTTGAAGTTGTATTGATTACTTTAGTTGATCTATACGATATTTACATAAAATTTCTTAAATTTAGCTTAAAAATTATGGAAATATAGATGTTTTTATTTAAAAAAGAGAATTTCTTCTAATTTTTTTTGCTATTACTTTAAAAATATCCAATAAAATGAAACGAAAGTTTTGGGGAAATTTAAAATTAACTTCAAAGTTATTGTTTTAAAATTTAGCGAGAAAAAAATCGTTAGAAACTTTCATATGAGTCGCTCTTTCATACTGTGCATGCACAGCAAAAAATGTGAAAAAATCTTTAATAATTTTTGATGAATCTTATTTGGCAACTAATGAAAAAAATTGATTTTAATATCTTTAAAATTTTCGAAGTTTCAATAAATTTTGAAAGTAGTTTTTGTATATTTTAAAAGAAATTTAAAAGCTTGAGAATTTCATTTTGTACTTTTAAACAAGATTTATTAAAAAAATGACACCTTTTTGTGAGATCATCTCCCATGAAAGTATGTTTTCTTTCACATGTTTTTTTCCTTATGCCATTACATTTTTTTTTTTTTTTTGTCCTGATGATTATTGTAATATTATCATTTGTTGTTAAATTTTGTCGTATGATACAAAATGAAATTTGTGGAAACCCCCTTATTCTTTTAAGCTTTTTTTTTTTTAAGTACAAAAATACTCAGAAAATTGCTAGAAATTGTTTAATTTTTTTTTCATTAGCTGCCTCATTCATTTCATTAGCGCTACAAAATTATGAAGAAAAAAATAATAAAATAAAAATTTCGTCGCATGTGTAGTTTTTGACAAATTTTTTTTCAAAATTTAAAGCAGTAATTTTAAATTTCTCCAAAAATTTAATTCAATTTTAATCAGATATTTTCAAAGTAATAGCAATAAAACACAAGACAAAAAAATATATATATATATTATTATTATTTTTATAAAAATGTCAATATTTCCATAAATATTTAAGCTAGATTTACAAAGTTTTATGCAGTGTTTGCAAATAATAACTGAAGTAATTGCTACAAGTTTACTTCTTGATTTTCTGGCAGAGGTTGTTCAAAAATACTTGTTTTTTTCATAATTTACTGTCTGTCCTTCGAACCTCTGAAAGCTTTCAATCTTATTGCTAGGTATGAAAAATCGTATGCACTCACTTAAACACCTCTAAAGTTACAAAATAATCCTCTTAAGATTTAAAAAAAATGTCAAAAACAAGAAATGTCTCTTTTATTGTAGAGTAGTGCATAATAGGTTTGATTTTAGACATGCTTTCCTCCTAATCAATTTTAAACTTCTGTATCAGAATAAAGTATAATAACTAACTCTAGAAAATTAAGCTTGTTAATTAAACATAAATATTATGGTTAGAATTTCTTTAACTGTTGCCCTTGCTTTATTTATTTTTTAGTATTTGATTTGCCTTTTTTAATTTCTATTTTTTCCCCTTCAGATAAATGTTATCCGCCTACCATTGCCACTTTCTGTTCTTTTCTTAATTTTATTAAGCTTTTTTTTAATATTACTGTTAGGGATTTATTTACTATTTTGACATTCTTCTACCCACTTCTTTGTCATTTGGTATAAAATCAAATGTCAGCCTGTTTTTCAAGGAGTTTTTTTTTTTTTTCGTCAATAATTAATTCTACTTTAGAGCCTTAGCAAAAAACAAAGTTAGTGCCATCTGAAAAGATGATAGAACAAACTGTCGATAAAAAGGGTCAGAAAAGGTCATTAAAAAATATGGTTTCTTGTCAAACATTTAATTAAAAAATGAACAAGTTATAAAAAATAAATGTTTTTATGTGCATTTATGGAGGGCACTTCTAAGAACTAAGGAGTCGTGAGGATGGTGTATCAAATGGCAAAACAGAGGATGGTAATTTTTTTGTGGTCACTTTATTTTAATTGCCATGTACCGAATGGTGACTACTAATCTTGTGTTTATTGAATATGATAATTTTGTAAGTGTAGACAAATTTTATTTTTGTAGCAAAAGTATTGAACAATAAAAAAGACTAATATTAATTAGTTAAATAAGAAATTTATGATGAATTGCTAAATCAATCTTTTTGTCTTATCGCAATATTACAATATTATAATTAGTAGATACTTCTCGGTTATAGGAGCCAATATTCGTGTTGGCAAAAATTTCGAAAAGCAATCACCAACACATAGTACCCTTGATTATAGTACAAAAAATTTATTTCAACCCAATAGAGAACTCATGAGATGACTTAGCACAAAGAGTTAATGCAAGAGTAATTTTTTATCATCAATAGAGTTAAAATCTACTTTCAAAAACGAATGGTATTAAACAGACCCCCAAACTTTGTTCAAAACTAATTTTATTTGCAAAAACTAGTGACTTTCAAGTGATGCAGATAAATGGGTTTTACACAAGCTTCTAAGTTTTTTGTATAGGTAGTGGTAATGATACTTCTTGTATTGATCATTTGTTTAATTCTTTTTCAGTTTGTTATATCTCCTGTGAAGCCAGCACAAAAAGTGGCTTATGCTCCTGTTACCTACTCAAAATCACCTCGAAGAATTGCCCCTGCCACCAGTGTAACCATTTCAAATATCAATGCTGTTCCCAAAATTGCAACTGTTCTCTGTCCTACAACAATGGCTCCTGTGACTGCTACCACTAAAATTATACCTCAGTCTCCTACTAAAGTAATATTGAAATCTATACCTCAGGTAAATTGTTAATTTTATATTTTATAATCAGGGGTCTGTCCAGGCCGAATTTACTACCGTTTAGCGGTACCTTCACAAATTCAACTTTAGGAAAAACGGTAGTTTCACAAATTCAATTTTGGAAAAACGGTAGTTTCACAAAATACTTTTTCTTAAAATTTCATTTTTGTATCCCTTAAGAAACGATAAATCCATATTTTTGTGTTGATTTCTTAATATAATTTTTAATTTTTCACAAATTACGTCTAAATTTTCACAAAATAGGTACCTGTCAGAAAAACCTAGACAGACCCCTGATAATGTAAATATTGATAATTTTACAGTGCAAAATTTTGTCATTGGAAGTAAAAAATGGGTTGACTAATCAAAATATGTTATTTTTGACTGAAAATAAGCAAAATAACAGAAATAATTGTTGTTCTCGACTTGTTAGAAATACTACCGAATTCGCATTGAAGTCTTTCTTTTTTCTGTTGCCTTTTTCCTCCATGAGTTTAGATTTATCCTAAGTACTTAAACTTGTGCTTTATCCATGTTTCTTAAAGCTTTAGTAAAATTTGAAATTAATGTAATTTAAAGTTAGTTTGAAATTAATGTAATTTAAAGTTAAAGTAATTTTGAAATTAACATTAAATCTACTCTTTAAGACAAGGGATGTAATGAATAGTGATTTGGCTGAAGACCATGTATTTTCCTTAAGAAAAAAAAATTCATTCACAATTTTTTTTTGTATATAAATAAGTTAATTCATTATTGAAAATAATAAAAACTTAGCTGTGTTATTGTTACAAGATAAAGGGGGGAAAAACTAATACAAATGTTTATGATAATAAAGACAAATAGATATTGATGTAATTAGATTTATTTAAGATAAATAAAAAGCTATCTAACAAGTATTTAAAAAATAATAATTAAGTTGTAAAATTGGAAAAAAAGAGAAATAGAAAACAAATCTTAATTCTTAAAACAAAACTTTAATGCTAAAAATAACATTTTCTTTTAAAAGAAATATCTATTAAACACTTTTAAAAATGCAGCGTTATCAGAAATAATAATCATAGAAAAAGATAATATACAAAAGTAAAACAAAAAATAAAAATCAACCTTAATTTTTGAAGGAAAATTTTAAAACTAAACATCTCGATTTTCCAGTTGCTGTATTTTCAAGAAAAAGTGAAGATTGAAGTCTAATAGAATCCTTCTTAATTGCCTCGTCATAATAAAAATTTCTGTGAAAACATAAGTTTTTCGAAAAGGAAAAAGCTAGATAGGAACCAAAGTGAAAATTGTTCTTAAATATTAGAAAAGAGTGACTGTAAAAGAATAATGTTTCATTAAAGTGTTTTATTAGAAACGCTCTTTAAAAAGTGCTATAATAAAAATTGATAAAAGAAAAGTTAATAAAAAATGCAAAAGAAAAACAGAATTTTTTTTTTCTTAGTTCTGAAATATAACTTTATTGTTATGAATCATATTGTTTAAAACAAAGTGCTGAAAAAACGACAAAATTGACTTGCCTGATTGTAATAATTTTAAAAAATCAGCGTTACAAAACTCATTTTTCAGTATAAAGAAATCTAGTTTTGATTCTTCAAATTTCTCTTTTCCATTTGTTTTTTCAAAACATAAATTAACAAGTTTTCGAACTTAATAAATATGATTAAAATAAATTTTTTATAGTGTATAGTAAAAAATTTGATTTTGGATTATTGTTTCTTAAATCTATTCAAATCCCCCCCCCCCCCNAAAAAAAAAAACTCGAAAAATACTTTTCCAAATAATAGTTTGTTGAATATTCTTTTCCAAATAAAACTTTGTTGAATATTAGTTACATCCCTAATTAAAAGACTAGCAAACAGCTTTGAGCAAAGTAAAACAGGTATTCAAAGGATACAGCTGAACCTAATTAAATATTTTCTTATAGCTATCTTTTAGCTTTCAGAACTTCGTTTAACTTCCAATCTTAAAAAGCCAAAGAGACATCAATCCTTTAAACTTACCACCCTGTTAAAATTTTTTGGTTATATTTATAACTCCGTGGTAATGCCATGATAACAAAACTAGAAATAAATAAAGATTATAATTTTGCATTTTTGTCCCTTTAAAAAATTTTCAATTACAAAAGTATGACTTGCCAAATTCTTACTCTACTAGTGAGTTCACAAAGCAAAAAATAAAAAGGAAATTTTGTTAGATTTATCTCTGAAAATTGATTGTATCTTGCCCAAAATTTTTAAAATTGTAAATTTAAAAAAAGAAAAAAATGTATTTATGGATGAGTGTTGATGTTAAGAAAACGAAAATTTCTGTGAAGAATTGAAAAATCGTCTTATCAAATTTAAGTAGTGGGAAAAAATATTCAATGTTAAAGTTTGTATATTTGTCAGAAATTTGATATTACTTTGAAACATTGAAAAATCAAGTTATCGTCATTCAAATCATCAATGTTTGACTCTACTTTGATCGGTACTTTTTTGTGTTTGGAAAGACAAATGTTTTTTCTCCATTGTTAATTTATTTTAATTGTTATAAGCCTTGCCAATCTATGAATCTTTAAAAAAATCTCAATTGTAACTAAATTATATATTAGAAAAACAATCGAGCCTTAGTTATGCAACATCCACTAGGCATAATTTATCAAATCATTTGTGTTACATATGTTGAAAAATTAAAATTGTAATATTATTGGAACTACTTTATTGATTAAGTTTTTCTGTTGTATAGACATGAAACTATGATTAAAACCATTAAAAGACAGCGGCTAATATCATAAAGTAAAATAGTGTAATAATCTATCTTTATATCACATCAATTGACCTACAACTAAAACTCGTGACAAAAGAAAGATCGCTTATTAGTTTCCAAGTGAGTCTTTTATAGCTCAACTCTCTTTTAAAAAAAAAAAAATTTTTTTGTCCGTTGTTGAATACCCCACCGAATTTTCAGTTTACGACTACCAATGTTCAAGTCCTTAGCCTTGTAATTTTGAGCGCAATCCGGAAGACAATAGAACTCCTGGATCAAGTATTGCTAGAAATTTGCCTTCATGGTTTTTGGGGGAACTAATCCGCATTTGCGTCACATGGAGAGGAAAACCTCTCATGGTTAGCCTGACGGCAAGGGGACTCTAACCCATGATCCATCTACCACTGCTGATATTTCATGTCAGCACTGTGGTTGGTGTGACCCGGGTGCGGAATTCATATCAACCAGGCATCGTTGGGATTTGAACCCTGTTTCACCTAATTGGTAGGTGAACACTCTACCCCCTGAACCATCGCTGCTTAACTGAGCTCATTTGGAGAGACCACGATAGCGAGTAGTTCCTTAGAGTGACTATATTTTAACCAGTATTACACAACCATTCCATCTCATATTTTTGGATGGTGATGTTTAATTCTATATCTTTGTAATTTTCAATTCAAGATAAAAACAAAGGTCATGGATTTTGGTTGCCGTAAAATCTAATTTTTAAGTTGGAATTCCCTACCTCCCCCCTCCCAAATTCATGGTGTTCCGAATATCTGAGTTTGTAACAAAATCTCCACTCGAAGTCCTATTTTATTAAAATATAAAATTTTTCATCATGTTCTTTAAAAAATTTGGTGTTCTTTCAAAAAATAAAAGAAAAAACATCATTTCTAGAGCCAATTATCTTTTAAACTTCTGTGATTTCAGAATTTTTGTTATTATTTTTTATTTTATCAGTTTCAAATTCTAGCTGAGGCAAGCCAGTCATTGGCGAATTTTTTTTATTCCGAAATTAGAACAGAAAAATATCTTTAGAATATAATTCTGCAGGGAAAAAAAATTATTTGCTTTTGTATTTTTTTTTCCAGCTATTTTATTGCTTCAACTCTTTCTTTACTCAGTTTTTTAAATGTAAGATCTATAAATATGAAGATGCAGAGTATAACAGTTTTGATATCTATAATTTCAATTAATGTTATTATAATGCTTTTTTAAATTTATTGTTGTGTTTTTGTGTGAGAAAATAGTAACTTCGTTAAGTTATGAAATATTCTTGGAATTAGTCATGAATTTGAAAATCTAAAATGTATCAGATACCATGTTTATTTAAAATAATTTTAATCCAATTAACAGTTGAATATTCATAGAATCTTTAAAAATGGTCATGTCATCAGAGGGCTTATTTTTTTTTTAATGTTTAGTATTGTTCAAACTTAGTGAAAAAATATTAAACTAAATAGAACAGATATTAAATGTCCTGCTTGGCTTTTTGTAAGTTTTGCATTTTAGAGTTCAATAAGTATCGATGAAGCACCAATCAAACAAATCATATACAAGGTATCCGTGCACCTGGAAAGTCATGAAAAATCATGGAAATTCATGAATTTTGGTATTGAACAAAATTTGTCATGAAATGTCATGATTGTAACTATATTTTTTTTAAAAAGTCATGAATTTAGGTCGCCAAAAAATCTAATTATTAAACTGGAATTTACCCCTCCCCCAATTTCTTGGTGTTCCGAATATCTGAATTTATAACAAACTCCCCACTCATAGTCATATTTTATTAAAATATAAAATGTTTTTATCATGTTCTTTAAAAATTGATTTCTTTCAACAAAAAAAAAATCAATTCATTTCTAGAGCAAATTATTTTGTAAACTTATTCTTAATGTTATAGAAGAAATACTTAAGTATTTCTTTCCTTTCCCTTGAACAAGAAAAGTATCTTTAGAATATAATTCTGCAGAAGAAAGGGGAAAAAAATTACTTTTGAGTTATTTTATTGCTTCAAATCTTTATTTTCTCTGTTTTTTTTAAATTAAAAATCTATAAATATGAAGATGCAGAGTATAACAGTTTTGGTTACACCTATAATTTCAATTAATGTTATTATGATGCTTTTTTAAATTTACTGTTGTGTTTTTGTCGGAGAAAATAGTAACTTCGTAAAGTCATGAAAAATTCTTGGAATTAGTCATGAAAAGTCATGAATTTGAAAATCTAAAATGTAATAGATACCCGATATAACTTATTATAAAAATACTGAATATGATTATAAAATATATTTTTAACTTAAATTTGATTTAATAATTTCCTTAAATGGTAATTTTTATTATAGTTTAATTTTTAATTCCGGAAAACATATATCCAAAGAAAGTTGTATTGACACACTAAGTTAAACTTTCATTTCTAAAACTGCTATGGCATGTCTGAGTGTATGAATTGGCATGCTGTAGCTTGGAGACAAATTTGGATGTTATTATATTGTTAAATCATTTCCAATGTTTATATTATTTGCAGACTCTTCTAAAGCCTTTAGTGAGTGTAAATAATAGCAGCAATGCCTCAACTACTGTTGTCAGCAGTACCTCAGTTTTACAAACTGTGCAAGCTACTCAGCCTGTAACATCAGGAACAACTCACTCTTTGCAAGTTCCTGGCAACAAATTCCATTACGTTAGGCTTGTAAGCGCTAACAACACCAATCAAACTTTGAAAAGTAAACATTTTTTCTTTTTTTACTATTTTAAATTTATTAATTTTTTATAACATGTTTGTATGTAATAAAGACACAGTTGCCAACTCTTCTGAAATTTCCATTTGTAAGACTAATTATAATTAAAAAAGTGTTCAATTACCAGGGGTCTGTCATGGGTAAATTTACTACCACTTAGCGGTACCTTCACAAGTTCAACTTTATAAAAAATGGTAGTTTCACAAATAAAAAAGCAAGTTCTCATGCAAGCGCTGTTCTCCTTGCAATATATGGAAGAGAGGAGCGTTATTGCCAGCCGTTTTTTACGAAAAGATACCACATGTTTGGTTGGATAATGCAATGTGGTACGCCTAACCAGTCGCTTACGCCATATCAAAGCTAGTTTTTTTCGCTGAGTTTTTTAAAATTAAACAGTGAGGCATCCCTCTCTAAACTTTACAGGAAATAAAAATTTGAACATCATCTTAACATTATTGTAAATTTATTTTAACTGACCTTTATTTTTTTATGATCCATTATTTTTTCTCTCTCAAACTTTTTTCTGTATGACCCAGTTGAAAATGTTCTCATCCTTAAAATAACTTTTAGTACTATTTAGTACCTTAAAATAACTTTTAGTATTTAGTTTATTAAATTGAAATTTAACTATGGGCAATGATTTTTATGGATTTTGTAATTTAGATGCAATTTTTTGCCCAAAATTTACAATAGCAAAATTGTTTTTTGAATGTATGGGGGGGGATATATAGAAATTTACCAGTCATAAATAATTTTTATTTGTAGTGACAATTTTTGAAAATATTTTCGTACTTTACCATATTTTTGTGTTGATTTTTTAATATAATTTTTAATTTTCACAAATTATGTCTAAATTTTCACAAAATAGGTACCTCTTTAAAAAAAACCTAAACAGACCCCTGATTACACCTTTATTTTGTAAATTAATAGAGATATATTTTATGCATCTTAACCATCAAAAGGCTTCTTGTAAGCAGCATAGATGATTGTACTTCAGTTACTGATAAAACCAGTTTAAATTCATGATAAAAAGTTGGAAACATTTTGAGAAATGGAGAATTCATCTCACTATTTGTAAGTTATTTTGCATAGAAATTCTCAAAATGTTCTTGGAAAATAGAAAAATAAGTTCATTAAATAAGACTATTCTAATATTTTTAAAATGTAGAAAGGAGTTTTAAAATAATACATTGAAAGAGCTGTGTTTTATGAAGTAAAATAATTTATTTCATTTGTAATGTAATGGGCTAGGAAATTAAATTGTCCAAGGATAATTTTTTCTCTTGTCTGTTATAACAGGGGAGATCTTTTTTTAATAACTAAATTTGTCTGCAAAAAAAAATGGTTTAGTTTTGTTTACAAGGCTACGTTTCAAACTTAGTTGACTTTTAAAAAAATTGCATAGTTTTATGCAAATTATAGCTAATGTGACTTATAAAAAATTACAAATTGGAAAAGGGTACTACTTAAGAAAAAATCGTAGAATAATCTCTCTTTTTTATCGTTTTTTGTTTATATCCTTCTGTAACTTGTGCAATTAACTAATCTTAGCATTTTTGTCATATTTTTTCTCCATCTATTACCACTAATTTAACAGTAAATGCTTGTTGTTACAGTAATGTTTATTGTCATCTTTTTTACTGAAATAATGAAATATATATGTCACCCTTCATACTATAACTTACCTGAAGAATTTTTTTTTTTTTAAATCAAAATCATTGTGCTTTATTTGAAATTCTGAAAATGAAAGCTTTTACTAAATTTCATACTTTCTTAAGTTATTCAAGTACTTTCATGTTCTAAAATTTTTTCTCTAACTATATTTTCAGTCATAAAAGATCCTCCAACGCCACAAATCTCATCTATAGTGTCATTAAATACAGCTACGGCCTCAACATCCTTAGCTCAAGTTCGTCCAACTGTGCCTATTGCTCCAGCAAAATTGGTCAGTGACTATTGAACTAAATTTATTGATTGCTTAAAATTGTTCATTCATAAAACTTCATAGAATTCATCATTTACAAAAATTTCAGTCTTATGAAATCAGGTGTTACTGTTCTTTAAACCTGAGAAATTGACTTACGATAACTTAAATGAAATTAAGCGTTTTAGATTAGACATCTCGCTAATTCTGGTTTCTTGAAAATTCAATTTTTTACAAATTATTATTATATGTAATTTGGTATGCATTTTAAAAACTTATAGATATAGATGTGGACTAGATAATTATAAATGGATATTTATACTTGCCCTGCATTTATACCCAAAATCAGGGTGTTTGTAGCTTTCAGTCATTTTTAAAAGATATATTAGTTCTAAGAATAATTTACACAAATGAATATACAACTTCAAATATAACATGCAGAATAAATATTTCAAATATTATAGCAATGGGAGAGATTATTTTTTTGTTGAGATTTATCAAAATTAACGAAATTCTTTCATATATATTTATTATGTCCTATTCCTACTTAATCTCATTAGGTAGAAAAAATGTACCAATACTAAATATTAAAAGTAATATTTGAGAGTTTTATGTATGCTCAACCAGTTATAAATACTACAGGGTGCGTAGCGTTTTTAAAAAGTGCTTGAAGGTGCTTATTTTCATTTTTAAAAGCCCTTAAAGGTGCTTTTTTCAGTGGGTGTTTTTAAAAAGTGCTTAATTTTTCCTTTTCTGAAATAAGATTTTTCCTTTACCATGTTGATTTTCGCTACGAATTATGCAGAAAGGCACTGTTCACATTGTTCAATTCAATGTTTTCGCAATTAATTCAACCTCAATCTATTTCGACGCATCGCCAGTCTGTAGCGTATGAAAACACCATTCGATTTACATGATTCAAAAATTTTGACAATTGTCAAAAACAATGCCAAAAGATTTTTTNACATGACTGTTAAAACCAGATAAAACTGTCAATTGTCAAAAATTTTCCAACCATACCTAATTATGATATTTTTTAAAGTGCTTAAAAATGTTATTTGAGTGCTTGAAAAGAGCTTATTTTTTGTTGAATAATTTGGCTATGCACCCTGTACTAGGTCTGTCTTGCAAATAAAATTTGGTTCAAATTTTTAAAAAATTAACTGAATTTTTTCTTTTATATATTATGTCATATTCTTAACATTATGTCTTATATTTATTGTACCATATTGTTTAAATTATTTTATTTTTAAAAAAATTCATTAATATATTATTCCAATAATACATTATAGAAGAACAATTAAATTTCAGTTTTCTCAAAAATTTATTATTACGTAAAAATTGCATTTTTAGCATTAATTGTTAAACAATAAAACTTTGTTTAAAGCTATCCAGGGAATTATGCCAAATCTGCAGATATGAAAAAGTTTCTTTCGATTTCTTCTGCTTGATAGGAACCTATTTCCTCCAGGGCAGTTTCTTTAAGTAGTAGAAAAAACTGTTTAAGCTGACATATAAAGATATTCAAATTTTCAAGCTTTTTGAAAGAAAAATAAAAACATTTAATTTTTTTATTTTTATTTTGATAGCTATAAAAATCTTAACTTTCATTTCTTATGAATTATTTATTATATTATAAGAACTCAAAAAGAAACAAATTTCTCCTACCAATTTAAATTATTTATACCCTGGGTGTTAACAACTTGAATTAATTTATACCCTATCAGAATTCCCAAGAAAGCAAAATAGGTCAGTAACAAAATTAAGAATGTGTTACCTTCTAATAAAGAACATCCCTGGGACCTTGTGTTTTGCCCTTGAAATAGCAAAATCCTTTATCTAGAGAGTACATGGAAACTAAAAAATTTAATTTAATTAGAAATTTAGATTTACATATTTCTTTTAACCATTTTATGTAGTCTGCTTCATTATGTAATTCTAGTTCATCACAAATAATCAAAAAAATTTCTGCTTGTGTTTGAATTCGTCTAACCAACCATTTGAAATTTTTTGCATTCAAGTCTTTGATTGCTTATTTGAAATAGTTATCCATCATTTCTCTATACTTTTTAGCACATTACTTTCTTGAGTTTTACATATTCCAACTTTCTGTCTTAAATGTCTAAAACTTCTGTTAGATTAATTACATATATTTTTTCTTTTAATATTTATCTTTTTTTCCGAAAAGTATAATAGATAATCTACAAATAAAATAGCACACTAGCATAAAACTATTTCTCCTCATAACATCACAGCACACACAGGAACTAAAATGAAAAATGTTCACTCTTTACATCTTAAAATGTTCTATTAAATTAGTAGCTATCATCATCATCACTGGATGGTCTAGCCATTTTATTTCTTATTTTTCCCTTATTTGTGCCTTTTCTCCACAATACCAATAAAGAGTTCGTGATGCATCTTCTCCCTCTCTCTCTTAACAAATTTTTTTTTAACAATGCCTCGTAGAAAAAGTTTACTTAATTAAGAAGTACATAAAGGCTCCTATTCACGGGAAATGGGACTAACAAATTTGTCTCTTTATGTGTCTCTTATTTGTAGTACTTTGCAGAAAGTACTACTATATTTTACATATGCAGGAAAAATAACACGGTTTTGTTTTGTGTGATCAACTTATAGAAATTTTCATTAACTCTGGAAATTCTTAGGACATTCGATTCTTTGTATTGTATGTTATAAAGTCATCAATTGTGTGATCATTTTAATGATCTCATGCTATTTCATGTGAATGTGTCCTTATATTGTACAATTTATGAAACTAGGTATATTTTATGAGAACTTACTCTGTGATATTATTGTTTTTTTCTTATGTTATTTTAATTGATAATTCAGTTCTAATTAGGGTTTTTATATTTTGACTTTTCTTTAAGCAACTATTTCCTTTCTTTGAAATAAAGCTAATATTAAACATTTTGGAAAATCAATTCATACCTTTCTAAATTCTATACTGAATGTATTTTAAAAAAATATTTATTTATTATCTTGATTGATAATGTAAAAGATGGAATAAAGCAAAATTTATATTTTAATATATAAAAATGCATAGTGGTCACATTAACCATGAAGGTTTATTGGTTCTAAAGAATTACCTAGGTATTCATTTAGTGGTCCCAAAATATATCATGGTTAAAAATGTTTAAAAATAATAATAAATTAATCGATAACTTGAACTTTACAATATAATCTGTGTCAAATATAAAAGTGTAGGTTTTTGTTCTTATGTTTATATTTTTAAACTTTATTTCCATTATTATTATTTTAAAATTTTTTAAATATTTCTACTTTTGTGCTCAGTTTAGAGTTTGTATTTCGTTGAAACATTTGTGCTTATTTTAAATCAAATTTGAATTAAAATTTATGAATGCTATTTGCCTATTTTAGAAAACTTCATTTTGTTTTTAGATAACACCTAAGCAAGTTGGGCCAAAGTTCTTAATTCCTGCTGTCTCAAGTTCTCAGATTAGAGGTGGAACTAGCTCTGTGTCTTCCAGCCAGTTGGGTCAGCTTCCAGCTGGAACCCTTATACCTGTAGGAGCTGGCTCCTCTAGTTATGTAATGGTGCCAGCTCAATATGTTACTCAGGTAACAATTGATTTCCTTTATCCATAATGTAATATATAGTGTTAATGCCACAGCTACATGTGTTTTGTTATTTCAGCTTCAGCAACCAGTTGCCACTCCCAGTACCGGTAGTACAGTGTTGAATATTCTACCTGCTCCCCCAACATCCAGCTCCTCAGCTTTAGGACCACAATCAACAATTATTTCAATAACATCTAATCCACCCAATAATTTCCACTCATCAAATGTTGCTTCTTCTATGCATGGATCTCCCCCTCATTCTTCCAGGTATAGTATCCAATAGTCGGAAGTAATGTGTTATAAGTAACAAGACTACTGTAGTTTTGTTGTGTAGTAGGCTACTTTTTATTAAAACAGTACTGTAGTGTGATACAAAAAACTACTAGTTTTTAACAATTCCTGACAACTACTTTTAATTTTAGTTTACCATGAAATACCAAACAAACCTCTAGATTCGATTAAGCCCATAGTTTCATACGAATATTAACCAGAGACCATCACACAACTCTATTCAGGTTGAGAATTTCAAAACAGTTTGCTTTTTTCTCAGAATGGGATATCTACAAGTGACGTAGTGTAGGAATCTAGATTGGTTGTTGAAACATAGCATTTGTTTCCGTTAGTAACTGCTCTTTCTATTGTGTTTTGAGTAAGCCAAGCCCGTCAAGTAATTATTCTCTTAAGTGACACATTCTATATTCTTACAAAAATTCTTTCATAAAGATTTCAATTCTTTTACTATATATTTCTCACTTAACACAAAGACAGGCATTAAGTAACATAGAACATAAACAAACTAATTATGCATCGATAAAATGCATAAGTAAATAATAAATCTAAGTTAAGTAAAAGTCATAGACAGGAAAGAATTATATTTCAACAAATTCATTGTGCAATAGAAAACTATTTGACATCTCCATGTGAAGAGGTACACCTAAGAGCTAAAAACTGATGCAGTAAATGGATTTATTCAAACTGTAATATCTTTGTGTAAAGAATGACTACACAAATTTTGATATCACAAACATAGACTAAATGATGGTAAGGTTCAATGAACCATATTCTCAAATTAATGATGTGGTGGGAAATCATGCAATAAGGATATCCTACACAAAATGAAAAAAATGCGATTCACGCCGTTAGCGGTGGTGGCATCTGGTCATAATTTTTTTCGTTTATTCACTGCCTTATCCCACCACGGCCATTATTATAAGGCCAACCAACCTTATCTCATCATGGGTACGTCAGGATTTAAGATTTCCATCAAGCATTTGAATTACTCGCTCTATCAATGGATGGATGACAAGCCCATTAATAGAAGTTTAGATTAGGCGAGATTTGGGGTAGCAATCAAGATGATGTGTTGACAATCAAGATTGCTTGTCTTACAGAGCAGAGCTAAATAGGAGTCCACTTATTTCAAAAAAGACAATTAAAAAATTGACACAGACATGATCCTTATCCCAGCAGATTGTACAAGCCTCTTAAAACCTCATGTGCCCTGGATGTTGCCATTTAAGAACTCATTGAGAAGAAAATGGTGCACATTCATTTGTCAAAAAGAAAAAACCCATGCCAGAAATATAAGAAGGCAGTCATACCAGGATGTGATACGTTTGTTTTTGCCTTTTGGGAAGCCATTTCAGAAAAAACCACCTCTAATTCATACAAGAAATATAGGATCTCAAATGAATTCGAAGCAAAGGTGAATTATTCCATCCCTGCTTGGCAGGGATTAAAACTACATATATGTACTTCATTTTTTACCATTCTTTTACTTATTCCATACTTTTTTTCTTTAAGCATTTAACAAAGGAAGTTATACCTAAGCTGTATCATTTTGCCCAAGTTGTGAGAAATATATGAGTGTTAATTTTCTTGTCAAGAGTGAAAGGTTTATAAATTTTTTTTTTATTTTTTTAGGCGAGCCACTCCTGTTGAAACGGATATTAGGCCCAGAAAACCTTGCAATTGTACAAAATCCCAGTGTTTAAAGCTGTAAGTTGCAATTTTTATAATTTATCTTGCCTTAGAATTATGCTGTTATATATGTTGAATGTATAGCACAATTCTTTAATTATTTTTTAGTTATTGTGATTGTTTTGCAAATGGAGAGTTTTGCAACAGTTGTAATTGCACAAATTGCTACAACAACTTGTCTCACGAAGAAGAGAGACAAAAGGCTATCAAAGCTTGTCTTGATCGTAATCCATATGCTTTTCACCCAAAAATTGGTAAGTTAATTTTTCTTTTTATTATTTTTCTTTTGGGAAGTTTGATATACAAAATGATTTGAAATTGTAAAAATACAGAGGAATTATATATAATCAAAAATATCAAATTTCCGTTATCCACCTAAATCTTGTGTACTTACACAAATAATTTTAGTTTTTTTACAGTTTGTTTAAACTTTATAATCTACAATTGATGTATATTGTTTGTAAAAGAAGAAAATGCAGAGTAATTGTTTTTTATTATTATTACCAAGCATCAAAAATGATACATAAAAATGTTTTACACTTTATATAATTCCAAAAATTTTTTATCATTTTTAAATGAAAAAAAAACTAAACAAAATTTTGCATTAATGTAAAAATAATTTATATTTGTAGCAGTTATGAGAAAGAAACCGATACGTATCATTAAATAAATATGGATAAATAGTATTATAAGGTTTTTACCATTTTCCTCATGGTTTTTTACCAGCAAAAACCCAACCTTAATATATATATCAACCTGCAATTAATGTAAAGTATAAGTCCCTTTATTTAATTTAACTATTTTCAAATAAATTTCTTATATAATTTAAAATTTTATTTTTTTAAAATAAAATGAAATTTAAATTAAGAAAGCATTTATTTAAATCACTAACTTGAATTAGGAACCCTAGGTTCTATAATAAGTTTTCATCCTGTTGATGCCTCGTATCAACCCTCTGATGCTGTTGGCCGAATTTTGAAATACCCTATATTCTTTTCAATAAAAAAATTCCATTTAATTTAACTCATTGTCTGTTTCTAGGAAAAAGTAGGGGTGGTGGTGGAAACAGTGATCAAGAAAGGAGGCACACGAAAGGATGCAATTGCAAAAGATCATACTGTTTGAAAAATTACTGTGAATGTTATGAGGTAATTTCAGTTTTCTTTAATAATTTTCTAAATCTTGTCTGTTAGATTTATGTCTAAATTTCAAAACCAATTTCTTCCAGGCTAAAATTCTTTGTACAAATTTATGCAAGTGTGTCGGTTGTAAAAATTTTGAAGACAGTTCGGAACGGAAAACACTGATGCATCTAGCTGATGCAGCTGAAGTGAGGGTGCAACAACAAGCTGCTGCCAAGACAAATCTCTCATCTCAAATCCTTGATATTCCCACCAAACCACCTGTCATGTCTCAGACCGGAGAAAGGTATAAATATTCCTTTCACTTGACTATCGACAAATGAATGGATCGTCTTTTCAGAAATGCCAACTCTTGCGATTTATCCGTAATTGTTTTTTCAGAGTCGAGCTTACAGTCTTACGGTTGAGTAACCAGGGGGGGGGGTGACTTTTTAAGAATTTTCAGAATAATTTGTTTAAAATATTTTTTTTTCCCTTCCCTTAACTACCAAGATTTCTGAAATTTTGTTGTTCGCAATAAATCTTCAGTAGTTATTTTCTACTCCTTAAATGATTCTATAAACAATGGCTAAAAAGCTAAAGCGATTTGATTAAATCAACAAATGAAAAAAAGCAACAAAAAAAATTCTTTTCTCTGTAGAACAGTGAAAGAACAGAAACTGAAATTTGAAAAGCTATGAGCAAAAATTTTTAGTGGTTAAAAGCAATAAAGAGTATTCCGAATTCACTGATTTCAAATAATCTTTTAATGAAATATAAAACTTCAGTGATTTGTAATTTTTAATTTAATACCTATTGTGTTCATATTTTAATGCCAGTGTAAGACATTTTTCGTTCTGTTGCAGTTTTCAGGATATGTTCTTCATATAAAACTACTAGTCATGTGATTTTTTTTTATTTTTGAAGAAAAAAAAATTCTCAGAATTTTGTGAATTAAAACTGAATAGTCTCTGAAATTTTAAGGAAAACACATCTATTTGCATGCAGTTACTTTTTGAGAAATGAGTGAACCATAGTACTGATTATTATTTTGTGCTCTATTACTTCCACATTAACTGTTAGGACATAAATACTTTCAAAGGACCTTTGCATCAAAGGTCAGAGGTTATTCAAAAATCTCTAAAATAAGGTTTTGTCCATCAAAATCTACTTGTGCCAACTGTGTAACACTAAGGTATATATAGTGTGAATATATATTAATAAGTAGTACCTTTAAAAAAAAAACAATATATGTGGGGTGTACATTTGGCATAACTTTAAGGTTTACCTTAAAATAGTGAAATTAGCACAACTTTCAACATCATAACTGCCTTTTCCAAAACTAGACAAGTATAGAACTTGCTGGAAAAAAAGCCTTAAGTATAGCAGAAACAAAATCAAATAACATCTGTGGTTACTGGTACAACTTTTATATAATATTGTCCTAAACTTTTAGGCATGTGCCTAGGTAGTTCAATAATAATAAAAAAAGGTAATTCAATAATAGTAATAAAATCAAAATGAATATCTGAAGTTACTCTCACCCAAGGTGAGCTTTAACCTCTATCTGGAATTTATTGAGGAGAAAAGGACCAAACATACTCGTTCCTATTTAGGCAAGTTATATAATGGTTCCAGTGTAATTTTTTTTATTGAATCTCCTGAAATTTCAATTAAATGTGTCTAATAGTTAAGAAGTTATTTCAGTTTTAGCAACAGAGGAAATTCTGACTCATACTACATATTTATGCATCTGACATTGCTATACAGGCAAGTGAGGTATTGATTCCAATGTTTTTTAAGTAATCAATAGGAAATACTTATGTTCAATAACAGTTAAAAATGAATAGTGTAAAAAAAATACTGTTATTAAGCCAGCTATTTGTGACGAAAAAAATTAATAAGCTTTATATGTCAACAGAACAATAATGATCTATCTTTTAAAAGGTTGCCTTTTGCTTTTGTGACGGATGGTGTTTTGGAGGCTACCTGTCTTTGCCTATTGGCTCAAGCAAGTGAAGCAGAGAAATCCCATACAAGTGAGGAAGAAATAGAGAGGCTGGTTTTACAAGAATTTGGACGGTGTCTTGTACGGATTATAGACTGTGCAAACAAAACAAAAGGTAAAATTTTTTTTTACATTAAGAGATGTACATTCCAATTGTTGCATAGTTTTCTATAAATGCAATATTATTTATGATAAGTTTATGAACTGAAATACTTTTGTTTGAAATTTTGAAACAAATTTTACCCCCCAATGCAAAGCAATGCATCACAGTTTGCAAAAAATAAAAATAAATTTAAAAAATAAAATAGAAGTAAAAAAGAAAACTTTTCTTTTTTTTTATTAAAAAAAAAATAACTAATGTAAAAAAAGAAGAGAAGGAACGAAAGAACATCCTAAATAACTTATCTCATGAACAGTTTTTCACATACTAACATGTAATTTTTAGAAGATGCTGTAAAATGGGAGAAACTTTTCATGGCAAATTATATCTCATCTCCATTGGTAATCTTAAGTTTAAACTAGAATGAGATAAAATGAAAAACTCTCTGCAGTCACAAGATCTCAATTAAAAAGCTTTCTGCACTCATTGATTAATTCTTGTAACTGGCTTCAACTTTTTCGTTTCTACCTTATTTTAGCAAAATTCGTTTGAAAATCACTGATTATTTTTAAAAATTTTAATTTTTATAGAACTTGTTAAGTTTATTAAAAGAACGTGTCAACTAAGTTAATTATACACAAGTTTATTTTTAAAAAAACAACAAAGCTGAAAATAGGAATCCAAAAATAATAATAATTTGTGTAACTCATTGATCGTTATTTTTCATAGTAGAATAAAAAAATTTACATTGTAAGTTAAATTGAATTTTAAATTACTATAAAATTTGAAAGTTTACTGAAGATGAATTAGAAAATCTAGCTTTTATTTACACATATAGAAATCATTTTCATTTGAAAGAAATTATGAAGGTATTAAATTTCATTGTTTGTATGTTGTGTATAAAATTGTTATTTGTAATAACTTATAAATACATTTAACTTCATTGCATAAATTAAAATAATTAAATTCAGAATTTTGAACACTTTAAAAAAATAATGTGGAGTTTGAATATCAAAATAATGTAGAATTGTAATTTTACTACTAACTATATATATTTTTTTCTTTCTTTAAAGAAAAAAAGAAGAAAACAAAACCGTGTTGAAAGTTATATACATATATAATGTAATTTAAACTTTTGGTCACAATCGCAACACTCGAATACACCATTTGGGGATAAGACCGGTTCCGTATCTAGAGCCTTCCAACCCCTCCTTTGCTCATATATGGATATGAGTTACGATATTTCCCCATGATACTTAAATTAAGCACTATGTTCAATGCAGCTTTGAGTTCCCAGGGTTGCCACAGGCGACTAAAATGCAACTATTTGCAACTATTTTTGGCATGAGGCGACTATGGCAACTTTTTTTGCCTGAAAAGGCTTAAAAAAAAGCAACTATTTTCAAGAAAAGGAGACTATTGGGAGACTTTTCTTTACTCCTAGAGATGTTTTTTTTTTTTCAAGCATAAATTGGTGAAAAATCTGCGCCTCGTAAGATAGTTCCTGAACACACTGAACTTTTTTTTCTTAAAAAATAAAAAATGTTAAAAAATTTGAATTGCAATCTTCACTTTTTAATTTGTTCAATCTGCGCAGATTCCATTGTAAGTCTATTTCCTTTCTCGATCACCTTTTCAATGATTATTGCTAAAAAAATCTGCATGATTTTTTTTATTTAAAAAAAAAAATTTTTTTAACTGTATTACAATGCATGAATTTCTAATTTTAGTAATCACTTTTCATATATAAATGTGTGTGTCGATATATATATATACAGTCAGACCTCGATATAAGGTCACCCTAAGGGACATCGCAAAAGTGACCTTATAAGCGGGGTGACCTTTTAACCGATTCATTAGCAGTTCGTAACTAAGTACGTAAATAGTACACATTATGACTTTTTAAAAATGGTTATACAAACGAAAACGAGCGGCCATAAATTAAATATTTAAGTTGATAAATTTTAAGAGAATTAGTAAATAATTGAAGAAAGTTAAATTTTTAATTTTTTTTTAAATTTAAAATAAAGCTATTTACAAATTTCCGCAAAGTGTACATACATACATTACATTTTACTTTATTTAAAATGATAATTTATGCAGGTCTGTCACGTTTTTTGTTTCATTTTTCGTACAATGTTTTCTAGATTTTGTAACTTCTCAAAATGTTCCTCAGCTCCCTCATGGTTTGTAAAAAAATTTCGTCTGACATTTATTGCATTGAAGGCTTCCACTTGGGTTGCAGCTACAGTCTCAGGATCATTGTCATTGTCCTCACTGTCCACAACTTGTGAAACAATTTCAGAAATTGTAGTTTGTTCGTTGGCTGCAACATATTCCTAGAACTCGAGAGGAGTAATTGCCTTGTATGGAAGTTAAATAGGATTTTGTTAGAAAAGAGTTCCCTCACCTCAATTAAAAATGACCTTATAAGCGATAACGATTTTTGAAACTTGACCATATATCCGATAATCTGTAACAAAGAATTCCTATTCAGTGAGCCGGGACTTTGGAAAAGTGACCTTATATGCGGGTGACCTTATAGCGAGGTCTGACTGTATATATATATAAACATTTATTTGAAAATTATCATATTTGCCACCAACTTGACTGAATGGATGATGGCATATGACAATTAAGTCATCAACAAAATTTTAGTCATATTTTTGATGAATTTTTGTACTTATTAGGCAACTATTTTCCTAGTGTTTGGCTACTACTTTCATGCTTTAGGCTACTAAAAGCAACTATTTTGTTCATTTTTTTCTGTGGCAACCCTGAGTTCCATATGTTGTCCAAGCTTAAAAAGTTTTAATCTGTTTGAAAATCAAGATCGAAATTAATATACTTCCTATGACTATCCACTCCCTAATGGTAAAAGCATAGTCTAGTGTTGCCATAGGTAAAGAATTCTGCTGTGCACCACATGTAGCTCATTTCGATCGCCAATAGAAACATGCTGAACAAGATACTCATTTCTAAGAGCTTAATTATTTTGAAGTAGTTATGAATTAACTCCAGACATCTCTCTTTTCAGTTTCTAAGATGGATGTCCAGTGATAAAGCATCTAATTTGTTGGTGGCAATGCATCTAAAAATTTATCTAGTCACAAATTGCTGTTATTTGAAAGTATATTTGTAAATATATCACAGTTTCAACTCATATTGTACATTTGAAACTTATCACATTATCATTATATGCTTAGAAAATACTACTGAGCTTTTTGCTGTTTTTAGATTGCTTTGTTCTTCTTGAAAGTTCAATTTGCAGTTGAAGTTAGCTCAAAAATCTTCTTTTTGATTGTTTTAATTGGAAGTGGTTGTATTTCAATTTTCATTCTGGTTTGAAATGATTGTTTTAAATAGTCACTAAGTGGTTCATTTTTATCATTATCAATATAAAGTTTCATATGCTATATGTGTATCTCATAAAGCTATGTTTTTGTTTTTAAATAAAAATGTTTTTACACAACAAATGCATATTATCATATTTTGATTCTGTCTATTTTTTTATTGCTTCAAGCTAGAAAATTTAGACTTTCAGTTTCATATAAATAAATATTTATTAAATATCAAAACGATAAATGGTGTATACTTTTTGAGGTTTAAGTAAAAAAAGAAGAAAAAAATCTAAATTTGTTGATTTTATATTTTAAGAAAATAAATAAATAAAAATTTTATTTATTCATGAAGTTATGTATGCTGTTTCAATTTAATATTTTGAGGAATTTACATTGAAACGATTTATTCATAACATTTATTTTCTTGTTATGTTTCTTGTTTTTCTTTCAATTTGAAGTAATGTTTAGTTAAAAAAAAATATATATATATAGTTGAGGGAAATTTCTTTGTATTTTGAATTTAAAAGATTGATTTCGATTTAAGAATACTTTTATACATCTGATGGAATTAAGCTAAACTAAAAAAAAATACATAAAAGATCTAAGAGAACAAAAGCAATTTCACATTCTATGTTTTTCTTGAATTTCTTCAATCTACAGGATGACTAAAAAGAAACAAAGGCAGTAAGACATTTAAAAACTGCTGAATACAGGAATCAAATAGTTTTCAAATTTTGAGATATAAGGTCAGATTACTAACAACAATATACTTCCTATGGCTGTACAAAATATTTTCGATATCTGTTCTATCCCTCTGTTTATGTTGAATTTATACAAAATGAAAAAAGGTACAATCCTCATTCTAAAAAATTTAAATATTAGCCCAATATTCTTTCATTTTTAACCCTGTACATTATTATTCATAATTTATTTCCATGGTTTATAAATTTTGTCAGATAGACCACTATCTGAAAAAAGGACATCTGGAAAAGTTGCAATTGTTTGAATGTTATTGCTCACTTTAACTAATTATTTTTTTTTTGTCCAATTTTTATTCTTTATTTATTTTTCCATATAATGAGAAAGCCAGAAAAACAGTACCGTAATTTCGCAGAGATACGCCACACCCTTGTAATAAGTATATAAATATCATTAAAATAATTATTAAATATCCGATAAATTAATAAATCCGTTCTTACATAAAATTTCAAATGAGCGCAAAATTTTACCATGTGCGATTGTGCACAATTCAATGCAACACAATTGCTAACGCATTATGTTAATAAATACCAATATAAAATACTCAAATTATATGTAAACTAAGAAATTAAGAACTTATTAAAAATAAGTTAGGAAAATATAATAAATTAATGAAAATAATGTTACTAGGCACAAAATTGTCCCATATATAATAATCGAAATCACATCACCTAGTTTTATTGTAATTCGATTTGAAATACCTAAATATTATTAATTTAAATGATTAAGCAGCTAAAAATCCTTACAGTAATTCAATAGAATATTAATAAAAATTCAATTTAAAGCAATCTTATTTTTCCCAAAATTGTTCTACACAAAACAATGATGAACGTGTTCCATTACTAATTTTAAATTTCTAAAATTTTAACCTTTCAAATGATAAACTGCTAAAAACCTTTAAAATAATTTTTAAAAGAAAAAATAAACCAATATTCTCGTTTTGCGCAAAATTAAAGCATAAAATGGCAGTGGGCACATTATTAAATGTATGATTAAATTAAACTAATAATCCTGTATTGCACAAAATTAATGCATAAAATGATCGCTAATGCAAAATTTCTTTTATAATTGATTTATAATATAGTTATAAATGAATCAAATGATTAAGCAGCTAAAAATTGTTAAAATTAACTTTAAATACAGAATAAATAAAGCAGTTCACGCATTCCTCTTTTATCCATGTGCTTGTCATTGAGCATCGTTTTACTGAAACATCTCAAAATCGTATATTTTCAGGACTCTGGTAAGAGTAAAAATAATAAAGGTGAGCTTCAACTGAAAGTGGGGACTTTCAAGATATATTATTTCAGCATTTCAATCCACTCATTCGTTTTAGAGAATGACTTGCATATTTTTCTTATGTTTTTTTCTTCTTCTCAACTGCAGCAGCTTAAATGGGGGATCGTACTTCCATTGTTCCTTATAAGAGATTATTCTTCGGGGGGGATTGTTGATGGGGAATCTGGTATAAAGGGAGAGTGTATGTTGCTTAATTGTTACATTTTTGTCAACTGTTTTTTGCCTGCATTGTTAATTCTCTAAATTATTATTGATCCTAAATTATAAAAATAGATAGCTTCAAAAGATGAACAGTAATAAGGAAATTTTGTAGAATCAATTCAAAAAAATATAATTTTCAAGCTCAAGTAGTTTTAAAAAAAAAGGATAAGCTGCAGTGTATCTCCGCGAAATTACGGTAGTTTAGAAAGAAGGGGGAAAGTACGTTTAAGCATTGGAACAATTGAATAAATGCTATGATATCAAATTAGAAATAGTAACCCTCTTGTCTTCCTAATTTTAGCTGCTAATGCAGTCCCGCTTCTTAATCTTGTATCATTTACTTTCTAAAGGTGTTGTAACTGTTGAAGTTAATTGCATATTTTTAAATATAACTTTCAGATCTAGCCACTTGAGTTTATAGTTATTGTACAAATTAGTTAAACATGTAATAAGTTGTATACGTTACACGATGCTAGATAATGGTAGAGGCTATTGGTAACAGCTGTAAAATGTGTGATTCACGTTAATTGTATTTATTTATTTTCATAAAATTATATATTCTTTTGTGATAATATTACTAATTATTAGTATTTATTTATATAATATTGAATTTTGTTTTTATCATTATGTATGTAAAAAGATGACATTTCAAAAAATACTGAACAAGCTTTTTTTTTTACTAATCATCATGTTTTGATGAGCCATATGAATTATGTAACTAACATGTAATAACGTATGATAACTTAATTTAAGAAAATTCATACTTGGTTAATTTTTTTAAAATTAATTAGTTATGATGTAAATTATATGTAGCGTTTTCAAATCATTTAAGTTTTATTTCTTTCTGACTCAAGAAATTCCAGCTGAAAATTGTCAAACATTACATTAGCAACTGCAACAGTGAGTAGTAATTATAGCTCCATGTTGTTAAAAGAATAATGGTTGCTAATAAAATGTGGATGCTTAGGAGCTATTAGTTATAGGTTTCTGGTGGTGTGTAATATTTTTGAAATAAGAGGTTCCACTAATGGGGAGGGTTAAAGTAATGTCTAATTAATTGCAAAAAGATAATTACTGTTTTTTCTCTGACCCTGTTTACCTTTAATTTGTGACACTCAACTCTGTCAGTATATATATTTATAGATACAGTAGAGCCCTAATAATCCTACAGCATTTTTGTAATTGAAAGATTCCTGAATATTTCAGCTGATGTTGCCCATTTACTGTAGCTTATTTATGCCTTTGTCATTAAACCTTGCATTCTGTTAATTCCAAATACTGTTGTAGCGATGAATTAGTAATATAGCTGAGATATGATGAGATATCCATGAGATATTTATTTCATAATGTTTTTAATTGAAAAATAGAACGCATGAAAGTCTTTTTTAAAACTTTGTTATTGACGCTAATTAATATGAGTATTTTTAATTATAGTTTTCTGCTTATACAATAAGAATTTAAAAATGTCTCCATATATATATATATATATATAATTTTAATTGTTTCTAGATTTCTATTTTTCTCCTTCCTATTTCCTCTTATGTACATTATTATAATACAATTTGAATTGCATGTATATATCGCATAAATAAAAATATTTGTAGTAAAATTGTTTTAAATACTTCAACTTAACAACAACAATGTTCAACTTAAATAAATTATTATATAAAAAGTGCTAGTGTATTAAGTCCCTTAACTGTGAGAAATGGGATTATTGTAAATAAATTGCTTAAAAAGTATTGAAAAAAGAAGTGTTTTGCATTGAAATTGCTTTTTTTGCTGTGATATGTTTATATTGACTGAAAATTGAGTACTTTCACAATAAAAATTCCAAATACTTGTTTTTACCTATTGTAAAAGTATTTGTTTAAAATTTTTAATGTGATGCTATTCTTGTTGTGATAGCAAGAATGCCATTATCTGTGAAATTACGGAAAGCTTTTGAAAACTAACGAAAAAGTTTTGACTTCCTAATTTTTAATGGATCTTTATTTTATGTGGTACTTTTGTTTCCAATTCGCTGATAATCTCTCCTTTGTAGTTGCCTTTTTAATTTTTAAATAAACCTTCATTTTTTTCACACAGAGACAAAAATATGTTTGTAAATTAAACAAGTAATTTTCTTATATTTTCAAAAATTCTAATAGTTGATAGACATATAATTAAAGATATTGAGGCTCATTTTATTGTTAGGAAAAATATAACTTCCGAAATATTTATTAAATGTTTCATTTTAAACATTATGAAAAATTATATTTTCACCTCGAGAAGAATACTTCTTCATTTACAGAAAGGCATCACTAAAAATAAGTTTCTTTGTTACATAATTAAAAATTATAATAATAACTGAAGCAAATTTAATAATACCTTTTTTATCAATTTAATGAATTAAATGAATAAAAATGAACTTTAAAAAAAAAAAAATATTTCCACTAAAGTTAAACTTCTATTTTATTGATCATAAGAATTTTTTAGAAGTACAGCTCACACGTTGTTGAAAAAAATAAGGATTTTTTTGCTACTGGCCATTAGCTTTTTGTAGCATTTTTTACAGTGATCACTTTTTTAAAAAAAAATAATAATAATTTGTTGATGTTAGACATTTCATTTGAAGCTTTTTTTAAACATGATAAACTTCAGCGAGTTCATTTCTAATAATAAATATTAGGAAACAAACCTGAAATGAAGTAATTTTCAGAATATTTTAAAATATTCATAATAATTCCGTATTTTTAAAAATAATATTTAAATGCGCAGGGAATGCAATTTCTCTGAAAAAAGTAGCGAATATCAAACAATTTTCAGTCGCCATTTGTTATATTTAATCGTCCTGCGGCCAGTGGTGACCATTAATTTTGCCCTATACCATACAACAAAATTGAAAGTTAGAATTTTTTTTGTTTGTGATTTATGATATTAATGTTTATTTCTCTTGTATAGTAATATTTATTAATGCTGTAATTAATGTATATAATTCATTTTCTTCATTTTTGGGTGCTTAAGAAAATGACAATTTTGTTTTCCTCATGAATGTTTTGCTTATCGAGCAACTTTTAAATGTGTTATGTGCTTTTAAGTAAGTTATTTCGATATCAGTGCAATTTTATTTCTGGCTAATACTTTTTTACTAACAATGCATTTGATTTTTATTCATTTTAATACAATTAAATGAATGATTCATTATTTACAATTGTAAATGTATTTTATATGAAGAAGTCACTATATCAAATTTTAGATCATATATGAAGTTACAAAAGTTAAAAATACATATGTTAAATGTATCTATGAAAATAAAGCATTTTAACAAAAGAAGTTTTTTTCTTCTGTTTATCTGTTTGGAAACAAGATTTTTGTTTACATTGCTTCCATACATGATTTGGTTACGAATGAATAATTCTACTCAAGCAATGTATTTGTTTGCTTATTTATGCAATTTAGTGACTGCAATCTACTAAAAAGAAATAAATTAAATTCGCTATCACACCAATGTTACTTTATAAATAAAGGAGCAAATGGGAACATGCTAATTGGAGACAAATTTTGTTCATGTTTATTTTTTCTATTGTATTTTCAAATTTGAAAACAAAACAATGTATGTTATTAATGCCTATTTTATTGACAAAACGGTAAATAACACTTGCTAAAATTCTAAAAATTGGATTTACTAAAAATATTGCTCTAACTAATTGATAAACTCATTATCTTAATAAATTTCTTTAAAAGTAGTATAAGTATTTTAGTAATGTAAGTATTGTACTAGTATTCAATAGTATAACATTTGATTGAGGAAAGCTATAAATGCAATAAAAAAAACTATGTATAATGCACAAAAAATAAACGGACCACCCTGAATAACTTTTAATCTAATAATCAGATCTTCACATTCTAGGACTCAATCTTAAAGGTTCAAAGGGGAAACTTCAAATGTTTTAATTAATTACTGAAGACATTGTTTTATAAGTTACAAAATCACTAACAAAAATGAACTTGCCCTGAATAAGCATTCCTTTTTTGGACAGATTCGGATTTCTAACGCCCGAAATATAAGCCGCTATCTGAAAATATGGTCCGAATAGTTTGGTCAGGAGAGCCGTCCAAACTTTGAACCCCTTTATATTGATTTTATTTTTGGCGTATTTAGTCATGTCTCGAAAACTTTTTAAGCGAATTAAAGTTTTGCACACATTTATAAAATCGATTTATCTAAAGATAATTCCCTGCAAAAAATAACTTTTAACAAATATTTATTTTATTTAATAACAGTCGAAAATCATTTTAAAGAATCCAATTTTACATCGCGATATCGGTTCAATAGTTCCCGAGAAATGGAAATTTAACTTAGTATTTATTGACCTTTTATAAAATTTGATTTCTCAGGAACTATTCGACCGATTTCGCTTAGATGTATTTTTCCATGTGAAATTACATTCTTTGAAATGATGTAAAAAAATTGTATACCTCACAAATCAAAATTTTTTTCGACTGTTATTAAATAAAATATTTGCTAAGAGTTTTTTTTTATGGAATTACCTTCAAATTGTCGTATTTTATAACAGGGTGCGTAGCGTTTGTAAAAAGAACTTAAAGGTGCTTTTTTGGGGATTTCGTTTTTAAAAGCTTTTAAAGGTGCTTTTTTCAGCTGGCGTTTTTAAAAAGTGCTTTTTTTCGAGTATTTTTTTTTCCCTTCAGTGATATCTGGTGGATCCCATGCATTTCACGAAAAATGGGGAGTTTGCTACGTAATCATTCACGCGGACTTCATGTCGTACCCACGTTATGACTTGCGCATGCGCGCACACTTGAAACCGAAACCCGAGTGCTCCAATTCGGATAGAGAATATCAGATCCTTATTAAATGTTTTTCTTTTTAATTTATTTTAATTTTATTCTTGTTTATTTTATTTTACTTCTAACACTTTTTTGACGTAGGGGGTAAGGGTACTTTTGTTCTGAGTTCAGGGTCAAGTTGAATTCACTCGAAGATGTGGGAAAGTACTGATTGTTTTGATTTACGTCCGTTTCTTTTTGGGGTTTTTTTTTATAAGAAGTTTTTGTTTTTCAATAATATCATTGATTGAATATGAATTTTTTGAGTGCTTGAAAATTTTTGTAAAGTGCTTGAAAAGTTTTTAAAAAGTGCTTATTTTTGATTCAAAGATTTGGCTACGCACCCTGTATAATTTCAGCAAAATTTTTTTCAATTCGCTTACTCGAGATATGGAAAATACGCAATAAGTAAAGGGATCTAAACTTTGGACTGTTCTCCTGACCAAACTATTGAGATCATATTTCCCGACTATCCCCTATATTTTGGGAGTCAAGTAGGTATATTCAGAGAATGTAGGTTTTTGTGTTTGATTTTGTAACATAAAACGTGCAATAAATGCATTAATTAATTGGTATATTTGAGTTCGCCCCCTTTAACCAGAGAAATTGTGTTATAGAACGTGTAGATCCGATCAAAAGTTAATCAGGTTGGTACGTTTACTTTTTTGCGCACTGTGCATGTTTGTAATCAAATCCTTTGGGAATTAATGAAATTACTGTGGCTGTGAGTATAAAAAACATGAAGAAACGCTGCTTGAAAGTTGCTATCTATCCCATGTTCATTTCAAAGCAAAATATAGCGGCGTGGGGGGCGTACGAACCAGAAATAATACACTATATGAGGGTGCACAATCTACGGCCCGATGTTTTTTTTTTAGCACCTGAACATAAAAAAACTATTATAAACTTATATTTGGAAAATAATAAAAAAAAAAAATTGGAAATTTTCAATTATGCATTTAAGTTTTTGACACGCCAAATTTAAATCAATGTAGTTTTTCGATCGCTTTTTACGGTGGTTATCGCTACTAATTACCAAAGTTTTAAATATCAAATCTCCATATTTTTTATACGAAAAAAAATTATGAGAACATTTCGAATTTTAGTAATCACTTTTGAAGCTCTATTATCCATTTCATAGTTAATCCAAGTGACATTTCGGTAGTTAGTGCGTGATTTCTGCGTGTTTCCTAAAATCCTAAGTGACTTTCGAATTGTGCAAATAATATTTTTTGAAGCCCTTGTGTCGATTTTATCGTGAATAACTACGCTTCGACACTACGCATTTCTACATGATTTTGAAAATGCAGATATTTTTAATCTGTATTATTCAAATGTGCGCTTTATTTGTGCCAATTCCATCGCAAACTTAAAAATTGTTTCACCTATTATTATAATAACTCGTGATTTTCGAATCAGACTTTTTGATTATTACTTTTGACGTGCTTTATTTGTGCCCATTTCATCCTCAATCCCGTCCCGCAGTGGACTGACCGTTAAGACCTCTGCGGTATTCCCAGTAGAACACCGAAGTCAAGCATCACTAGCTGCAGTCAGTAAGCGGGTGGGTGACCACTTAGACTAGCCTGCGTTGGGACCGAGGGTGAGCGGTATCGTTCTTCGTTAAACTGTTCTACCGTAAAGTGCTCAACTTCGAGCTCAGGTAGTCGGCCTACCAAAGCAGGAGAGCCATACCCTCCGCAGAGGATGAAAATTGCGGTGTATCTTCGGATAATCCTCATGGTTTCCCAGACGGTCTCCAATAGCTCATTGTGCAGCTCTAGTGCGACGTAAATAAAGTACTTACCTATCATCTTCAATCCATGTTGTTGTTCGGGCCGTGCTAGCCCAGTGGTTAAAGAATCGAACTCTGGTCCGTAGGGGCTGTGGTTCGATCCGCGAAGGCCCACCGAGTACATATGCTCGTAAAATTTTGTTAAATCGAAAATGCTGGGGTGTCCCTGATCAGCACCATGGATGCAGGGATCTGGAGAAAATTTCCTTCCCCTTCAGATTTATGCTTAAATTAAGGAAGTGGCCTCTAAAATTAAATCCCCCCTGCAGAGGATAAAAAATTGTTTTGGCATATCTTCAGATCATCCCTAGGGATGTTCTCGGGCCGTCGCCAATGCTATATTCAGCTTTAATAGTACGATGCAAATAAAGTACTTACCTACCATATTTTTCAATTTTTTTCTTGATATTTTTAATACAATATTATTACTAAATTCGAATGTAGGTTTTTAAACTGCTTACTGTTTTTAAACTTCGTTTCTAATTTTTTGCAGCTTAAAAATGATTTTATGATTTAACATTCATGAAATCCCTCATAATTCCCAAAATATAAATGTTCTGATGTTAAATATATATTGAACTGAATGTAGGTGTGAAATCCTTTTAGATATGTTGTCGGCCATTATGATAACTTTAATGTAAATATCAGAGATTTTGACAGTTCTTTTTATCAGTCAACTTAGTAATATATTAAAAAAAATTAAATTCTTTTAAATAGTTATAATTCTTCTTCCTTTTAATTCTTATTTTGAGCTGTAATGCGTTTTGTTTTATTTTAAATCGTTTTAAACCCTATACATTTTTCTTTAACTCAAATATTTAATTTGCATTTATTTCGCTCAATAAAATATTTTATTTTCATTCAAGAACATTGCATTACAGTTCATTTATTTTAAAATACACTTAGATAAAAAAAAACAATACTTTTTCCCATCTTAATATCTTTTCTAAAAGTCTAGTTTATTTTTATTTTAAAATCTATCAGTTTGGTTTTCTTCAGTTTTGTATGAATTATAATGTTTAAAAGAAAAGAACTATTTTTATGCAAATATATTATTAAATTTATTTTTTAAAAAAAAAGATGAATTATAATTATTTAAAACAACTTAATTTTATGCTAATATGTTACTAAGTTGACTGATGAATAGAACTGTGTCTAAAACACTGATATTCACTTAAAATTATCATAATGACAGTCAACATATCTAAATACTTGGTACTTGGGCGCGCAGCCCTCCCCAGGTAGCAAAAAGATATGATCTAATATTAGAAAGATGCAATATAATACTGCCCTGCTAGAAAACGCAACGCTCTTGAATCCTATCTTCTAATTTTAGAACTAATATTATATAAAATTAAATAGTATTCGATCTAACATTCGAACTTTCAAAATAATCATCTATTTCATTACTTTTGGTACAGCNGCATTGTTGGACAAGCCGTCCTCGGGTACGGGTAAAATTTCTGAGTTTTTTCGAGCCCTGATACAGCATACAATGTTCCGATTTAGTACTTTTTTTGAATTCAGCCTTTCCATCACAATTATTAATTCCTTATTGATTAATAAAGTAATTTGAATTAAAATATATAAATAAAATGAATAATAATAAATTTCCGATTAATTAAATGAATATTGTAAAAAAAATTAAAAAAAACTATATTATGATTTCAAAAAAATTTGTGAAGTCTTAGATTGAGCGCATTTATAAATCTTGCAGGGAAGGAGATACCGAAGTCTATGTATGCCTCTGGTAAGATAACTTGTATATCGCTCTATTTTTTTTTCTTTTTTTAAATATTACTCGGAAAAACGGCCTTATGGTTCAATCCTGAATCAAGCTTTGAGACAAATTAGCTTTCGTGGAGAAGTTATTGATGAAACTGACCCGCATTTGCCTTACACGGTGAAAAGAAAAAAACCATGAAAATCTCTTATGGCTATTGCCAGGGGATTTTAAACTCAACTTCCATCGTTGGAGAAAATTTACTGCTTGAGGCAAAGTGCATGGCTACATTTTAAAGAATAACACACTTAAAAAATATATATGTTCTATAAGGACGATTTAGAAATAAATTTCACTGATTTACTACTAAGATATCTACAAAAGCCGTTATCTAAGAATAAGTGACTGAGGTAAAGTAGCAAGGTAGCAAATATGTAGCGAGTCTTTGCTTGATATTACCCCTGATTTACAGTTAAGTATGTTATGTCAAGGATTCATATAGAAATACTGCCGAAAGCATGGTTCAATGCTCGTATACGAAGCTGTGAATCATTGAAAAGGAAAGTGACAGGAGAGCTCCAAAGCTACTAATTCTGCACAATTTTAACTTCTTTTTTTGCGAACAGGTAAAAAAGTGGAAAAATCCTACATGAACAGCGTTTATTTTGCAAATATGGCCTTGTATTCAGGGCAATTCTTTCGAAGGCAGCGATATCAATGTGAAGTTTCAAAACGAAAAATTCGCAGAAGAGATCATCGAAGATGTAAAAGCAATATTTGCTGACGAACAAAGTTAGCTATTTAATATTTATACACATAAAATCAATTGTTTTTCTCAATTTTTGTTCTCAAACTAATTTCAGACTTTACAATTTTTTTTTCTACCGCCATCTGGGGTTAATATCAGAAACAAATATGATATAAATATCGATGTTTAATCGTGAGCAACGCGCGCTACAAGAAGACAAGATTCTAGCTGTCAAATGGCAACCGTTTAAATTTTAGCTCTTTGATCTTTGTTTAATCCAAATTTCCGACATACTCATAATTATCAGTAGTTATTATTAAGTCCTGCTTTTAGTTTACAAAATGAATTACGAAGACAATTATACGTCTGAAGAACAAAATTGTGGGGATTTTGGAACTGATTTTAATGATGAACAACAGCAATCTAATGGCGACGTGGAAGACCAAGGAGGTTCTGGTGATGCGGCTTCAGGTAGTAAATCCTCCGAAGAAGATAAGTAAGTAATTTAGTAATGTGACAACTGTTTAAATATTAATTTAAGCCGTTGTTGTATCATATTTAGTATCGAACTAAGGACAACTTTCCTCATTTTCACCTATAAATCTAGGGCGTTATAAAGTGGCGTCGGCCGGCCTCTTTAGGACAAATGGCGGCTGTGATATTTTGTACTCTTGTAAAGGATTTTCTATCTTTTATAATCTAAATTAATCATTTGGAAATGAAGCCTGTACGGATAACAAATATCAGCTTTGAGTCCCATTTCTCCTCCTACATTGTAATTTCTCGTTACCAACAATGTCGTAATAGTAAATAACACAAGGCATGTTCCCGCCAACTGTGTACTTAATATAAATGTCATGAGATGTAAACATTAATGAAATGCACGAGTCTTTTATCTGTCGGTTTAATTTGTTGACGGACGCAGAAATTAAAAATTCTCTATTTTCTACACGATAAGCTTCAATATTCATTTTTTAAGTAAATTAAGAGTGCCCGCATCCGTGGTAAATGTTAAATTTTTTTTTTAATATTGTACTTTAAATGATAAAGTCATTAGAGTTTTTCTATTATTGAATTGGTTTTTGTTTTTATGATTTTAGGAAATTCTTCGAATGGAAAATTATCCAAAACTATAAATCTGTTTTGAAAATTTTTTATTGTCTTGATCAGATTTAAGTGTTTCATATTAAAGTGCGCATCAAGCGCTAAAACTGTAGAAGCGTTCAACGATTTTATAAATTTTATTTGTAAATATTTAAATGTTAGTTTATGCACATAAGTGCATTGATTTATGCTTTTAAAACATATGAAATTTTCTATTTCACAAATAACATGAGAAATCTGGTTTGAGAGTATATTTGTTTATTGTTGCTGAGTAAGATCTGATATGCATTTATTTTTTAAAAATATTTAGCAATTTACAGATGACCTATAAAATATGTACTGCTTTAGCTTGCATATTAACTATTAACCTTGTTAAGTTTGCTGATTTTCTCTTCCACTGAAAAATATATTTAATTTTCATTTTATTGTAATGACAATGGTTTAAGGAATGCATGTATTACTATTTTTTAAATGCAATCGGATTATATTGCTAAAATAGACTAGTTAATACATTTTTCATAGTCTATCCTTAGTAAGTCTAACCTTTTACTTATGACTGGTAGGATTGACATTACAGATTTCACCATGCTAGGTGCTCTTAACATATAAAAGTTTTTATTTTTTTTAAATTTTATTTTACCTTTTTAATTTGTCAGATTTACTTCCATATGTTACAGTTTGTGAAAACTAGTTATTTTGGTGTATTTAAAAAATTTTATTTCCTAATCTAAAAATATATATAAAATTCTTAAAATTAGATAAAGTGTTACTGTAAATGTTCATAATATTTTTTTATGATAACTTGAAAATCCAAATTGGAAGGACTACAGCTTAACTTTAATTATTTTATAAAATCATTGTGTTAAGTTTATTAGTCTTTTGGAAAACCTCTTTCATTTCTGCAACATTTTTGTAATTTCCTTTCACACACATGCTATACAAGTTATTCCTTATCCTCATAAGTCTTTCTGTAGAATAGGCATAATTGACTTTTAAGTTTTGAATAAATTATTTCAAATATCTTTGTTTAAGATAGAAATATTAAAGTATCCTTGAATTTTGAAAGAATGCATGTTCTTTGTAACTTACAAAGGTTACATTTGTAACTTTAAATTGTAAGTTAAACGTAATTTTATTTAACAACAAATATGAAATGATATTGTTCCCACATTGAAATATATAAGTACTTATTTGATTATTTTTAAGTTTCAGTAACCATAAAATACTAATTTGCAGCACGGTTGCAAAAAACCTGGGGTTTTTTGTTTTATTGGAGGTTATTTTCAATAGAGGACAGGGATAAGTACCCTATTTTAAAAAAGCTTATATTAATATAGTTTAATTATATGAATTGACTTAACATATAGATAATTAAAGTGTAATTAATACAAATAAATTGGTGCAAAAGTCTGAAAAAAGCTTCTTCTGACATCACGATACAAAACGTTGAATGTACTCACATACATTACACGTTTGAAACTTAATTTTAATACAGGATTACATTTTATTTATATTTTAAATCTTGAAAAATATTTGAAGATTTTTTTTTTACACATGGAAAGTGAATCAAAGGCACTGACTAATCAATGGCCATACAGTCAAATTATAATGTTGTGCTCCTTATTTCTTAATTTTACAAAGTTCTAATTGTGATCTTAGTGATATTTACTGATATTTTCTTCTTACTAATATTTTCTAAGGTTAACTTTATAATTCATTTGAGGCTTAAGTTTAATTATTTTGTTGCAGGAAACTTTTTATTGGTGGAATAAGTAGAGAAACTAACCAAAGTAAGTAGATAACAGTGATAACTTCAGAGAAAATCTTTCATATGTATCTACTTTTTAACTTAATATTCCTTTTTTCTTCAGAGGATTTAAAAGAATACTTCTCTAAGTTTGGTGAAGTAACAGAAGTAAATATTAAAACAGATCCAACTAGTGGACGCTCTAGAGGATTTGCATTTGTTGCCTTTGCCAGCAGAGATTCCGTCGATTCTGTAAGAACTTGTTAACATATTGTGGATATTTCCGTATTGTGATCTGTGGTGCTAATTGCCAAGGTCCAGATTTTAATCTTGCAATTTAAAAAAAAAATAAAAAATCGATGTGTGGCCGAAGGTTACTTTGCCCAAAAGTTGCAAAATACTTGGTGATTATTCTGCCACAAATCATGATACAGAAATCTCTCCAACATATTAGTTTTTATCTAAAATAAAATTAAAATAAATTGTATTAGATTATTTAAGTAACATCTTTGGTTGCTATAAAACTATTTATTTGTAGGTTCTTCACAATGGACCTCATACCATTAAAGGAAAACAAATTGAAGCCAAAAGGGCTAAAGTTAGACCTGGTATTAAGAAAATATTTGTTGGTGGAATTGAATCTGACATGACTGAAGCCGACATCCGGAATTATTTTGAACACTTCGGAAAAGTAAGTAAAATTCTTCGCTGCACTTATCATTCTAGATTTGTCATTCTTTGCCATATATTTTGGTGGTTCCCAAGACATTGCATTATTTTTGTTATCTGGGTTACTAGTTATGTTATTTTTAAAGTTTTATAATGTAACATTTACTTATGTTGTCTTTTTCAAAAAAATACAAATTGCATTCACATTCTATAGTGAAGTATTAAGTTACCGGTCTTATAGCTTCAGTATTAAATTTTTGAACTTGGGAATAACAAAGTGTGGGATGGTCGTATTCTGCATGTACCTCGGAATTCCGGGTTTTTCGTATCATCTGTCCAGATCAAGAAACTAGGAGCATGCTATGTGATTTTTTTCGCTCTATCTCAAGACCATTGATTTGTGGACTTTCACCAATAAAAACTTATAAACCGACTAAATTTTCACTTCAATCTAAAATTTAAAGTAAGAATTAAGTTCCGCAATCTAAAAAAGTTACTCATTGTGAATCGTGTTCATGTGGTTTAAAAATCGTACATCGCAATTCGTATTTTTCCTATCATGAAATTGAGGGTCACTTATTTACCATTTTAAGAAGACTGTTTACTTAAGATATTAATGAAACTTTTCGGATGCTACAATGTTTGGTATAGATAAAATATGGTCTGAAGTTTCAGTGAAATTTTCCTGGTATTATTTACTATAAATCTTTGAAATAAGATTATCATAGTTAAATTTGTAATTTGAAAATCATGTTTTTGACTGTCTATTCAATAAAAAGATTGTCTGTGGTGTGTCAATAAGGTTTATTTAATATTGAGCACAAATTTTGCTCATGACATCATCCACTATATTTCTTATAAAATATTCGAAATTTTTGGTACTTGATTAACTTTTGGATTTAGGTTTATCACTTTTTGAAAAAATCACCTTTTCATTCTATTTAAAAAGAATTGAAATCATCGATTCGATAATCTAGAAATTTGTCTTTGGCATATTAAGCCAAAATTAAGAGAACATGTGAAAATAAAAACCTTCAATAAGAAGAAAAATAATCACAACTTTTTTCCTATTAATTTAACTTGTCAAAATAGTGAATTCGAAAACCTTTTTGATATTTATTTTGGCAGCATATTTTTTCCCCAAAATTGTTACGACTCCTATTAAATTTAAAATATATTAAAATTACGAATTTTTAATCTTCCAACTCAGAAAATATTTTCTAATACGTCAATAAATGTTAGCTTAAATCCTACAAATTAAGTTTGTTTTATGATTTAAGTAGTCTGAAAGTATGATTTGGTAGTTCATACTAAGAATAATTCGATGACTTATATTCAATTTTATCTAATGTGTTACATGTATTCTCCAATTTTAGTTGCTTTTTCTAGTTATTTGAGTGGCATTTAAAGTTGTGAACAAATTCTCAGCTATTGCTTTCTGTTTTATTAAAGCTTAATATTTTACGTAATAATAGACTAACCAAAATTTGTATAGAACCAGTTTTTTTTTTTTACCGTAGTTTAGATGTAAAGTTTGGGTTGTTCTTATTTTGTTATGCTTTTTGAATTCTTGAATAAAGCTGTGATGAATGCTCAATAGTCTGATAGTTATGTAGATAAACAGTATACTGAGCTTAATTCAAGTTTTCATCTTATTTTTTAAAAAAAATTACAACAGTGCGTTGCTCGGTTTGCTGTGATGATCTCTAAATATCTTAGTTCTATGATGAAAAATTAGAGGCTGTTTCTGAGCTTTGTATGAACTCTCATCAAATAATTAGCTTTACTTTTTCTTAGTTTTGTGGCCCTTTAAATTTTGTTTTGTAAGGGCTAGCTTAATCAATCACTAATTCATACTAACCAGTTAATTCAAGTGTTTGTTTTGTATACATGTGGCGAATTTTTACTGATCATTCTCAACCTTTTCTGATCAAGCACATGAAATTTCATTCTGTTATATGATCCAACTAGCTTCATACTTACTCAGAATATATAATTGCTCATTAATATTAAGATAATATGCATTATTTTTTAAAATTATTATTAATAAAAGTAATATTTTGCCCTTTTAGGTAGAAACAGTTGAACTTCCATTTGATAAAGTAAAAAATCAAAGGAGGCAGTTTTGTTTTGTTACATTTGAAGATGAAATGACAGTAGATCAAGTTTGCAAACAAGCTAAACAAAAGATTGGCAACAAAGAATGTGATGTCAAAAAAGCAACCACTAAGCCAGATCCCAGGTTAGCCCGTGGTGGTGGAATGGCTGGCAGGGGTAGAGGACGAGGTTAGTTTTATTTTATTTTCTGATTAAGTAGCCGTTTAAAATTTATGCTTGCCTTAATTATGTAGAGAAATATGTAGTTCATTAAATTTTATTTTCAAGTTTAATAATGGTATCTATAGAAAATCATAAGATCATATTTTGAATTTATCTCTGCATAGTTTCTTTAAAAATATGCCATTTTTCCGTGGATCTGCATAATTCTGACTTTCCTCCAATTTCTATTATTAAACTTAATTCTAAAATTACAAAGCTTCTATTTGTATTTTGTTGATTTAAGGAATTATCAATAAATTGTACAAAAGTGACAGGAACATCTTATGTATTTTACCAAATATGTTTCTGAATTTTTAAGTGAAAAATTTTAAATTCTTAGAAATTTAATTTTTCGAATGAGAAATTTGATATATTTACTATTCTTAGGAAGAAAATTCTAATCTTATATAATAAAGGTGTTAAAAAGAACTTAAACTTGTCTCTTTTTACAGTTTATAATTCTAATTTAATTAACAATTCAGAACATAGAGAATTTTTTAATGGTAAATTAAGAGGTTTGCAGAGTGATTTTTAAATTATGGTAAGAGTATTCTTCTTCTTCTTGCTTGAGCTTGTCAGATATGTGGCACCTCTGCACATGTTGCATTTTGTACCATACTCCAAGCCCAATTTTTCCTAGTTCCATTGTCTCGGGTCGCCTACTTTATTAATATAGTCTGACAGTCCCTTAATGGAATTAAGGTGAAGCTCTTTAGGATATGGATTGCCTAAGGTAGTGAGGCGCGTAAGGGCTAAGAGTATTAAATTTTCAGTTTAGTTAAATCAATAAAAATTATCCCAATTAAAAATTTAATGTGATGACTTGTAGGAACAAGCAGAAATCCTAATGTGAAGTTTTATTGCTGTGGAGTTCAGCTATTAAAATTCTACAATAGTCATTATAAAAACTAAATAGCTAGTGGATAACTATTTAATAACTAATTATCGCAAATTATGCATTTGAAACTTAAAAATTTAATCCTTGAAGTGGAGATGGAAGTAAGGGATTTGTTGTCTGAAATTTTTGTTGATCTCGGGCTCTGTTTGTTTAAAAATTAGGCCCTGCTCATTAAAAAGGGGAGAAGATTTTTGTCTCCTGAAAATTGATACTATCTGCCTTTGGTGGCTGCTTGTTCACCTCTCAAAATTGTCTTGAACAAAAAAAAAAAAAAAAAAANAAAAAAAAAAAAAAGCTAAAATGGTAACCAAGCCAAAATGTGCTGCACAATTGTTTTTGAATATTTAAATCAATTTTATTTTAAGTAGTTTTAAATACATTAGCCAAATTTTTTCAGTATCTGTTGTCTGCAGCTTTGCTGTGTTTGAAGTACTTTGATTTCAATTTCAACTTTTTACAAGAGATGTCTGTAATATTGTCTGTTTTTTTTTATACATTGAATACAATTTAAAATCTAACCAGCAGCCATTAAATCAGACAAAACAAAGTTTGAGTTGGGGGCATTTCAGCATAGTAGGCAGCAAAAGTATTTAAATTATTTCCATCTCTGTCGTGTCTCTAATTGAGCAATAGCAAACACATTATGTGTACTTGAGTACCCTATAATGTGTTTGCTAATGCTCAATTAGTTCTTATTGATGTATGGGATAGTTAAATTATTATTGACATAAATTTCTATTTTAAAAAGTAGCATAATTATTTGAATGTTGTAATATATAATTTTCTTTGGTAATTTCTTTAGGTGGCCCACCAGGTTGGGGCCCAGATTATGGCATGCCTGGCTATGGCGGATATGGAGGTAACCAAGGATATGGAGGTTATGGCGGTGGTTATGGAGACTACAGTGGTGGCTATGGTGGATATTCATCTGGCTATGGCGGTGGTCCAGGAGGTTATGGTAGTTACGGAGGCCATTATAATGGTTGGGGTGGCTATGGACAAAATGGCTACTCTGGTGGTGGCTATGGTGAGTACTCCAGTAAAAGATAGGACTCTTTGTTGAAAGGAACCTCTGTACATTTTCTGTGTGTCAGTGTTGCCATATACATTATACCTCAGGAACTTTTTATGACAGGACTTAAAATATTCCTGCTGATGAGCTTGCAACATATTTTTGACATTGTTTTGTGTTGAATAAAAATATTTTTTGAATAAGTTTTTTGTTTTGTTTTTTACCATTATGTTTATTTCATACAAATATATATTTCTCTAAGTTTGATTGGAAAAGTTCTGCAAATTTTTGGCATACAGATGACCCAATGTTTTTCCTTGATTTCAAACATTAAATTGCTTTTGCATACTCACATTGAACTTAAGAATTAACTTGTTGCAGATGAACTGGTTAATTTTATCTCAATTGTTTCTTATTTTGAAATTATGATTTAGTCTTTTAATAGAACTTGGACTAAAAATAGTTCTAAGATTTAAAAAGTTACATTTCTTTTCTGCAATGGCAGTTTTTTAAAGTAAAAACAAGGAGTTCATTATTTATTACCTCAGTTTTTTTTCTCACTTAGATTGAATTAGTATTGTTATAAAATGTTGCCCAAATAAAATTAAATTTGTATTGACACATTTTGCACCTTATTTTTAGTTTTTACTTATAGGAATATAGTCCTGTTTTCTCTTCTAAGCGCCTTTTTCCTTTACTTCAGTTGAAATTTTAACTGTATATTGAACTTTTCGTCATTTATGATACAATGAACATAAATGTTTATTTTTTAATATTCCGAGGATAATGTAGCAATTAGGGGAGAGAAGTGAGTTTTGGGAGAACTGACACAATGGAATTCTGTTAATTTTGAGCACCAGCTTAGACACAGATCTCGGGGGCCTTGTTTTAGCTTAGGGATAACATGACTTAAAACCTCTATATTAAAAGCATTTTAAAGTTATTTAAATTGTAATTTCATAAATTGAATAAATATTAAAGTATTTTTTCCAATTAATAGGTGCTCAGCAGCCACCTGCTCCAGGAAAAGCCAGACGCGGCACCACTACTGGACAAGGCTATCAGCCATATTGATAAATTTTAAGCCATCTTGATGCCCCCCACATACAACCCAATGGATGGTGTACATAGCCTGTGTTTTATCCACTTCATCTATATGCTATAATTTGTGCAGAACTTTTCTTCTCTTTATCTCTCGAGTAGCATGTTCATGCTTTGTCCTGTGTTCTAAAAAAACATGTGTCAAAGCACATTCCAAAATAAAAAAAAAAAGAAAAACATTGTTAGTAGCCGCACACTCATGTGATGCATTTTCAGAACAAATATAAATGTTTTTTATATACATAGTCTCATTTTTTATGAAATATTGAAGAATTCTACAGAAGTAATCAATTATCGTTAGTAGTTAATATCGTTGTTACTTTTATTTTGCATTATTCGTCAGAACATAGGTTGCTTGAGTTGAGACAATTCTTAACTCTTGCCCAAGAAAAGGGGGTAAATTGAATTTTTTTGCTAAGAATTGGTGGGTGGTGCCTCTTCTGTTCAATGTAAACATTTGGAGAGTCAAGAGAATCGAGCAGTACTATTATGCAACTTCTGCTAGTTCCTATAAATGGTTTAGTTAAAAATTTTAAGTTTCTGGAATTAGGTTGCCAACTCTGAGAAATACTGTTGTATAATAAGGATCAGAGAAATGCAATTCTTAAAGTTGACATAAGCACATTTGATTTAAAACCTCATAATTTGAATTTAACAATGGGGAAGTAAGGAAAAATAAACTTATAATGAAGATCAAATCATTCCAGGTTGTGAAAGTAAAACACTGCTTTTCAGCCTATAGCAATTATTTACTCAAAATAATTATCAAAAATAGTTATTTAACCATAAGTTGTTCCCTGGATCATCTCAGCTGTCAATTCTTATGGAGTATCTACAAAATACGTTGGTAATGAAAGATAAAATAGCTCTTAAAGGGTACTTTTTTTTCTGGTACAAGATAGGCCTACAGAACGTTTGTTAGTAATAGACGACTTATTAATTCATATGAACTAATTTTTGTCTGAAGGGCTGAAGCAAAATTCCGCTCTCCACATTAATTCTACCTGGACACTGGGTAAACGTGTTTTACAAAGAACTTAAAAATAAATCTATTTGGTTTTTTTTAGAAATTGGGACTTTATCGTCGTTAGCACAATTTCCTGGTAACATCTACAAAAACTAAATATTTTATGTGGTGGCCGTTAAATATTACGCTTACGTTATTAGCATTATTATTGCGATTACATAAGGAGTTGGCGATTTGTTTATTATGTACAAAGCGTTGAGGTGTGAACAATGCTTGCATGAGACTCGAAAATGCGAATTGTTGCTGTGGCTACTTTTTAGCGTCCAGCAATTTTTTTGTGTAAGATGTATAGTGGTTGTTAAATATTTTTTTTATTGGCAATATTAATAATTTGTGTCGGTTACTTCATTTTGGAGAAATTAATAAAATATACATGACTTAGGATGTTAATACATCCTGAGTCATGTATATGTTAAATTAATATGAGCATAATTAATAAGAAAGAAAAAGAAAACCCGTTTACCTTTAAAATTATTTTAAGAGAAATTATTTATGTTAGTGAATTTCTACGAGGTATTTTTCCTCATAATATTAAATTGGAAAGGTAAAACAATGAGTTTTCAAATATCCAGTTTTTACTCTGGTCAGTTTGACGGAAGTCCATCTCAGTCTTTATCGCTAATTGGAAAATAAGTTGAAAAGTAAGCTGAGAAATTAATTAAATATTCATGACTTAGGATTTTAATACATCCTAATGAACTATTCGTGAATGAGAAGTAAAAAATTCTTTGGGATTTAATTTCATTGACGAACAGAGTGTTTTATTGCTCTGATACTCGTAGGTATACGTGTGTTTGTACGTTCTCTGCACAGTTTCCCCGTTTTGAGGGAAATAGGAATGATTTCAGTGAGATAATTAAATTTCCAGACTGGCAAATGAGACTTACTTTTCGATGTGTAATCTCTCACTGAATTGGGTATAAGGGACACTATAAGGGTGTTGTGTATAAGAAGAAAGAACTTGTTTCTATTTACCCATTTGATGTCTTAACAAGAATGAATTTTTTTTCCATTTACGCTAAATCGTACGGGACGAGATACGATTCAATAGAAAAAATAGTTCTAGAGTTACAAAAGTTTTTATGTATAAACAGTACTTCTTATGACATTTCTTATGTATAAGCTTTTCATTGCTGTGCATTCAGGATCTATCTGAACATGCAATGTAAATTTTCCTGCGTAATTTTTTTGCGTTAAATTGTAAAATTCCAATCCTGAGACGATCGGACTAATAATTTAGAACCATTTTGCTCCTGTAGAAACTCATTTGATTCATCAGAGTCAAAAATACGTAGAAAATAGCGTATCGGGATTAGTCACGTTCAATTCAGCGTGAAAAATACACCCATTTCCTTCCAAAAAAAAAGAGGGAAGCTTTTCTGGTATTCATAATGGAATAATGTTTTTTTTTAAAGAAAAGATGTCGAGTGTTATTTGTTTGAATGAACACTCTTTTTTTATGCTTTAATTAGTGGACTAATAAAACAAAGCTACAGAAATATAAAGAAACCTTAACGTTATCAACAAATTTCTTATTGAAAAGAAATTACTTGTGAAATCAAGTAGGGAAAGGAAATAGCTGATTAAAAGTATAGCCCAGAACCATTAACTTAATTAAACTTTTATTTTTATTATTTTAAGCTGGTGAGTTGGTAACACATTGATAGAAATAAATTTTCTAAATAAAAATGTTAACACTTTCATCGCGGCAATGACGCACCTTTGCCCCACCCTCTGCGCTTAGAGTTCTCATGTAGCACTAAAATTAAATTGAAACGCAAATTCCTTTATAACCTAATTATTTTACTTTAAGAAATAATAATTGCAATCGATAACCATATTCACAAATACAAAAATAGAGCACAGCGGGTATTTCTAAAAGAGTCGACACTTGAGTTTTAATGCATAGTATATGTATTTTAACTTTGTTCCTAAGATATTACTGAACTAATATGTCATACACTCAGCTCTAAAATTATAATATAAAACATGATCAGGAATCAATATCTTTTTCGATATAAAGACGAATTACGCCATGAGGATCGAATTTTCTAATGAAATTTTTAGATAGAGATCGGGCTCCCCCTCCCCAACTTTGTTATTACAATTTTTTTTTTCTTCTTTTTTGTTTGAAAAAGAATATTAATTTCCTGACATTTTCATTTGCGAAATATTTTATTTCTTCAAAAATAAGCGTGTAGCCTCAGTGTTAAAACCTTACTTATTCATATAAACTTCCCTTTTCTTAATTTCTCCTTTTTTGTATGATTCAAAATTGTTATTAAGATACGCTTTTTTATAAAGGAAAAATAGAAGTAAACATTCACACTGGTGATATATATTTTTTTTCCTTAGAATTTTGCGAACAGTTCTCAGCATTTGTTTATTTGAGCTCCTCTCGCCATTCAATTGCTAGGATAATCAAGAGTTTTCTTATATTATTATAATTGAAATAATTTTTGCGCTAATATTGCACTTTTTAATTTATGCGCCCTACTTTTTTGAAAAAGCAAAAAACAACGAAATGAACATAAACGTCATTAAAAACAATAGAAAAATTTAATTTTAAATAATAAAAAATGTCTACTTGTAACGCTTAGTTAGAAATGAACGGAAATCTGTCGATGGCTTTAGCATAAAGGAAGAATTTTTAATAAAAATTGATTCCGAGAAATGTATGTATAACCAATACTATCACATTTTTATTTATTTGCAATTTAAGTTAAAATGTATAAATGAAAAATTAGGCTAAGATAAATTGAACTAGGTTTTTTTGAAGTTAATATTTTGTACATGTAGCCAAATCATGATTTTATTATTGGTGCATCAAACTTTTATAAGAATTTTAAAGAAGACAATTATGGCTCTTTTTTTTAGGAATATAATTTGAGATATAACTTGTCCCAAAAATTTAATTTCCAGAAAGGGTAATATTGATGAGTAATTGTTTTGAGAAATACTAGATAATTAAAAAAATAACTTGTTTCAGCCATAAGTTTTTAATTTAAATTAAATTAAAGATATCAAAATGGATGTTTTATGAAATGCATTTATTTTTGAACCTGTAGAGAAATAGATGGTGAAATTATTTCAGATTTACCAAGTGTTAAAGAAGAAAAAATTACTTTCTCTCTTTTTCTTTCAGACAGAGCAATGAATATGAATATTTATGTTGATCATAACCATAAATCAAATTGTAGCGAAGTTCCAGTGCCAACGTTAGACGAAGTTTAACAAATTTCTAAAGATGAAAAATAGCAAAAAATGCGATTAAATTACCGCGGAATTTATTTACATGTAGATATAAGAGTTTTAGGAATTATTGTCCCTATTTACAAAAAGGGCGACAAATTAAATTGTTAATAATTACAGAGGTATCGCTAGCAGGACTAATTCCGGGCGATGCCGATACCCAATGCGGATTTAGATCAAACTGCTCCACTGTCGACTAGCCACACATAGTTAGAAACATTGTCCAGAAGTTTCATGACTAAAATATCGATCTGTTTGTTCTTTTTGTGGATTTTAAAAAGGCATTCAATAAGGTGGATATATCAAAAATAATTGAAATTATAGCGGAGCTAAAGATACCAACCAAATTAGTCAAACTAATCTAAGCCACATTTCTGATCTGAATGATTTTTTCAGAACTTTCGATATCAATGGTGGGCGTTCGGCAGGAGCATGCATTATCGCCTCTACTTTTTAATTTAGTACTTGAATATAAGGACCATTAATCACATCATGCGCTTTTTTTTGTATGTGAATGAGAATCTGATTAGCGAGCTTTTGGCAGGTATAAATATTTATATCTGCTAAAAGCTTTTTTCGCATAACCATGATTTGTGCAATATATATTTCACAAATCATGGTTATGCGAAAAAAAAATTGCAGCTTGAAATTGAACATTAAAGTTAAGCTGCTTCTTTTAAAGAGAGGATTATATTTTTTCAGATCTTGGAAGTATTTTCCGAGTTAAGCATAGCTAAGAATTTTTTTTTCGTTTTCAGAATTTGTAAAAAATGTATTTTTAAAATCTTTGTTCTTTCTCTTCCCGGAGATCTCATGTCTAGACATAAGATTATGAAAAATGTTGGTGTATGGAATACCGGGCAATGGTTCTTAACCTCTGACAGGAGAATCCGTGTAGAAAAATTCGCATAAGGGTACCGGGCAAACTGATTAATGGGCAATTATTATCACTTTAATCAAAAGACATGGTTATTATTGATAATAATCAGAGTAATTGTGCATAAAGGTAGGAATGCGTGAGCAGTTGGTGATCGAAATGGGCTACTGGTGGCGTAGAGCAGAATTCTCTACCTATGGCAACACTTCGCATGCTTTCACCATTAGCTTGTGGAGAGTTATAGAAGAAGGAATTATGTTAGTTTCTGTCTTGATTTACAAATAGGTGAACAACTTTTAAGTTCTAAAAGAAAGTGTCGAGGAAATTAAAAAAAAAAATGTCTTTGATAATTAATTGCGAAAAATATTAAGATAGAGGAAAATATCGTAGTACATTTCTATATAACTGAGAAGAGGAGGAGAGAGTTCAGACATGCAGCATGTCTTCTCCCAGTGATCGCGAACTGCCCAGTTGACATTTGTTAGAAATTCTCTACAGTGATGTTTTTTTTAATGTAAAGGGTTATTTCTCGGTAGTAACAACACTGATGTTATTTTTCAGGTATGGAGCCATTCGCTGGTTTACACTTGCACTGATGATTTTTAAAAAAAAACTTTTATCGCAATTGGGTATACTACAGCCTACGTCACAGGTCGTGTTATTCCTACTAAATTTAACCAGTAAACAGCATTTTCTGCGAACCTGCAACAAATAAACATGAAACGAAGTGTGTTGTTATAAGTCGCTACTCGCCAGGTTGGAATTGTATTAGTCTAAGTTCCTTTAGAAATAATTTATTTTGTTGCTTTATCTAAGTTTATGAATTTAGTAAACATATTTAAAACTCAGCTTATTAATTAAACTAAAAGATAAATGTTATTCCTAGTAAGTGGAAGTAGTTGTGTCTTTTTCATATTATACCCAATTAGTGAGAATGACCATTAAAAGGCTATTTTCACTGTAAGCTATTCACGCATTTCTAATCACCACTGAGGGAGAAACAGAACTCTTTTTCTGAAAGGTGATCGAATGTGCGTGAATAGCCTTCTGAAAGCCATAGTGTTATAAAGTCGCAGAAGAAAATCTGAATGACAAGTTATGTATTTTCATTCGCATTGCTGACTTTTTGTAAGCTGTGCGAATTAAAATATGATAAAAAATTTGATTTATGATAAAATTTAAGCGAGGTGTTAATTGTAATCTAAAACTGGGCCGTTTAAAGCGTTTTATTTTCAATGTAAATTAAAATCGAATCTCAAACCGGAAAAAATCTAAAAAACTGAGATGAATTTTACGAACCATTTGCACGTATTATTAAACTATATAAATTTTCAACTGAAATTACCATTTAATCTTGAGAATTTTGAAGAAGTATTCTATATATAAATAAACGAAATACTTCAATGTTGACTTGAATAAGTTATAAATTGTTATAATTAACCATGTTTTGTGTTAATAAAGTCCAATTAGCTTTGTATTCTTTTTCGAAAGTTAAATATTTTTCAAATAGGTTATCACATCTGAATTCTTATGCTATAGTATTTAAGGAGTATGGAGATCCTAATAAAGTGTTGGAAAAAACGCAGTGCGATGTATCTGATGATTTGGAATCAAGTCAAGTATTAATTAAAATTCTCGCTTCTTCGATCAATCCTGCAGATATAAATATCATACAAGGAAAATATGCCATAAAACCCAAATTACCCGCCATTGCAGGAGGTGAAGCAATAGGTGAAGTTTTGAAGGTATAAATCTTTGAAATATCATATAATTTTGATATTGGTGTTCATATAAATTCTTATAAAATATTAGGAATCATTCAACCTTAAGAATTTAATTCGTAGGGGCTTCAATATGTGGGTATATCAAAATGTTATAAAGTAGCATTGATTTCTTGTACTGTATGAGATAAGTTTTAAATTTTCATGCTTTTAAGATTTTATTGATGTGTTCTGTCTACCAATATTATCCTCATGCTGTCTGAACTTATTTATTGCGTTGCTTCACGGATAATGTTTTAGAATTTGAGAAATTTCATGGTGAATGACATTACATTTTGATAGGTTTTCTTATTTTTCATTGATATTTTAGTATTGCTAGCAAAAAATTAAATGAAGTATTGAAGGAGCTTGTAAAAATTTAAAAGTAACAGTTAGAGTTTAGAGGCGAGATGTTTCGTTAGTTATCCATTCAAAAAGGAGTTTGTCTAAGTGATTCCTTTCAGATTTTTGGAACTTTGTTTTGGAATTTTTTTTTGAGAATTTCATGTTTTCAGGGAAAATATTTTGAAGTCTCTTCAAATTTTAGTTCATGCTATTAATGTTATCCATGCAAGAACTTTTGTTGCTTTAGAAGAGGCTTTTGAAATGGCTTCAGAGGTTTTACATCTAAACAGAAACCAGGAAAAGCAAAATCTATGCTTTCTTCAATTTGTTAAGATTTTTCAAACACTTCCTTAAGTACTAACACAAGTTCTTAATTTTAAATACTTAGGATCAGAAATAGATGGTCAAAATAATACTTTAACTGAAAAAAAATAATGTTTTGCTACTAAAGCATTTTACAGACTAAGAAATCTTTCTAAGTCACAGTTAACTTACATAAAAACTAAATTCTTATTATTTAAAACCCTTACTGGAGCAATTTTGGTATATGATTCTGAGATATGGACAAGATATGATGAGTCCTACTTGGCTATATTGAAGCTAAAGATTTTAAGAGCTATTCTAAATAGAGTATAAGAAAAGGATTGTTGGAGTAAAGGATACAATGCAGAAATTTATGTATGCATTAAGGGCCCATATGTATATATTTTTTATATATTCATAACGGTCATTAAACAACGGGCCGACGCAATTTTGGGTTTGCGACTACTAATATTCAACTCCGTAGCCATTTGATTTTGAACCCGATCCAGAAGACAAGGGAACTCCTGGATCAGGCATTGGGAGAAATTTGCTTTCGTGGAGGACTTTTTTTGATGGAAATAACCCGCATTTGCATTACATGGAGAGGAAAATCATTAAAACTCCCACAGTTAGCCTGACGGCAAGAGTACTCTAACCCATGGTCGGTATACCATTGAGGATATTTCATGTCTGCACTGTGGTTGATGCAAGCCTGATGCGGAATTCGTATCAATCAGCCATTGCTGGGATTCAAACCTTATTGAAAGGCAAACACTCTATCCTCCGAGCAATCACAGCTCTAAAGACCCAGATATAATAAAATTTATCAAGATTACCAATAGATTTAACTGGGCTGCTTTTGTTTTCAAAATGAGCAATTTAAATCTTGCTGAAGTCTTATTTTGGCAGAGGAGAAGTGAAAAATAGAAATAGGTGGACTCAAACTGTGATGGATAGAGGCAGATGATAGAGACTTTGGAATCCTAGAGGTTAAGAACTAGAGACCCATTATCACCTAGAAGGTTGCTTTGAAATCTCTTTAAAGCCTTGACACACTCTTAAGGTGTTGCGTTACGGGTGATGATGATACTCTTTTTAATTTCCACCCCAATTAATTAAGTATACTTGTCGCTGTTTGTAGGGGCAAATTTATAAGTGGGGAAATAGTAGAACTTCTGACATTTTATTTACTTTTTTTTAAACTTATTTTAAATACTTTAAGGTTTTTATCATTTAAATTTAAAACTTATTTAATGCTAAATAATAAAACATTTTTAAAGGAATTCTTTAATGGTTCTTTTGAGTTTGCAGTGTTATCTCTGGTATGGAAAAAGGTGACTAAAGATATGGATCTTTAGTAATTGACTTGGCTTTCTTGTTGAATGTGCCTACTCTAGTACTACAGCAACAGCAAACGATACTGCACTCCAAACTTTAAATTTTTGTCTGACTTTTAAATTTTTTTTTTACAGTGTATAAAATAATTCAAACATAAACTAATTTTACAACCAATAAATATCTCTCATTAATTAATAAGAAATCTGCAAAATTTAGAAAGAAAAAAAAAGATTTTATCAAAATGCAGTATGCTTCACTACATCCATGATATTTATAGATTTTTAAGCTCTAAGAATATATCCTCTTATATATTTGATGGTACTGCTTGCTTTTTTACATTTTGTATTCCAAGCTAAAACTTTTCAAGTACCATCATATACATTTTTTTAAGTAAAGTCGATACAATTAAAAACTCGATTTAAAACTGGAGATGTGTTACAACAGATAGAAAATGCTGGAGAAAACTTATGGTTGAAACCACCAAGGTGTGCTATGGGCTGCTATGTTTGTAAGGAAGAAGAAAGTTTGTACTCAACATTATTGTGATGATATCTTAAAAGTGATGAATTTTAGAGTCTTGTTTATTTTTGAATATCAGTGATTTAAAATATATTTGTTTCTCAAAAAAGGTAATTTTGTTTTGTTACAAATTGATAAGCAAGGTTCACATGATAAAAAAAAATTGTATTTCCTTAACAAAACGGAATGTTTAAAAATAAAATCAAAACTCTAGCTTTTAAGTTTTGGTTTAAAAATATTATTTCTGAAAGTTTTAATAATGCTTTTTCAATACTGTATTACACACAAAATTTTGTAAAGCTTTTTTAGCACGCACTTTAACTATGAAAAAATGTTGCTTTCATGAAGTTCAATTGTAAAAGTGCACAATATCTTAACAAAAGAAATTATATTTGTTTTCTGAATTCTTTAAATAATTTATGTAATGTTTTTTTGTCCAAATCATGATAAATTATGAAATTAATCAATTAGTACAGATTTAAACTTTTGAACATGGATTTTAAATATATATTTGTCAAAGTCCCAAACTGCTTCTTTATGATATCGCTTTTTACTTCACGTATCATTCTAAATTATAACAAAGTAGGAGAAAAGATTAAGAAAAAAGTTTTAAAAAAAAATAAATATTTCTAAAGAAAATTGGGGGCTGCAAAAAACTTATTACCTCAGATAAAACTCATATTAGGTATCTATTACTGCATTAACTAAGCATCACTGACATCAATTTCAAGCTATTTTTTTACAGCCCCTGAAACGAATAAGTTCTGGAAATTGTTATAATGACATATTCAGGGCAACAAAAGTGAAGACACTGGAAGTTATATCTATTATTTTCTTTTCTCATTGACCATTTTTATGTGGTTATCTATCTGTAATTATAAAATTCAATAGATTTTACTTCTAATTAATCGTTACGAAAATGTTTTAAATGTATCTATCATATTATTTTGGTTATCGAATCAAGTTTATTGTTATCTGCTGCTTTATTATCCATCTTCTTTTTAATTTTTTGTTGTTATTTACAGGTTGGTTTAGGTGTCAAAAATCTAAAAGTTGGGGACCGAGTTATGCCTGCAATCCCTGCTTCTGGGACATGGAAAACACACGGTGTGTATAAAGACAGTGATTTGATAGAGGTAAACTTTATTTTTAAACTTCATTCTATAGATATATACAAAAAATATAAACATGAAATATACACTAATAATTGGGTTAATAATAAAAAGAGTATTTTCGTCAAAGTAGTAATTTGATGAAAAACTGACAGCATGTCGTTTAAAAAACACGTGTTTTGCATCTAAGTTATTTTATATATATGTTGCCTATCCAAAACTAAAGTACACCACTTTCACTATGTTAATTTAATGAAAACCTTTTTTTCTGCTTTTTGATAGACAAAACTTTACCATGTCCACAAAAGGCTAATATTAGAAGATTTAGTAAATAATTAAAAAAAAACTCTAAAGAATTTATTAAAATTTTTCTTTATGTATACAAGAAGAACATTGTTAACATGTTGGTGTACATGGTTATTTTTTTAAATTCAGAGAGTGAAAGATCATAATGTTTACAAATTTAAGGATAAAACCAAACCGTTATATTTTTAGGCAGAGAAAATCATATATTTCTGTGATAAGGGATTTTTAATTTCTGATTTTTAGATTGTTGAATTTATGATTGTATTGAAATCAACTTAAAGGTGTTCTGGGTCAGATTCTATCTGTTCCATCTATGTTAACATATGGAGAATTGTTTGAGCATAATTTCCTTATTTATTAACAATTTGTTGTTCAGGAATTTAACACAGAAACTATGTCATTTCACAGGCTATTAGTTTGTAATTTGAATATGGAAGTAAAGTTAAGCATTATAAATACAATCAAATAAATTTTAGTTTTATTGAATGAAATGAACTTAAAATTTTACATATTTTATATTGCCTTGGGTTCCATAAATTTAAATACTTATTGCAAGTGCAATGATGAATAAAATCATCATCTGTCAGTCATGTATTAAGTAATTAATAAATAATTTGGAATATTTTTTGTTACTCATTTTATTCACTAAGTTGTCTTTTTATGGAGCTTATTTATCAGATACATATTTTTAAGGTTTTATGATTTCTCACAATAAGAAAAAATAAAAATTTCTTTTTGCAGGTACTATATGTAATATTAAAAAATAAAAAATTGCAAATTATAAATCAAAGATATTAAATCATTATCTGAATTCTAAAATTTAAAAATGTAAGACTTGTTATCTTAACGTTGATTTTTTCGAAACTTTTCTGATTTAAGTTTCCGAATTTGCTAATTTGTCTTCAAAAATATATTCATTCTAAATCTTAAGTATTCATTCTAATATTGGGTCTATAATTCTAATATTGGGTCATTCTAATAGCATTCTGATATTGGGTATTCAGTCATGAATTGTTGTTAGTAAATTTATGTCAAAAGTTAATTATGTTTAAAATATATATTTTAAATAGTAAAAAAGCCTTACACTTGAAATATTCTAAAACTATAATTGTATAAGCTAATTTAAATCATTATTAATCTAAAAAAAATAATATTTTTGTTGTTTTATTTATTAATTATTTCTATCACTAACAATAACNACATTATAAATACAATCGAATAAATTTTAGTTTTATTGAATGAAATGAACTTAAAATTTTACATATTTTATATTGCCTTGGGTTTCATAAATTTAAATACTTATTGCAAGTGCAATGATGATTAAGATCATCATCGGTCATTAATGTATTTAGCAACTAATTAATAATTTGGAATATTTTTTGTTTTTTATTTTATTCATTAACTTGTTTTTTTTATGGAGCTTAGTTTTCAGATACATATTTTTAAGGTTTTTTGATTTCACATACTAAGAAAAAATAAAAATTTCGTTTTGCAGGTACTATATGCACTATTAAAAGAGAAAAAATTACAGATTATAAATCAAAGATTTTAGAATTCAGATAATTAAATCATTATCTGAATTCTAAAATTTGGAAATGTAAGACTTGTTATTATCTTAACGTTGATTTTTTAGAAATTTTTCTGATTTAAATTTACGAACTTGCTAATTTGTCTTCAAAAATATATTTATTCTAAATCTTAGGTAAGTTAACGCGAGGCATTCTAATATTAGGTATTCAGTCATGAATTTATTCATGACTGAATACCTAATATTAGAATGCCTCGCGTTATAAGTTCATAAATTTATGTCAAAAATTAGTTATGTTTAAAATATATATTTTTAATAGTAAATTTTTCAATCTACTGAAAGCTTATTTCTAAAACTCTAATTGTATAAGCTGATTTAAATCATTATTAATCTAAAAAAAATAATAATATTTTTGTTTTATGTATTAATTATTTCTATCACTAACAATAACAATTTTGTAAAAGAATAATTAATATTTATATTTTACTTATTAATTTAAAAAAAATGCTATGCACTATCTTTGTATTGTGATGTTAAAAGGTTTGTAATTACAATCTGTTATTGTTACTGAAATTGTTTGAAATTCTAGAAAAAATACTTCATTTCCTATAGTGGTTCAAGGTACTTCATTACCTATATGCAAGTTTTCCAGTTAAGTTTGTCTTTTAAAAGTAGCGAAGTAGTGACTACATTTTGAAAGTAGTTTGTAGTCACTACATTTAAGAAAAAAGTAGTTGTAGTTAACTTCAAAGAAAATGTAGTTTTTCCAACCAATAATAAATAAAATGCCTATATGAGATAAATAAAATATTCAAGTTTTGTTAGTAGAGAATAAATAGCATGACGTTAAACTGACTTAAAACATTAATTTGATAGGTTTTGATAGATGTATTAGAATTTATAAATAAAAATTGCAATGCTGGTGCTTATTCTAAACATGGGTTTCATTTGTGAAAGGGGCATATAGACTTTTAATATATTATTATAGATCAATTTATGATAAATTATAGAACAATTTATGATTTATTTGAAATTAAAAATATGGCTAAGTAACTGATCTGATAATCAATTTTCAATTTTGCCTGCTTATTTTATTCTTGCCGCAATAATTGTTAGTTGTCCTTTTTTCCCCCTTTTCTTTCAGCACCAAATTTGTTTACATATTACATTGCAACACTGGTTTACGATATTTCTTCTCCAAACTGTTAAATTCAGGACTGCTTGCATGCCAGAAAATGTATGAAACTGGTAGTAAAACCGTTTCATATCTAGATTGCTTTTGGGAGAAATAAAGAACCTTGGCTACTAAGACATATTAAAAGTTATATATAAATGCATGTAAAAGATTGTTTCCTATGACAATGGAAAATAACTGTTAATAAGTGTTGGTAATAATGGACCTTTGTTCCTCAAAAAAACAAGCTGAAAAGAAAATGATTTATCATCAGTTTTATATATTTTCTGGCATGCCCTATTAAAAAAAATATGTTTTTATATTTTCTATTAAAACGATGTCAAAATTGGTTTTTAAGTTATGTAAAACTTAACTCAAATAAATGAATAATTCACGACACCAAATACGAAATTCAATTTGTTGTTAATGTAACCATTCATTTAATGATTAACATGGCAATTTTAATTTCAAAGATTTAAAATTTATCAAATTATTTTTATATTGTTGGTTATAATTTATGAAATGTATTAAATAAAATAATTTGTTTTAGTTTGCAATTTCCTTTTTTTGTTTTGTTTCAGATTGACAAGGACATTCCTTTACAGAGTGCAGTTACTCTGTCTACCAATCCATGCACAGCTTACAGAATGTTGAAAGATTTTGTTCATTTGAAGGAAGGGGATACAGTTATACAGAATGGTGCCAACAGTGCTGTTGGACAGGCTGCCATTCAAATTGCAAAACATTTAAAAATTAATACAATTAACGTTGTGAGAGATCGTCCTAATTTAGAGTCCTTGAAATCTTACCTAGCAGATTTAGGAGCTACTCATGTTGTTGCTGAGAATGAACTTAGGTGAAAATTTAGGCATATATATTTGGAAGAAAATTATATTTAATTAGTTCAAAATTAACTATTAAAAGAATAATGAAAAAAGTAATTATGTATTTAACATATTTTTTATTTATAAAAAAACAATATTCCGTTGCAACTGTTTAACGAAGTCTAACATGTTTCATATTCGCTAAATAATTTATTATGTTCAGTTCACTATAACTGGTAGCACAAATTTTGAATATTAGTAGTATTACTCAATTTTTATGCGGTCCTGTCCTTTTTTATCTTTAATTTCACTTTGTAACCTACTTGAAACACTAGGATTTCCCTTTATTTTGGGAAATTCTTTTTTACCCGCAATTCATTTTCTACCATTGAAGACCAAGATTTCGTCCAATGCAGTCATGTGTTAGTTACTGTGCCATAAATGTTTTCGAATGTGTTGCAACTAAATGTCAAAATGATTAAATATTATGTTGTACATTATCATCTGAAGTTATTAAAAACATCCTAATATAGCAGTTCATAGCGTTTTTAAGTTGTACTGACCACCAATTTTGTAAAATAAATAAATAAAACTGTGATGGCTACAAACCAATAAATATACAAGTAAAAAATATAATGACAAATTGACACTATTTGGAAAGTAAATGAGAAGTATATAATTAAAAATCTAAAGAAACACTAAAAGCAAAATTTAATGAAAAAAATTTATGTAAAAGATGGCGGAATGATGTACAGACATTCATGACAGTTTTATCAAGGGGATTTTATCACACTGTCTCCTCAGGTGACAAATAACCGAAACTAGACCTATGTTTCTAAAGACTCACACACAAAAAAAAAGACGTTTAATTGCACTTTGCTTTTATTGTATATATATAATGTGGTACTCATGCATCAGTAATTAAATACTGTACAAGAATTAAGAAATATTTTTCTAAAAACAAATTATTCCACTGTCAAGAACTATGGCATTAGGGGTCCACTTGTGGACCTGACTGCCCTAATACAACCCAGTAACATAAAATAGGCTTTATACCTATAATGTTAATTTATCTCAATTGCTCAAATTTTACTGTCAGACATGTCACAGTTGTCTGTGGGAAACTGATGCTCAGACAGGAATTTCTTCTAGTGTTGGAACATGTGGAATTCACTTAGAGAAAGATTGGGATTAAAGAGCAGGGGATCAAACACCTCTCCTGTCTACGACAAATCTTACAAAACATCTGTATAAGTTTTGCTTGAAGTTGCCTTCTACTTTCATCTGGAGAAATCCCTATCCAGACACCAGTTTTTCAGTGCAGACAGATGTGATACTGAACTATAAAAACTTGTTCCTTAGCATAACATGTTCTCATCAGATCAGTTCAGATTGCAGGGGTTCTTATGTTGCAAAGCATTGCTGTATCTTTTGCAGTAAAAATTTTTTAAGTTAATTTGTACTGTTAAGTTTTAATGGATTGAGAGAAATTTAGTTTCACAATGACTTTTGACATCGCTTTTTTGACCCAGACATTGCTTTTTTCACACAAACATGACTTTTTGTTTCTTAAAAATATAAAATTTTCCGAACATCCATTACATCATGTCTAGCTAATATATCGTGATATAAAATTGTTTACATTGCCCAGTCTTAATACATCTTTTATTAAAATATCGAATGAAAACGCATTTTTTACTAGTTCAATCATGTATATACAATTTTTCGTAACTTGCACCTTGTCCTTTATTTTTTTTAAAAATAAAAAGCAAAGATTTTTAGCCTTTACTAAAGTCATGCCAGTTGAAACCTATATAAAAAGTTTTAGTTAAAATATTCTTATCTGTTTTACAGAAGTCCAATCATGAGTGATATTTTCAAGCAGATTCCAAAACCATCCTTGGGTTTCAACTGTGTTGGAGGAAAAAGTGCAGCTGAACTTATTAGGCATATGACGAACAAGGGAACCTTAGTAACATATGGCGGCATGTCGAAATTGCCACTAACTATCAGTACAGCATGCTTGATATTTAACGATATCAGAGTTGTTGGTTACTGGATGAGTAGATGGGTCATGGAACACTCAAATGAAGAAAGGAGTGTGATGCTAAAGGAACTGACAGACATCGTTAAAAGAGGTGGTTTAAAGCCTCCTACTCATCGTGAAGTAGATTTTGATAATTTTAAGGATGCAGTTGCAAAATCTATGGAAGAATATGTAACTGAAAAACAAATTATAGTTATGAAATGATGATGTAATTATGATTTACTTTTAAGAAATATTCATATTTAGTGTATTACCTTTATATATGCTGTTTTTAATAAAATTGTGATAGAAGGAATTTATTCAACCAAAAATTATTTTAAGGTCAGTCGCGCTCTGGTTTGTAATTATTCGATAAAAAAATACCATAATAAATAATTCGATTTATTTATTGATGAAGATAAATGGAATTCTTCACGTTGTTTCGTATTATTTGTAATTATTAATTACTGTTTTGTAATAAAAGTTTTATTTTATAGCGCATTTATATAGTATGTACAGTTATTTTGTAATAGAAATAAAAATATTTTTAAATTATCTGTTTTTAAAGTATACTATTTTCTAACAATTACTTAAACACATCCACTCTTCTACTAGAAAAAATAAGTTTAGTTGAGGAATCTGGTAACATTCATATAGAACAGGTGTACAGTGTGTGAAAAAAAGGTACCACCCTGAATAACTTTTGATCTAATTATCAGAGTTTCATGTTCCAGGACTCAATCTTAATGCTTCGAGGGGGTGACCTCAAATATGCTAATTAATAAGTGCAGATGATATTTTAAGTTACGAAATCAGACACAAAAATGTACTTTCTCTGAATAAACATACCTTTTTACCAACGGATTTGGATTTTTGATCCCCAAAATATAGGGCGTAGCCGCACTATGGGAAATATGGGCCTAATAGTTTTTTCAGGAGTGCACTCCAAATTTAGACCCCTTAATGTTAATTTACCTTTTTGCATTTTCTGCTATACCTCAAAATTTTTTTAAGCTAATTGAAAACACTTCACACACAACTATAAAATTCGTTTGTCCAAAGGTAATTCCATGAAATAAAATTTTTTTTAGTGGATATTTATGAATTGAATTAAATGAAAAATTTGAATTACAAGGTATGCAATTTTTTGCATCATTTTAAAGAATATAGTTTTACATGGCAAAATACAAATTTGAGCAAAATTGGCCGAATAGTTCCTAAGAAATCGAATTTTAAATATATGATTTTTTATAAAATTTAATCTCTCAGAAACTACTGAGTTTGCACGCAAATTTTGTATTTTGCCATGTATAACTATATTCTTTAAAGTTATTTTTGGTGTACTGTACATTCTTAAATACAAGTAAATGCTAACTTGGAAGTCTTAGTTCCTTAGAATTTTCTCAGCAAATTAAAATGCATACGAAAGTAACATGTTAAATTAGCACATTTGAAACAGTTTATATAGTTTCAGTAAGATAGAAAAGAGGAAGTATTGAAATAAAAATATTTTTAAAAGTTTGCTTGTAGAAAACACATTCATTAACGTCTTTTATAATAATCAAGTTGTTTAGATTTCAATTTTTGGCAAGTAAAATAATTTCAAATAAAAACTTTATTTTTTTATTCTTATTTACACAATTAAAATGACATGATATCATACTATGATATCATTTATTATACACAAAGCTTCATTATCTGTTCCCCACAAGAGAATCGAATCATTTATGTCCAAACTGTTGACACATGACCAAGATTGTGAAAATAATCCAGTAATTTCAAGCTTGTGTTTATTAGCTTCACAATTCAACCAAGGATTTCCTTTTGTGGAGTCTTGATTCATTTCAAGATCTGAGGAATAATAAAAGAATTAATGCAACATTTAAATTAATAGACAATTGTTGACAATGGAACAAACTAGAAGTGGTTAAGGGAAATTTTGCTTCTAACCAGTGACCAATTGTAGCATTTTTAGAAATGGTCGCTTTTTCAAATATTGAAAATTTTAAAAGATTAAAAAAACTGTTGACGTTAATAATGTAGCACATTTCTTTTAAAGCATTTTATTTTAAAATGAAGAAAAATTTCAAGAAGCAAGTGTGGAATAATTAATCTAATATTTATTAAAAAAAATAAAATATAGTGTATTTGTGATAAAAGAAAGTGGCGATTGACAGACAATTGCTTTAATTGCTAATTCAGTTGTTCCATTGCTGGTGGTGACTTAATTTTATTTTATACGAATTTTATTAAATTTTTGACATTGAAAATTTAACTAAATTCTTTTTTGTTGTTAGACAATTGAGTGGTTTTGATAAAAAAAAATTTTAAGCATTGTTTTTTCAACACTTTATGTTTTAAAAACTGAGAACTTCTTGTTCTGTTTCATGTTTGCTTGTTTTTCTACTTTAACTACAGCAAAGCATGTTAACGGAACAGTTCCAATAGACTTTATCCCTTTATTGTCACTTTTTCCGTGTACTGTAAGACAGAAAACTAGTAACATAGTAGTAACTAGTAGTCACATTTTCAACGATAAAGTTGTATTTCAGAGCTAAGAAATTTTCTTCTTCTCCCTTTTAACTTTTCTTTTTATCAGTGCTTATATTATGACAGCATTTTTAAAAAAATATTTTTAATGAACATTATTCTTTCATGCTTACTTTTTTCTCAAAATCAAAATTCCCTGCATTTTTCCTCTTATTTTAGGTAATTTTTAAATTCCCTGTATTTTCCAGGTTTTTCCTATGGAGTGGCAACCCTGATATACAGGGTGGTCCCGAATTCATGGTACAAACTTTAATGGTAGGTACAGGAGATTGTAACAATGATTTATTGTATATGAATGTATAGTCGCAAGTGACGCGGTGAGGCGTAAACAGGGGAAATAAAAGGAAAGAGAAATGGAGTGATCAGTTGGTATCATTGCCGGTAGAGGGCAGTAGTGTGCAGTTTGGTGCTCGATGGATTGGGCGTGGTGGACCAATCCCTTGGCCACCCCGATCTCCCGATTTATCGAGCCTCGATTACTTTTTATGGGGACATCTAAAGCATCTTGTTTATGAGACTTCCAATTGACTCAGATGAGGATCTCGTCGCTCGCATATCTGTAGCTGCTGCAGGTGTGCGTGAAATACCAGGCATCTTTGAACGTGTACGCCAATCGCTCCACCGACGCTGTCAAGCATGTATCGCTTCTGGTGGACACAAATTTGCACACTTACTGTAAACATGACACTTGTCAACAACGCTTTCGATAAAATCTTTGTTTTTCCTTTCGGCCGTTATTTCTCCTGTTTACGCCTCACCGCGTCACTTGCGACTATACATTCCTATACAATAAATCATTGTTACAATGTCCTGTACTTACCATTAAAGTTTGTACCATGAATTCGGGACCACCCTGTATA